TAAAAGGTGAGTGTTTTCTATGTTGTTAATTTAGCGTATCTCGTGTGTAAAGACAGGTTTTACTGGTGGTGGATATCAGGCCAAAACTCAAATATTAAAGATTCAGTGTGTAAGATTAAGTAGTAGCTAGATATATTTAAAATAAAAATCTTCATTATTCCGTTTTTTTTATTGTTTTATCTGTGTTTATTGTTGATAAACAATCGGTAGTCTGTACAGGGTATTTTATTTTGAAAGTTTCTGTGTCTGACTTCCTGCTCGGTGCTGATCTGCTCTGCCAGCAGCGACGCAGACTCAGTGGTCTTTCGGAGTGAATCCGGGGTCATGAGAACTTGGTTTAAATTTTTTTCAAGTTCTTTATTGCAATTGAAAGGCAAGTACGAAGTGCAAACATAGACCAGACCAAATAAAATAAAAATAAAGACCATCCAGGTACTCGTAGTGCGCTGCTTTTCGCCATACTTGTCAGTGTGAACGCACTTCTGCACTCAATAATAAGTGTGAGTATGGAAGAGTGTAAATTGAGAAACACTACTGAGACTCTGTTTCTGCCTTTTTACCTCATGTTCTGTCTCTGGCAGAGATGGCTGAGGGGCACAAACACAACGACAGCTCCCAGATGAGAGATTTGATGTCCTTTGACTTTGAAAATGACAAACCTAAGCATGGAAGAGAGAACAACAGCAAAGGTAGCTCACGTCAGGCCGGCTGCTCCTCCTCCTCCTCTTCTTCTGGACCCTCCAGTACCGGGGCTGTGGGGAGGAAGAGGAAGGAGAGCCCTTCATGTTGTTGCCTGCCATTAAATCTTGTGCCACTATTTAAAGTAAAAATTTTGTACATTGTATTTAGTGCTAATTAGCAAAAATAAGCAATTGTCTCCCTCCAAAATATCAGCCTGTTTGTTTTCTCACTCAATCTCTTTAAAATTTTATTAAAAATGAATAAAAATTAACGCACTTAATCGCTGCAGCTTCTTCGGCCACCATTTTCACAAACAGGTAGTTGGTCCATCCACTTCTGCTACGTAGCCAAGCAAAAACTAAAATCTTAGTAAGATTAATTATCTCAATTGAAGACAAAATATACTTGCTTTTTGTCTGATAACATATTTCTTCTTACCAGGTGGCTTTTATGTTAGAGAATTTCACTTGTTTCAAGTTTTTTTGTCCTTAAGTAGCAAGTGAAATATTCTTGTTCTGTTGGCAGATAATTTTGCTTATTTAAAGTAATATTTCCCCCATTTTAATGCTTTTTTCCTGTGTTTTTGAGAGCTCAGTTTTTGCAGTGCGTTTAGGGTGAAAAGTATCACACCCAACTTTTTCGATCGTGATGATTGCACCATCCGGGTACTCGTAGTGCGCTGCTTTTCACCATACTCGTCAGTGTGAACGCACTAATGCACTCAATAATAATAAGTGTGAGTATGGAAGAGTGTAAATTGAGAAACACTACTGAGACTCTGTTTCTGCCTTTTTACCTCATGTTCTGTCTCTGGCAGAGATGGCTGAGGGGCACAAACACAACGACAGCTCCCAGATGAGAGATTTGATGTCCTTTGACTTTGAAAATGACAAACCTAAGCATGGAAGAGAGAACAACAGCAAAGGTAGCTCAAGTCAGGCCGGCTGCTCCTCCTCCTCCTCTTCTTCTAACCTGGACCCTCCAGCACCGGGGCTGCCGAAGGTCCCAGAGCAGAGTACGGCAACTACCCCTCCATTAACTTCAACAGGTCAGGAAACACTTTGAGTGTTACATATCTGACCCCTAAATACTGTCAGCAAATTAACTCTTATTTCTCATCCTGCATGTAGTCTGTTTGGAAACTGGTCAGAACGGAAAAAAGAAAAGCTGAGGGCCATCATGCATTACTTCAAAGTGGTTACAGATGAGGGTGAGTTGATGGTAAACTTCCTCTTCCTCCTGTTTGTGAGACATATCAGAGAAGATCTGTGACTGTTGTTCATGTCTTTGCAGAGACTAAACCAACAGGACTGGTGACGTTTGAGAGGCGCTTCAAAGACACAGACCCATCCCACTGGAGACAGTAATAATAATAATATCTTTATTTATACAGCACTTTTACAAATTGCTTCACAAAAGACAGCATATTAAAATCGACCTTATTAATTATTATTATACAATATAACATCTGATGAGATGGATTACAGTATAGGGGAGACCGACAGAAGTATGTTGTCACACTTTTCACACTGTCTAAAATTTACTGGGCACCGTACATCACAATGGTACAAATGTCCAGAAATACCAAATTAGAGAAGGAAGTTTTTGCCCCATAAGTTCTCACACTGGATTATCAAACAATTAATTTATTGTGAATATTGATTTCAATTCCAAATTCAAACCTGTCAATCAATCTGTTTACTCTTTCAGTGTTTGGGAAATGGACTCTTCTGCTATCATGGATTTTCTTCATGAAAGGAAGATTGAAGAGGCCTTCATCTCGAAAGTCGCTGAGGACAATGTAACTTTGGTTTAAACAGATAAATAAAAGTCACGAAGAAAGTGGCTAGAAAAATGCTACAAATGAAATACCCTGTCCATGTAATGTGTATTTTAAACTCTTAACTTAGCCGTTCAGTTCCTTGATCATTATGTCATCTATAAAAATCATATATATACATACATATTATTCAACTGCTGCCAGGATCATGCTAAGGATTTTAGCAGAAAATTTAAGGTTTCTAGGCACGACCATGGTTGGTTAATTTTATAACTAGAATGAAAAGTGAGTTGAAAGTTGCACTCACTGGATCAAAATTAGTATAAGTAAGTATACACTAACAACTGTATCTGCTTAAAATGATTCACAGGGGCTATCTGTGTATTTTAACCTGATGAAAACAGGAATAAGGTCAGAGACAGAAGGAAAAGAGTATTACAACATATTTCTGACTAAAAATAATAAATTGATCCTTTATTACTAGTTACTAGGACTGTCCCCGAATAAGGATTTACATAGTCGAATCAGAATCGTGAAGTCCTGCCAATAGTCGACTGATAGTCGAATCAGGTGTGTTTTTGTGCATGGGGGAGGGGGGGTTACACACGGTAGCTTTAATCTTGTGAAGCTGCAGAGCTGCAGTCTCTATTCATTGAACTTTAAATTTCCATTTAAACTGAGGCTTTAATCAATAAAATATTCTTTGTGTGGTTCATCAACGGTGATAAATTACCCAAAAGTCCCATGAGGTGCGGACAACTCTGCACAACACCAGTGAAGCTGGAGCTCCGTCTCTTTAGCGAGTGATCCTCTTCTGCCACTGCACACGCTACGCCTACACACGTTTAAATGTATATTGTAACAGGCTGTGTATTAACTTATTGGGAGAAAACTGGTAGTTCTGTGTAAAATCAGACGTTGAGCAGCCCCATATCACCAAAATGGCGCGATCCTCGTTTTGCTGCGAAGCTTCGATTGTGAGATTGACAGTCGAATCAGGCTCCGCCCATCAAAGCATCGACTATTCGGGGTCAGCCCTACTAGTTACTCTGATTTTTCTTCTTTTTTACCATTGTACTGAATAGATAGGCTCAGGCGTATTTCGAGACTGCTTATCTGATTTCTGGAATGAGTTCTACAGCAGATGCACTGTGGGTGCCAATGTAAAGGCCCCCTATCTCAGACACGAATACCAAACCCATGAGTGGCAAACCACTGGAAGAATACTTGTCAAAGGCTGGCTCACAGCAAGATATTTCCCCATTTAGCTGCCCCTTCCTTTCTTGGAGGAAGCCATGTACGGTGTCACCTACAGCAGTATCAGAGAAGCTTTCATGTCCTACGTATCAGCACCAGAAAGGGAAGTCTTAGAGAAGGAGCTTCACAACTTTGGATCTGTTGATCAAGACTCACTCATTGAGGTTCTAGATTCACATGAATGCCACACTGTGTTTTTCCCCAGATGTTGTTCAGGTTGGTCAGGTGGTTACATTTGTGGATAAGCAATTCATAGTTAAGTTGCATTACAGTAATGAATGTGGAGCATTTTGGTTGTCCAGTACAATATATAAGTAATGTAATTATTTTATTTATTACTCTGTGTTCCTGCTGCAACCTGCCTTTGTTCAGCGGACTGTCAAGAGTCAAACAAATAATTTTGTGATAAATGCTTTGTAGGCTACCAAAAGGGAAAAGGTTAAATTGATGAAGCTGGAGAATAAACTGTTACGGTTGAGGGTTGGCAATTGGTTTAATTTTGACATTAAAGCTGTCAAGAAGTACAGTGCATACAATCATTTAGTGGCCTGCATCTTTATAGTGTTATAGTTCTCATTAAGGTCAAAATATTAAATGTGTCAGTAAATGAGGTTTGGCTAAACATTGCAGTTAAATCATTTGAAACCTGTCTTCTGTGCCAACAATTTATACTGTAAATTACTCTATTATTTACATAGCACACATGGACAAAGAAGTTTTGTTTTCATTTTATTTAAATTTTAGGTTGCAAAAAACAAAACTGTTAGGTTTAGGACAGGCAACTCCATAAAGCTTCAAGTCAAGTGTTCAAAATGAAGTGTTGGAACGACATTTAAGTGTTTTTAAATTGACTCTCTAGACTGTGTTCTTGATACTGTTATACAGAAATTATTGTGAGTGTGTCTTTTATGTATATGTATAATATTAACCTCAGAGCTTTCTATATTTCACAGCATTTAATGTCTATGCAAGAAGTGGCTGTTAAATGCACTTTAAATTTCCTGCATTTCTAAACAGGTTTACTTTAAATAATTACTCACTTTTGTTGCCAGCGGTTTAGACATTAACGGCTGTGTGATGTGTTATTTTGAGGGGACGGCAAATTTACACTGTTATACAAGCTGCACACTCACTACTTTACATTGTAGCTAAGTGTCATTTCCTCAGTGTTGTCACATGAAAAGATATAATCAAATATTTACAAATGTGTGAGGGGTGTATTCACTTTTGTGAGATACTGTATGTACAAATTGTTAGAGAACAGAAAATAAAAACTCCAACAGGAACTATAATCTCTGTTTATTGAAAACAACAAAACATACAACACGATATGAAAAATAAATACATCCTTCAGATCTGAAGACCTGAGGAATCTCGTCGACTCTTTAAAGTTTTTACCATTGCTGGCACGACTTATTATTATTAAAATGAAACTGTATATTTCAAGTAATCTTTTACATTTGGCACAAACGGACGTTTACAGTGATGTGGCAGGATGGTGAGTGACGCATGGAGGAGAAAATAAATAGGGATATGGGAGGAACTGAAGCATAATATTAAAAAAAAAAAAAAAAAAAAGAGAGAGAGTTACAAAATCATCGGAAAAAGAAGAAGTGTGTTCATGTTAGATGTTGGTGCATGTAAAGTCTCAAACAGTAAGATAAATAACGCCCGGGTCATTTTAAAGTCACGGCTGAACTCAGATAAAAGAGAAATGTTCTTGAGCCCCTTTGGTATGTTTCTGTATTTACAGAAAACATTACATCACATAAAGGCAGACATAAAGTTTAGGTTTTTTCTCACTCAAACTCATTATAAAAGCACTTTAATATAGCCCTACTCGGCCTAAACATTTCAAAGGATCAATGATATCCTGCAGGGTTGCCAGGTCTCATGTGGTCACCATCACACTTTAGTTGTGAAACACTGCCGGACGTTTAACTCCAGTTTAATAGTATGAAATTCTGCGAAAGACTCTCATCCGCTTAGTTTCTGTGAACTACACGAGAAGATTGATACCACGCTCATATCGTTTAGCTTAGCTTAAAGACTGAAAACAGAGGGAAACACGTTGCCTGGCTCTGACTAAATATGTTTAAAACACCTGCTATCCAACACCTTTTAAGCTTTCAAAAGTCACTGCACCCCTAAAACCCCTAATAATTGTCCTTTTTAAAACTTTGGTTTTTGTACAGATTAAAGAAATGAGATGAGATTTAGAGAATTACATTTTGTTAACTTGGGCACAGAAAGGCTAGCTGTTTACAGCCTTTATGCTAAGCTAAGCTAAGCTAACAGACTGATACAGGAGCGGTAACTCATCTAACTCTCTGAATAAGCTTATTTCCTAAAATGTAAAACTATTCCTTTAAATTTGTGCCTCACGGTTCTCATCATGTCCACTGGTTGTTCCATTTCAGGCCACTGATCAGTACATGAATTCAAGAATAAGGTGATTGATAAAGTACTTTGGTGGGATTCTGGATGTACAGAGCAGGTTAACAGTTTGTAATTGCAAGTTAAATTAATCTAATTTAATTTAGTATATAAATTAATACATTCAACGCAGGCTTAGTTGCATTTTTTTCTACAATAGTGTCCATCGCTGTGAAACACGAGGTCATCATGGTTACAGTAATTGTGCGTTTTGTTTGAAGATTTCACCTGATAACATGTCTGATATGTTAAAATATTGAGGAAAAACTCATCAATGCAAAGCGTTGTTGGCACAGTGTAAAGCCAGTCTTGAAGACGGGGAACCTGCACTGATGAACTGAAGCTTGACAGGCCGGTTGGATCTGTGAGTGGGAAGATGGAGTGAGGCGTACACCAGCTTTTACTGTTTCCCTGAGAATGCTTCCAGGTCGAACGCTGTGTCCAGTAGACGCTGCAGCTCTGAGAGGTGAGTCTGCTTGTTCCCGGTAGCTGGAGCTGCTGCGGACCCACGACCAGCATACCTACAAACACGCACAAATGAGCTTACAGACACTCAACGGCAGAGATGTGTACTGAAATTAGTTTTCTGGTCCCAACAAAGGAGGACTCACCAGACGGGGCGGGCGTGGTTGATGGTCGTACGGATGCGGGGCTTGACGTAGTCGTAGTAGCCCTGGTTCTTGTGCTCCTCCTGACACCACACCAGATCAGCGTTCGGGTGACGATCAGCCTCTGCTTTCACCAGGTCAAACGGGAACGGTGAGAGCTGAAAAGAGGGGAGAAGAATCTGATGTAAGGAGGCGGCATCATGCAAATCAAGTTCAGTCAGGACAACTTTCATCAAAGAAACTGATGTTTGCACCGCAGTGTAATGCAAAGCAAATTCCTCGTATGTGTAAAACAATACTTGGCTCCTTTTGATTCTGAGTGTGTTGGACAGATTTGTGCAGCGATGTTCATGATTGTAAGCATTCAATTCACACACTGGCCTCTTGTCAAGCTCTGTACTCAAGTACTTTTTTAGCCATTTTAAATAGTAAAAAATAAATAAAATCAAGTGTTGATAATGTGGCGCGCTGCCACAAATAAATCACTGTGTGGGAAACACTGTTACATAATGATTATTCACGCATGAATTTAATTAATGGATGTTTACAGCTGTAATTGGTCGAGGTTGAACTATTTTGTGTATGTAAAAATCTTACTTTGTAAAGTAACTAGTAAACGGAAGCTGTCAGATAAAGTAAAAAGTACAATATCTCCCTCTGAGATGTGGTGAAGTAGAAAGTACAAACACCTCTAATTTGTACTCAGGTACATTACTTGAGTCGGCTTTTGCAATGTAGTGAAATAAAATTTAGAGAAATGTGGTGGCCCGTTTTTGTCAAGTGTATAAACAAAACAGGAATAATAGTTTAGAGAAATGTCTGGCCGCACGCTGACATTACCTGTTCGATGCGGACAACAGCTACAGCGTCGTCCATGCCTCTGTTCTTGCGCTCACGGGTCAGTTCATAGTAAATCTTTCCAGTGCAGAAAACGACTCTCTTCACCTTTTCTGGGCTGGCAGCTGCAGGCCCGTCATCAGGGATCAGACGCTTGAAGTGGGTGGCTGCAGGAAAACAAACACACCAACTCTTAATAACACAAAGCGAGACTGAGAGGAGACATTTACATGTATGTTCTTTCCATCTTCAGTCCTCACCAGGCAGCATGTCATCGAAGCTGGACTTGGCTTCAGGATGACGCAACAGCGACTTGGGAGTAAATACTATCAGCTGGTGTTAAAGAGATAAAAAGACAGGACAACTTCAGCTGACATGAACCACGTTGTCTTGTCGTGTGTTGAGTTACGTTTCGTGGTAGCGTCACTCACGGGCTTCCTGAAGGGCTGCAGGATCTGCCTGCGGAGAACGTGGAAGTAGTTCGCAGGAGTAGAGCAGTTGACGACGATCCAGTTACAGTCGTACAGCTGACGCACGGCAAAGTCCTCTGACAGTTTCTGACAGCAACAAAAAAAGTAGCGGGCAGGGTAAGAACTTCTGCACACTGTCAAATCAAATAAAACATGATTTGTACCTTCAAAAAAGACAAGAAACAAAGTCTAAACTGAGCATAAATAAAATCTTTTAACGGTCTGAATGGAAACAAATAGTGGAAATAACACAGGTCTTTAATTAAAGAGCTATTGATATATTGGCCATCATCAATCTGTAGATTATTAGCTAAAATTGCATAATTTAAAAAAAATGCTGGTTGTGCATTAAATGGAAGGAGGTCCAGATGACAAATGACAGAGAGACAGTATTCACAAAGATCTGAAAAGCTCTCTTGGCACAGACAATCCCTAACTTCAGCTCCTCCGTTTTGCCAGGATACCAGGCTTCGGCGTCTGATTATGACATAGACGTAACACCTGTCAGGCGAGCTTTGTCCTGCGCTTTTTGTTTACATGTCCAGCTGCTCTGGCTACAAGCAGTTTCTGTTTGCACTTTACAGACAAAACCAGCTGGACTGGAAAGTCTGAATCTGATGATCTTGTGCAAGCGATTGTAAGTGTGTGGCATTTGTAGCAAATTGTCAATATTGTGACAGAGAAAAAAACAAATATCTTGGCAGAAATTTTATGTTTTAACTGCTAGTATTATGTTTTTATGTAAACTCACAGGGAAAACATCAGGGTCATCGTTACACATCTGCAGAAACCTTTCAGGGCGGGCAGACGAGTGCTCTGGACCCTGAGAGAAGGAGGAAAAATGAAGAGCTGACAAGTTATTTATATCTTTAACCGAGCTCTTGTGGCTTTGCAGCATCATGAGATGATTCATAGATAAATGCAGATTGTGGCAGATCGTGTTTCTTAGTTCCTACCATGCCCTCCATGCCGTGAGGGAGCAGCAGCACGATGCCATTCTGTCTCACCCACTTGGCCTGGCCCGAGCTGATGAACTGGTCGATGATGCACTGAGCGGTGTTATGAAAGTCTCCGAACTGGGCCTCCCAAAGAACCAGAGCGTTAGGACTGGCCATGGCAAAGCCTAATTCAAAACCTAAAGACAGACGAGGAAATCAGGTGCAAAGCAGAGCCAGGCCAGTGATGAGCACAGTGACATGACCCATTTTAGCATTTTGTAGAGAAACACAGAGAGGTGCTATCAATTATGTTACAGGACGTGAACACAGTGGAAGCACAAACCAGGCAAACAGTGAACACACTGTTTTATTTATTTCTATTTGATGAACTATATGAACTGAATTCATAACACACACAAGCTTCCTGTTTTATTTATTTATTTCTAATATTCTTTTTCTCCACAAACACACACACACACACACACACTTGTACTCTGGGCGAAAGGCGGGGTCCACTCTGGACAGGTCGCCAGTCCATCGCATAGACAAACAACCACTCACACTCACACCTATTTAGGGCCACTAATTAACCTATTTTGAACATGAACATGGACAGAACATGCAAACTCCACACAGAAAGGCCGGGATGACCGGGGTTTGAACCCACGACCTTCTTGCTGTGAGGCCACAGCGCTATCCACTGGAACACCCGCCTGCCCGCCTACTTTTACTGTTCTAGGTACTTTATTTTTAATTTTTAAAATGTATTTATTTAACACACACAAGCACACAATTTTACTGTTTTATTTATTTGATGAATCATATGAACAGAATTTACAGCACGCACAAGATTCCTGTTTTATTTATTTATTTCTAATTTTTCTAATTCTAATTTTTTTATTTATGTATTTTTTCCACACACACTTTTACTATTTATTTTTAAATTTATTTAAATTTAATTTATTTATTATTTCTTTTTTAACACACACAAACACAATTTTACTGTTTTAATTATTTATTTCTAATTTTTATATTTTTTATTTATTTTTTCACACACACACACACACACACACACACACACACACACACACACACACACACACACACACACACACACACACACACACACACACACACACACACACACACACACACACACACACACACACACACACACACACACACACACACACACACACACACACACACCTTTTCTGTTTTACTGTATGAGGTGAATTGTTCTTCTGTAATTTATTTGTAGCTTTGGCAATATTGTTGTTTGACAATTATGCCAATAAAGCTGAATTGAACACATCGGTGTAGCGGTCATTTGGTACCACGTTGGTTTCGGTTTCGATAGGCTTCGTCATTAACATGCCTCCTCCGACATTTATATTTCTCACTTGGTTGCATCTGAGGCTTCCCTATAATTTTACTAGCTATATTTACTATTAAATGCTATTTCAATTTATTCCCAACATTCAGATTTCCGAATGACAGTATTTTTTGGGAGTTTCTACTGGGGATTACAGTTGAAAAGCATCATGTGTGTGCGCCACTCACCTAGTACTCCATATTCAGACAGAGAGCTGTTGCAGACAGTGTACGGAGCTTGACCCGGGGAGATGTAGTTCATTGGGATGCAGATCCTCTTATCAACGTTCTGATCGTGGAGAACATGGTGCCGATGGCTGTGAAGCAAATCAGAGAAAAGAAAAAAGGTATAAAGCTATTGTGTGAGAATCATCCGTGGAAGAGATGACATGTAGTTAACCGGAACATTTTAAATTTAGCGAGAATTGTATATAAATACTGACAAAAGGAACAGGTACAGTTCAATACACAGGGATTTAGGTGCAATCACCCTTTATTATTAAACCAAAACAGGAGAAATTTAGAAAAAAGGAGCATTAATCAGTGTCTATTTCCTGAAGGTAACTATTTTTTCATTCCGACAGTATTTTTCACCCTCATCTTCCTGTAGTTGACGGGTGTAAAGCATCTTTTTCAATTGCTTGTACAGTAGATAGCTGATAGTGTTCATACCTTCTTTGAAGCCAGCATTTGGTGACACTTTTTAACTTCAAGCCATAAAGACATATTAGGGCTGAAACGATTCATCGATTAAATCAATTAATTCGATTACTAAAATGTATCGACGCAAATTCTTTGCATCAACACTTCGTTTAATCCATATACTGTAACTATGCAGCACAGTGTGGACCACAGACAAGCTAACAGTAACTGCAACTTCAGCATTTAACTGAAATCATGATTTGGGATGTAGCGCCACAGTCAGGAGTTTACTGGTTGTCGGTGAGCTGCACCTTAGTATAACTTGTTTAGCACTCGGGTGATGTTTGTGTTGGTAAAGCAGTTGTCTGGTTGTTGGTCTGTTGATGTTGTTGGTCTGATGTTTGCTGTATGACGCTAGGACAAATAAATATCTATCAACGTACACAGCTGAACCCGTTACCGAGCAAAAGTACTTCTTAAATGACGCATCGATGAATCGTTGAAATAATCTATAGAAATCATCGTTAGCTGCAGCCCTGAGAAAGATCATTTTTACACATACCTTTGGACACATCTCCAAGATACAGAGGAACAAAACCTCAACAATAAAACCAAGTATCTGACGTCAGACTCCTAGATAAGCTGAATCCGTAACCAATACCGAGTGAATCTGCCGTATGCATTACCTGAATGTGCCCCTCTCCACATCCTGTCCACTGAGGCGTACGTGGATCCCCTCATTGAGCAGAGAGCCGAAGGCCATATATTCCCCGAGAGCCCAGTCACACACTCGCTGGTTCACCATATTTGCGCGGCCCTTCAGGATGCGACTCAAACCTAAGACAAGGACACAAGGCAGAAATACAGATTAGAAAGAGACTGACGGTGCGTTCAGAGGATGCTCGTCGAAAGAGGAGGACAGCGATCTGCACCTCCGTGTATAGTGAAGTCTTCCACAGGGACTGAGGCGGCGATGTTTCCAATGTGGCAGAGCTCTTCTTCACGGATGCCGGTGGGACGGCAGCTCATAGTTTTGGGCTGTCCCTCCAGAGTGAAAAATTCTGCAGACAGACACAAAAACACGTTACACTTTCATGCCACGAACGACTAAATACTGGGATGAAAATCAGGCTCCTACCAGGCCACGGCGAGTCCAGCCAGTGCTTGATGTGAAGGATCTTCTCGTCTTTGGAGCGAGCGTAAGCTTCCTCACAGATTTTGTCATAACTAGCTACTTCCTCCTGAAAGAGACAGAAAGAAAGAAACAATTTAAAAGAAGAGTGTGCAGACATGCTAGCAACCCTGCACTGAGCTAAATGCTAACATTAGCATGCTAACATGCTCACCATGACACTTGGTATTTGTAGTCCATTTATTGTAGCTGTGAATCAGCATCTTGATATGCCACACCTGTGAGGTGGATGGATTATCTCGGCAAAGGAGAAGTGCTCACTAACACAGATTTTGACAGATTTGCTAACAATATTTGAGGGAAACAGGCCTTTTGTGTACAAAGAGAAAGTCTTAGATCTTTGAGCTCAGCTCATGTTGAATGGAGGCAAAAACAAAAGTGTTGCGTTTTGTTCAGTGTATGTATAATGAATACAGTACATATTTCACTACAGCTGTTTGATGAGCAGCATCTTCAGCGTCGCATGTTTCTTTACCTCGTACTCGTGTGTTGTGATGACTCCCTCAGCGATGAGTTGTTCAGCAAACTTCTTCAGGACCCCTTTCTGCTTCTTGATCTGCTTGTACATCAGCGGCTGGGTGAACATGGGCTCATCCATCTCGTTATGGCCGTTACGTCTGTAACACACCTGAATGTGAAGAGGCAAAAGGATAGGCATACTACTTTACTCATGATCTTCTCTTATACATCTGTCTGCCTGTTGACATCAATAACAGAAACTGGAAGAGCCTGCGGCGTTATCTACATATAGAAACAATATTGTGCCTCTGTGACGGCCGGCTTTTGACACCGCCATTCAGATCAAGTAAACACAGACGTGGTCGGGCAACACGTCATATTGTGCTTGTCTAGCATAAGAATGCAGATTCCAACAGAAACCAGTGGGGGCTTTATGTCAGTGGTCCAGAGAGGAGTCAGAATGGGTTTAGCTCTTAGCAAGCTCTTAGATATTATTGTGCACCAAGGGGCTAAACAGCTCTTTACTTTTTGTTTTTGACTTCTCTGGTCTGTCACCCATAAACTCTCCCCACCTGAAAACATATCTCTGAATTTAGAACAAAAGGCTTTTTTTATTTGAGAGAAAGTGAAACAAAATTCAACTGTTCAAAGAACTTCTCTGTGTTCCCTCACAAACCCTCTGCATATATAGTTTGGTAGTTGAAAAATAGTCAGCGAGGAACACCTCCTATATACCTACCAGGTCTACGACCACATCTTTATGGAAAGTGTTCCTCCACTCGGCCGCCACCTTGGACACATACATCACAGCCTCCGGGTCGTCTGCATTGACATGAAAGATGGGCGCGTTGACGACCCGTGCTACATCTGTAGGATAAGCAGATGAACGTGCCATCCTGGGATCTGTGGTGAAACCAATCTGTGTGGATGAGAGTATTAATTACTAAATAAACAGCTGCTATGATACTGCACTCTTTCTAACCAGCAAGGTTCACACTCAGCTATTGTGACTATTTTCTAGATCCATTATGTGGTTTGAATCTACTGTCAACTGTCTCGCCACAACATTTCAGGCTCTGCATCCAATGTGTATTCACGAAAACTGATGATAAAGTAATGAAGGGACGAAATGAGGATCCCAGCAGCCTTCGTTACTTCAAGAAAACAAGACTTCATAAAGCTAAACAGGTTTTATTTTCAATATATTCAATTTAAGTAAACTCTTTAGACTCAAAACATTTGAAAATCATAGAATATGTGCAGTAACAATGGCACCAAGTCACTTGACTATTTGTTGCTCTAATTGAAAAATGTTATTATGAGAAATGTTTAAAGGGTTCAGTAGGTAGACTGGATTTTTACTGGAGATCTAAACTGAATAAATGTATTGAAATTTGCATAAAAACATTTACAAAGTTCAGTAAAAGTAATGTATAATGGAAGTCCACATAATTTACTGATTAAAAAGAGTCTTCAACGTACAGAAACTGTAAATCGAACGTCTTCCCCATGTGATCCACACTTACAGTTTAATATTTATATATAATTCTCCTAATATGCAATATGAAAAATTGTATAACCCCGTTAACACAGCACTCAGTATCTGAGGAAAGACTCATGGACATGAGACTAACTCTCATCGGAGCCCAAGCATGTGTACCTGGTTGTTTACCACCACATGTATGGTGCCATGTGTGGTGTAGGACGGCAGGTCAGACAGGTGGAACGTCTCGTACACGATACCCTGGCCTGCGAATGCAGCATCGCCATGAAGCAGAATAGACATCACCTGTGAAGTCCATTCATCGGGTTACAAACACGTTAAGAACACGAGCGAAACTGCCTTCCCCATATGTTTACGTAAAGGCCTGACTCAGCGTACCCTCTTGCCCTCAGTGTCTCCGCCGTAGAACTGCTCAGCTTTGGTCTTTCCCTGCACCACCGGGTCCACTGCCTCCAGGTGGGACGGGTTGGCCATGAGTGACATCGTGATGTACCGCTCGCTGACACGGTTCATCATCTTGTGATACATCCCCAAGTGATATTTCACATCGCCAGAGCCCTGAGAGCAGAAAATCAGGAAGGTTCAGGTTACTTTATTTGTACCCGTAGGAAAATAAGAGACAGTAGATAAACATAATAAAGGTTCCAGTCATTACTAAATTAAAAAGTAAACAAATAAAATATCTGTCTCATTTGTGCTGCTGGAAAGAAGCTTTTTTTTTACCGCTCTGTTCTGCACTTTGGGAAAATGTAAGAAAGGAAGAAGCTAAAATTCACTGTGCAAAGCCTTAAGCAAGCATATTTGGGCATATTTATACACTTCGGCCTTGATTTCACATGATAAACTTGTGCTAAATGATCAGTGAGTACACCAATCAGTTATCGACACCAACAGAAAACAATTTCGATAGTCTGTTAATCATTTTAGTCAAAACCCCAAACATTTGCAGATTCCCGTTTCTCAAATGTGACGATTCGTTGCTGAACTCTCTTTAAATCATTTTAAAATGTAATTTCTTCTGGTTTTGGCCTGTTGGACGGTCAAAACAAGCAACTGCAAATGGCTTGACATTCTGGAAAATGTGCTGTCGGCAAGAAAGCAAATTTCCCACAATGTCGAGCAATGTTTAAAAACCTTTGGCTCAGAGTTTATAGACTAAATGAATAATCGATACAATAAAACAACAGATTAATGGGCAGTGAAAATAATCAGTGCGTGCAGCCTTACAATCACTGATAACTTCTAATGTAACTTTAATCAATATGTTCTCTGGTCTCAGCAGGTAATGTTCAAACCTCGTCTGCAGCCTCCAGTTTAGAGTCAAACTGGCAGAAGATCTGGTCCAGCTCCTTCCGGATCACGTTAGCCAGCACATTGAGCCGGCCCCTGAAGACGGAGACAGACACATCGGGAGGGACCAATCAGTCAAGGTGTTTCATCAATGTATCGTGTGAAAAAAGTTTTGTAAGAGTTTATTAGAGACACAACGTTTGAGTCACTGATGTTCACCATGTGTCAAATTCATAATGTGAAAAATTACTTCTCTGTACTTAAGCCAGAGACGGGAAAAGAGGGGAACCAAATCTCCAACACATGACTAAATTACCACATGAATAATTGACAAAACATCCCTAATCAGATAATATCAAAAATTTAGTATGCTCTCAGGTTTTTGTGTGTTTTTTTTCTGTTATTTTCTGTTATGTCCATTCCTGTTTTACTCTTTGCCTCTGTGTTCTTGTTTAGGTTTGGTTAGTTGATCATTGGTTCCTTCTTCTCTGTTGTATTTGGTATCACATGTCCTTTTATGTATTGTCACTAGATTTACTTCCTGTTTTATTTTGTAGTGGTCAGTTTCATGTGTTTTTGTCGAGATTTGTTTCCTGCCTGCTTGTTTGTATATATTGCCCTCAGTTCTGTTCAGTCCTCGTGGTGTCATCGTCTTATGTTGAGTGTTGTACTGCCTTGTACTCTTTTTTTGGATATTCCCTGTGTTTGGATTACCGTCACCTGTTGTTGGATTTAACCCGTGTTGGACTGCCTTTGTTGGATTTTCCCATTTGTTCGGACTCTCGCTGTGAATTTAGACGTAAGCCTTTTTTTGTTAGTATTCCTGTTTTGTTTGGACTAAATAAATCTTTATTTGAACTGCAACCTCCTCGTCAGTGTCTGCAACTTAGGTCCACATCTCTGTTCCTCTGCTTCTGCACATTTCAGCCTGTTGTGGATTAAACTGTAGTCTTGAGTGAGACTCTGCTGCAGAACAGACAGTCTGCAACTTCCAGCCACCTGCAGCTCCAATATTTGTCTTTTTTTTATTCCTATGTTCCATTCATACTAGAATTGCACAAAGCAGCGTTGCCTTTCTTTTAGTCAGCATTGTTAAGCACATCTTGTTTGATTAAACTTTATTCAAATGGTCACGGGACAAAACCATAAAAGTCGCAGGTTCTGTCTGTGCAGAAAGGCAACGAGAGCTGTTTACCTGTGAGGCATCCCCATGATCACACTGTCCACGCCGCTCTGACTGGAGTGGTCGATGATGGTCTTCAGGGCCGGGATGAGCGATTCGCAGCCTTCCAGTCCGAATCGTTTCTCTGAAGACCACTTCCTCTGGAGAAACTCCTCGAACCTGTGGACAGGAGGTGGTGCTGCTGCTTCACATTGCGGCTCAGAACATCTATAACACCAACACCCCTCCCCACCTAGCCCGCTCAGTTAATTACTGCGGAGCTGAGGAATGAGAAGAAACCCGGACTGACCTTGTGGATCGGATCATTCTGGCCAAAAGAGTCCTCTTCTCCTCCAGGCTGAACTGCATGATGCCTGGTGTCTCAAACTTCTGTCTGATCCACTGGCACTGCTCCACGTCGTTAATGAACATAAACTCTACTCCTATATGCTGACAGTAGGCCATCTAGAAGAGAGAGGGAGAGGTCAGCGTGGCCAAGCAGAGGGCTTCCTGAGTGTAACGTCAGGTATCACATGTTCTGTTAAACCCAGAAGCTGCACTCAGAGTTTAGTCTGAAGACAAAAGTTACAGACCTCACAGTGATGCTCACCATCGTTACCTTCTTAGACTGGCTCACAGTGTGTTTTGGAGTTGATTTAAAGAGATTACTGATAACTTTGAAAGCTCTGAATGCTTTATTTCTGATCTGTTAGTATCATACAAAACAGCCGGGCTGAGATCTTTCATCTGTTCCTCTTTAAAGTCCTTTAACTTGTTTATAAACCCCTATATAACCTGGCATATTGGCAGATTAAGAAATCTGGTTAAACTGCTTTCAGTTTTTATGCCCCTGAGGAGCACTCTTAGAACGGCAAACTCAAAATTAAAGATGTGCTTTTATACTGGCTTTAAATTCGGGGGGTTAATCCCATTTGTCAGCTCAAAAGTTTCCCTTTTTGTTTCATTATTTTTATTTACACGGTACAGTAATGTAACACGACTTTTTTACTTATTGGTATTGTTTATTTTTGTTTTCTGCTCGACATTCATAGTTTTTAAACCCTGTTTAGTGAAGAACCCTGGACAGCTACTCTGCAATGAAAAAAAATCCATTCTTAGATGCATCGAGATGCGGACGTGGAATAACAATGCGAAAGGCAGAACTCGGAAGTACAGTCTGTGGCGTGCACATTACAGAGACCGGTCTTCACTTTATATTTGGTGCACCGCCGCTGCTGAATGAATGAAAATTTCACACAATCATTAATATCAACCGCGGATTAATATCACGGTAACACTTAATGCTTGGCAAGCTTCCTCTTCTCATTCAAGAACATCTACGTGACAGATGCTGTTATAAGAGCAGCGTAAGTTAGGTGTTTTAAGGGCGGTGCGTAATGTGTTTGTGTGTACTGAGTGTGCGGTTGAGCGAATGAAAGCGAGTGACGGGGAAATCTTGTGGAGGGTGGTGACCTCGGAGGAGCGGAGGTTCGTCAAGCAAATTAGGTGTGCAAACTAGTCCTTTCAAGCTAATGAGGAGACGTGCAAATGAAATGCCTGGTAATTATCCAGACATCCTTTATCAAGATGTAATCGAATCGTGAGATGCCCAGAGATTCCCACCCCTACAAATACTTATTATTAATTATTATGACAATGTGGATGTTTTCTTTTTTTTATACCAGTGGCCCATTTTAAAGCATTTTACCTCAAGGCGGCGTATAATCTCTTTGAGCGGCAAAGCGCTCTCACTGCCGCCGATGAAGGTGGTGTTGGGAAGTCGGAACACTTTGTCCAGGTCAGATTCAGCCAGCCCGTAAAGACCTGTTGTAAAGACACAAAGAGGAAAGGAAACACCAATGATATGAAGATTTCCTGGAATCCTGGAACATTATCTTACAGCCCATTTGAGCTATAATCTGTCATCACTTTATTTGTAAGCTTTGATTAATTGATTAATGGTTTGCCTGGTGCCACTCACAGACCTCTTCCTGTCTGTGGTGGTCCTGGTCTGTATGTGTCTGAAACGATTAATCAGCTAGCAAAATCGTTAATCAACAAATCAACTACTCGTGGGATTCAAACTCCTGACCTGCGTTAGTGTAATTAGTGTAATTTTGGATCCATTATTAGATAATTAAGAGAGTTGCTGCATGCTGGGGGACTAGATAAAGTAAGAATGGACAAAACTGATGCAGCGGACGTAACGGAGGTTTCCTGCTAACGATGCGTACTCCCTGAGCCCAAACTGAGATGTCCCCGATGACATCACTATGACATCATCTGGGTTATGTTCTCAGACTTGACAAAGATCCTCCAGAGAAACTAAAGACATAATACAAATGTTTTCACCGGCTGAGAAGAACTCCTCCTTGCTAGTAAAATGGCATTTGTTTACATTTTGAGACACTGAATTGGATCTCAAATGATCCTTTAATCCCGTATGAGATCGAAGCTCACTTGTGGACACTACAGAATCAAAACTGAACTTTTTACAATCTGAATGTCGCTGAGCTTTCTCTGTCAGGACCCGATGCTCTGGACTAACCTGCCAAACAAAAAAGGAATGTGGAGTGTGTCCTCCTTTGAATACCTGCTTGCAGGCTTGTAACCTTGTCTTTATTCAATGAATATAATAATATAATAGAAATTGCGATCATTACATCATACCAAATCTGGTAATGCTTTTCAGGAAACAACCATGTAGGTTGGTATTAATTATACAGAAAATGTGCACAAAGTTCTGTTATTAGTTAGTTCTGTAAACCTTGTTTTTGAAGAGCTCTGTAAATACATTTGGGTAACCTTTCCTTGCAGGGGTGGAAATTATCTTTTTGGCTCGCCTGCCAATGGGACTGGTAGATGAAAAAATCCACCTGGCAAAAATAGTAACTTTCCTTTTTATGTCACGTAAACATTTGTTTCAGTACTTTTAATTGAGATAATAAGGTATTCTGTCAAACTTAAAGAAGACACCAGATTGAAATTTGAAGCAAAATTATTTTATTGCTATTAAATGTACTTAGGACAGTAAATTATTTTATAAACTTATTAATCATTCAACTTAAATCTCAACACTGCTCACTCTTAATCGTGCTTTATCATTCAACCTAAAACTCCTCATTAATTCATATTTGTTTATGTTCTGCTTCAGCAGTGTATCACTAGTACAGGTCTAATATTAATAGTAGGTTGTTTTCATTTATAAAATCTTTGTTCAAGAAAAACAGTATACATCGGTCTGTTTAATTTATTAATGCTAAGTACTAACAAAAAAATCATAACCATTCATGCACAAAAATGATGAAAAAAGTTGTAGTTTTTACTCGCACATTTTTCTGTACCAGCCATGTACGTTGGTATTAATTATACAGAAAATGGTCACAAAGTTCTGTTATTTTAGTCAAGAGTTTAGTTAGTTGTGTTGAGTTTATGTAATTAGTGGTTGTGGATTTGCTCCATTTAAACCAAACATTCATTTATTATTTAAAACTTAATTTATCTTAGTTATTGAATGTTTAATGACCTGCTTTGCACTGATTAAAAGCATCTATAGATTAGGCCAGCAATTAATCAGACTAAAGACATTTTCCTTACAACCAAACTGCACTGTCCTTCCTAAGATACGTCCTAGTAAACTCCTGGGAATTTATAAGGACAATTATTATCATTTCGGATTAATCTGCTGATAAATTATCGTTTGATCTGTTAATCACGTGGTCTATAAAATAAACAAACAAAGTGGCGGACCCCGCCACACAACGCTATTCCAGTCGAAAACTAATGAAATACGAGGTTCTGTTGGTGTTTCAGAACATTTACGTTTTATTCATTCGACAGACGCTTTTATCCAAAGAGACTTACATTTGAGGAGCAACATACAAGCATCAATAAAGTACTACTAGTAAGAGCAGCACTAAATAGTAAGAGCTATTATGGATCAGTGGAATACATGCCTAGGGGTAGGGCTGGACAATAAAACAATAACAATAATTGTTGCAATACAATTTTCCACAATAACAATATAACAAATGTTAAATAAATATTCAATCAATGTTTAATCTTATTCATTTGAATCACAAACGCTTTAGCGCTTAATTTTTCTATTAAGATATTTATTTTGTTGAGAAAAAGAGACTGAAATATATTTTACTTAATTTTACTCAAGCATAGTTGTTGAATAAAATATTTTGTAATAATTGTTTTGAAAGTTCTGCCTCATTTGTTAAGTAATCCAACATTTTTGGCCCAAGCCCTATCTAGGGGAAGACTTAAGCGTTAACGAATAGTGTAATCAATACAAGAGAATTGTACGGAGATTAGCACATTTTTGAAAAATTTTAAGCAAGGACTAAAAACTAAACAACGTCATGCAACAAAATCACTCTTTCTTTGCCTCTGTGTGTTTATGTTGACAAATATTTACTAAACTTTGCTGACGTAAGCAAAATTGGGGCAGAGTTGTGTCTGAGGTTCCCCTGAAAATAAACCACGCAGAGTGTCAGAACAAGAACAGGGAGGAGCGGCGAACAGGGCCGACCTGATGGGTTCGATTTCAAAAGTCAATATTCGGAGGAGCAGCAGGCTGACACATTATTGGGTGGCTTGTGTTTATCTATAGCACGTGATGTCCTGGTTGCACCAAACAGAGATAAGACAGTATGGAACGGAGAGGGTTGTATCTACGTCTGTTCTCAGCAAATTAGTGCAGGGTGCTGTGCTGAGTGCAGGGGGTTTTCAAACCAATATGCCAGAGTCAGTTCTCTGCGTTACATAAGGGATCTTTAGACTTTCCTCCCCGCGTCTGCAGACCCCCCCCACACCCAGCAACACACACGTTGTTGTCTTTGATGGTTCAAAGTATAGGCAGTAATCAAGTAGTGTCTGCCTGCAATCTAATCACAGTAACATTTTAATGAAGCAGGCACAGATAAGCCTGAATAAGTCCTGTCTGACCCCACTGGCTGCTGAGCAAAGGTTTGGACGAGCCAACACACACATACACACACCTCCTTTCTAAGTAGTACCACCCAAATTAACCGTCAGCCTGGGCCTTTTTAAAGCCAACAGAGAGGAGCGCAGGGGCAACCTCAACACTAGGTTAATAATCTGCTGATAAACCACAGGAACGCCGCGGACCAGAGGCAGCCTATTAGATTAGAAAGTAATGTGCAGTCACTGGATGTAGGTCAAAGGTTAGTCCCCACTAAAAAGAGCAAAGAGTTCTCGTCCTACCCTCCAGCGATCTGATTATAGAGACCTTTTTTATAGTGAGACAACTCTGGAGGCCTGGAGAAACACTGACGCACTCACTGTGTAGGCTAAGTATCGCACAGAGATGCTCATTTATGCTTTCAGGCTGATTCGGACCCCGACGCCAACCTATTGTTGCACCTCTGTGAAGCGGCCAGGACAAAGCAGAACTCGGTGAAACTGAACAATACCTCTATTAGCTGTGGAAACATCCTATCACAGCTCATAACAATCACCTGTTTTTGAACTCAGAGCCCCGACCTTTTCAGCAGGCACAATGACCGTTTGCTGCAGGCATGCACAACACACCACAGCAAACACACACACACACACACACACACACACAGTTCAGTTTGACTGGGTCAAAACTAACAAGTCTATGTTTAGTTAACACATTACTGAAACTGAGTCAACATGTTTAAAGTAAGTCATTAAACATCATGTTAAGTATCCTCATTTGGGGAAAAATGTCAGAAAACAACACAAACATTTTAACTGACGGGGGGAAGAAAGTCGCACATTAATGACAATAAAACCTGTCAGCTTAACTTGTATCCTCATAAACTATATCATGGTTACAGTATGTGCTGATAAGATCAACAAGATACACACGTGCAGGACATTTGACAAGACAAGACTACTTAGTGAGCTCACTGGCAAAATTAAAACAACACTTTCGGACACGACTCAAATCATTCTCTAGGCACCTTTACTTACACACATGCAAACGTGCCAGATCAATCAGTAGGATATTTTTCTATCACGGCAATGCATGATGGTACATATGGCTTGAGTAGTGACCATCAGTTGTTTGCTACTCTTCAAAATTCCTTCTGGGACTTTGAGTCGACTACATGGGGCGGGGGTCGGCAAATAAGTCTGGCATCGGGCCAAATTATTCTCAAGTCATTAGATGGCGGGCCGGAACGTAGTAAATTTATATATATTGAATAATCCATGTACTGTGTGGGTTGTGTGTTCACTCCCCACTTGCTGCTAGTATCTCCCTTTTCAACAAACTGATTATGAAGAGATCGTTTTACATGTTAACATTCAAGCATGTGCAGGCGCTTTTATTTTGTACAATCACTTAAGAGGAAGTGATTATGTGAGTAACTTTTGCTGTCATGACTGAAATCTGTTTCAGCACCAGCCGCTATAATGTTTTTTTTTTTTTTTTTTTGCTGTTATCAAAGTAATCTGGCCACGGGCTACATATTTTTGTTGGCGGCCGGCTTTTGCCAGCCACTGACATAATACTGGTATAATAATTCTCACTACACATTTAGACAGACCTACAAAATAGCAAACTCAGTAGTGAGTTATTTCAGACCTTAGGGCCCATGTCCACCAAAGTGTTTTTTGCCAGCTGCTCTTCTGAAAACGTCCATCAGGGAGCGCTAGCGGGCGTTTTTGAGGCGCAGCGTTTTTTTCCCGACTGCTTTGGTTGCTATGATACATTTGTTGCAAGTAGTTCTACCAAACTTTACTGGATGTAAAAAATGTCAACACAGAGCAGAGTACTTGTTCTGGCTCTTGTTCTGCATGAAGGGAAGGCTGAAGCAGGTAGAGAGCGAGGACGGACTCGCCGTATGTAGGTTCATGTGATTTTGTGGGCGAGGAAACATCTCGGCGAGTGCCACCGTTTAGTCCAAGAGCTGAGGTTCGACGAAGCCCGGTTCCAGGATAGTAACCGTTGCTACGGTGTGGTGTTTGTCCCGCCACTCCTCTACTGTGATTGGACAGCTGGGTAAAAAGTGACGAGCGCAGCGTTTTTCCCAAAGTTGAAGGCGACTAGAAAAAAACACTCAGCACTCAGCGTCAGAAAGAAATGCTTTGGTGGACACTTGGAGTCCCTTAAGCCTTATCTTGTTTCCTCACAAACTATAACTTGCTATACACAGTATGAGCTGATAAGAACAACAGGATACACAAGTGCAAGAACAAACTGAACATGGGAGAAGTCTGCCCTCAGGGCTCAGAGTCTTTCTGCCTGGAAGCCCTGAAGGCAAACAAAAAGTCACTTATTAGGATGTGAATATAGATATTAATGATTAATTATCTGGTCAAATACATTTTAAACATAAATGAAATTTTTACAAAATAAATATAGGGCACCACTTTCTAATAAGGCATACTTTACAAAGACTATGTTGTACTTAATTGCTTTATTAATGGGTAATTAATGGTAAATTTAATTAATAATAATAATAAAAAAAACTTTTAGGTAGGCGGGTTGTGCCAGGTGTAGATCCTTCCTCAAGTAAGCTCTTTAATTCCTCTTCACCTAAACCATGGCTTCTTAGAAATTCAAAATCCCAGTATCTTTTACTTACTCTTTCTAATAAACAATCAAACCTGCTGCTGTTATTAATGTTAGTCAATCATTAACAATCCTTTTTTCTGTTTATTCAGAACTGCCCTCAGCTGGGGATAGTAGAGGTCGAATCATAATAAAAACAGCTGTTCAGTATAATATTTTAGTCAATGTGCTTTGCAGCTCTGCAAGTTGTCGTCCTGCTCATTTCAGGGGATTATGAGATACCGGGGTAGAAACATGTAAAAGCTCCCTCTCCAATAAACATGGGGGTATTTTCTTTCAGAAAAATTTTGAAGGCTAATCCGTAGGGCTTCATCAAATGACTATTTTCATTATCGATTAATCTGCAGATTATTTGATTATTTTCCACACAAATGAATGTATGGGAAACACTGTACTGGATATCACTCACCATATTAACCAGTAAACAAGTTCACTTCGAGCCTGGCGCATCACCTTGGCAACGCATCCGATGAAAGCGTCTATACTATATTCGAGCATCACAACCCCTGCAAAGTGACTTGTTTCACTATGAGAATATGATCCATTCGGTCGATAACAAATGTCTACAAGCTAAACCGGAAGTTAACCGGAAGTTAGTTTGCTCGGCCTATAACGCAACCGCCAGCTAGTGTTGTTGGTGGTGTAATTGCAGAACAACGCAGATACCAATACACACGTATAAATGCGTGGCTACTTGCGTAGCTTACCCCGTAGACCAAACTCAGGGCTTCAAAACGGCAGTCCACAAACCAATGGTGACTACTTCCACTTCTTTTATCAAATCACAGGAAGAGGCGAAGGAAAATGAAATTAACATGTAAGCAGGTTTATATTTCTCACCAACGTTCTGGAAACCGACGGTACACGGGGCATCGTCAAAGTCTACACAGCTGATGTCCAGGGGGTCCAGCTTCGCTATGTGGTGCCCTCGTACCTACAAACAGAGAAACACAGTGTAAGTGTGCAACAGGTCAGTCTTTGTCAGCCCGTTTCAGCAGATTAGAGTCTGTCTGCACTTTGTAAACTGCTGACCACTTCCTGTAAGATTTCCTAACACATGTCCACACATGTTAGCAAGAATCCTGCTAAAAAGGATGCAAGATGTTGTTAAAACAGTCGTTTAACAGGTCATCAGCAGATTCGACACTGCCCTAATGTGCTCGGGCAGTGGTGAAAAGCAACTAAATCCGTATGTACTCAAGTACAATAACTTTATTGAGATATTTCCATTTTATGCTTTTACTTTTACTCCACTACGTTCCAGAGCCAAATATTTTACTCCTCGACATTTACCTGACAACTTTAGTTCCTTTTATAGCTATAATTTGCTTCATCCCAACCCCCTGCAACATGTTAGGTAGGGATGCACCGAATGTTCGGCCACCGAAATTAATCGTCACTTTCGGTGTTCGGTCTACTAAGTCAAAAGACCGAATAAAATTTACCGAACATTTACGTTGACATGTCGGCACTTCTTTGAAAAGAACCGCTTTGAGTGTTTCTGTCGCTCGTCTGTGAGAAGGCGATTAAGCTAGCTAAATCTGGAGTGCACACGTATTAAAGCCTTTATGGTAAATCCACTGAAACGGACCAGAGCGAGCTGACAGGCAGGTTAGTGACTTTATCCTGTCAGTTTGTCTCTTTACAAAGACAAGTGCTGCAGTATGAGAGTCCTGCCTGAAGAGAGGCTGTGAAGTCTTCATGTTACGCCGTACGAGAACCACATACAACATTATTTATCAAACTGGGTCGGACTCGAGGAGGAAACACACGTGACAACGTCCAGTTATCAAAATAAGGTCAATCACAAAAGTACCAAGCAGGAACACAACCGGAACTATCCCCTGCTTTGAGGCAACAATGAATATGCATATTTTCACGGTAATGAAAGCAGGTTAAACTGGGCCCACGGAATGACAAAAGACATTAGATTAGAGATTAGATTTACATGTCAAGGGCAGGTTTTTAAACAACAACTTCACTAGAGCTCTCTGTCTGTCATCTGTATGACTGATTGTTTAAGCCATATTTCATCATTACACTGTTTTTACACAAGGTCATCACCTTTCCTGAATTTATTAGAATATTTTTTGAATAAACCAAACCAGAATCACTTTGTTTACAACTTTACAGGTTGAAAACACCAGCCCGCGTGTCTGTAACTTAATGTGTGCAACAGCGTCTTTTCTAACAAATGCAGCCTAAAACATGAGCCATTGTTTGATAGTTGGGGCTCGTAAAATGCATCTTCTCCCAAAAGTGAACTGCAAAGGCAATCTATTCTTAGTTTACTGTTCCTTCTTATCGTTTCACTGTACTGATAGCAGAGGCCTGAAGATAAATGTCACCTGGACTCTGATACGATTTGTTCAGGATCACTGCATCCGTAAACACACTCAAGGTCACTGTCAGAAAATAGTACAGACTTCTACAAAAACCCAACCTTATAATAACAAAGCAACACGCATTTTCTGTGTGAGACAAAGAGCTCAGGGGTGTTTGGAGTTAGTTTACCTGGTAGGCTCGTATGAGTGATTGTACTGCTAGATGATCCTCCAACAGCTTCTCCACGTTGGGCTGAGCCCCCACCAGTGCCTGGACACTGGCCAGTCCCTGAGAAGTCCCGCTAAACGGTGGAGGGGTCTGGTAGGCCGCACCAGGCGGAGCCCCAGCATTGGCGTTACGGAAAAATATGTCCCAGGACTGCAGGGAGACAAAATGAGAGAGAATGAAAGGAGACAAATTACTCAACAAGTTTAAACAAATGTCAGAATTTGTTATATATTATTTAAGTTATCCATTGTTATTTACTTCTTTAATGTGTTTTTAGCACAGGGTCATGCCTAGGGATGGTTATCGAGAACTTTGTTGTTTATTTATCTTTAGAATGTCTTTTGTTCTTTTTGCACTATGCCCAGCTGCTTCTGTAACACTGGAAATTTCCCCATTGTGGGATTAAAAAAGGATTTTTTAATCAAACTGAAATTTCCAAAAACAGTGGATTCGTTAAGACCCATGCGTTTAGATTCTGTTTATCGGTTCCTAACTATCTGCATTTTTCAGCGGTGCTCCCGATTGAACTTGCAGCGAGCATTTTAAAGTCCATACAAGTGTCTCTTATCTGCCAGGACCTGCTATGCCGACCTACGCTGAACGAATGATCTCTACAAATTATTCAATCTACATTTTTCTTAGAGACCCCAGAGACGCCCCTCTAGTAGAGACCCCTTTCACTTCAGCCAAGATGGATGAATTTTGAGAATAGAGACCCTATGCCTCTACCGTACATTACGGGGGCCCCGTAAAATCCGAGAAGAGAACCCCCTACTTGATTTTCATAATAACTCACACAACGGTGAGGATCGAGGGTCGGACGCATCATTTTGTCACAGAGGCGGCAAAAGTTTTGGACGGTCTAGAACGGAGTTGTCACTGAGAAGATTTGTGATGACGGGGATGGAATCAGAACCGGATTTGATAAGTAGATTTGGAGTAAGAATTGGAATCAATAAAATTGAAGCAATAAAGAAACCCAATCCTCCCAGGTTAAATGTTTACAGCATGCACCCGCAAACACAGCAACATTGACGTTGACAGATGTCAAGTGCAGGGCTTGACATTAACACCTGCCAACCCGCTAAATGCGGGTGCATTTCACTCGTGGCGGGTAACACAGTCACTCCCACTAGCCACTTTGGTGCTGTAAACAAGAAGACGCTGTGGAGATTAAAGTAGCCTGCCGTTTATTATCAACTTAACCAGCAGCAGCAATGATATAGCGATCTTTTTTAATTGCAGGAGAATCCATACAACAGGCGCGTCTCACTCTCTCCTACGTGACATCCAGACATTTGTCAAACGTGAATAAAAGTTGAATCTGTCACAGGGCAGCCACAGTCCCTCGGACCTGTAGACCGTCAGCCTCCCGGTCACTTTTAACCCGATAGTATGATCTCTGTCATCACACGCAACTGGCTGCACACGCTCACACATCAACACAGCGTTCGGTCAGTGCGTGAGTGTGCGTGGGCGAGCAGCGTGGAGAAAAAATGCACAGGAGAAGAGCGACAGAAAGAGAAAAGGCAGAGCTGAGACAGAAAATGCAGGAGGACAGAGCTGTTAAATGCTGTAAAATTACAGATATCTTCATGATTTAGGGACGTGGTGTTACTACCAGCAGGGCTGCCCCTTATGTCACATCATATCAGAACTACCTTTCCAGAGTTAATTCTGTTTTTGAATAAAAGTAGTCATACCATGTAGCAAAGCAGAACATGCATTTGTATGAGAATAATCTGAAAAATAAAGACTAGTAGTCTATACTTGTTTCAGGTGGACGTATCTCTAGTTACTCAGAGCTACCAGTGCTTCATGATCCACTCAGAGCTCTGAGGAAGTGTAGATACAAAACAACACTTTTAATCCTGTTGCCTTAATTGTGGATTTTTTCTTAGACAAATTAATTTACTCTTTGCTCTTTGTTTCTAATGCAGATACTTTTTTCTACTCTATATTACAGTATTTACCGCTGTTATAAATAATATAGACTACATGTTTGTTTTTGTTTTTACACACAACCTTATCAGAGCTAATGATAATATTAGTACATTTTAGCACATCAGTTTAGTGTACTGTTTAGCTCTGATATGAGAAAGTTTCTGACTCGGCCTCCATGTTAAAAACAGACAAACCAGAACTAAACACCACCCAATTCGCTGTTTTGTCATCCACTTGTGTCCAGATGCGTCCTCGCTGGTGTCCCCAGCTTAAGAGTCGACAGCCATGCTGCTTGTGTGGCTGAAAAAACACACATTTCACCTTGCATCTAAGTTTCTAACCATAGAGGAGACTAATAGGCTTATTTCTGTGAGAGGCTTTTAAGGTCACAGGTAAAGGAAACTTCTCAACGTCCGCCTCTGTAGTGGGAAATCAGCTTACAGGTAGTGTATGACATTTTGAATGCCACTCACATTGCTCTACAATGTGAAACCCTGCGTCCAAGGGTTTCAGGTTAACCCACTTCATGATGTTTACCAGCTTATTGATTGTATCTTGGAGTTTGTTCTACTTGGTCAATGAAAAGCAAAGTTGAAAGTTGTAGATTAGGCTGGAAACTCAGCCTTTCTAGCAATTTGGAAGAGCTAATTAAAGGTAGAAATTTCCTTTACAGCACTTAACTTATTATTATAGAAGCAATGGTAGCACTGGTTTTGAGCCACCATACGCAGCGTGTTATATTGATACTCCTAACGACTAGATATCTCACTGCCACAATGTCAGGACAGTTTATCAGTGGGCACTTTCAGTATTTAGATATAAAGCAACTTGCTGGAAATCAGTGTTTAGATTTTGCATGTGCCACTCATCCTCCCATTTCCAAAACCTTTTACCAGACAGCACCCTTTGATAGGGGCTTTGATCTCTAGGCTCGAGCTAGCTAACATGATGTATGCAAATCCAGTGAGAAATGGCAACAGTAATTACGCTAGCCCAGACTACACAAAGTTAGCTCTTGCAGTTAGTGTAAATTACACGTGTGTCTCAAACCATCTAGCAGAAGTTTGAAAGCACAGAAGCCCTCCAACCAAAGTCTAGACAAATCCAGGCCACTATCTGAATGAATGGGTGGAGGGTCATAACTGCAGTTTCACTGGTCACTGGGACATAAAAACTGCATGTATAGAATCAGCAGTAAAATCTAATAAAAACAACCAAAAAAGATTAATGACTTTGCCCCAAAACAAGGTTAAAAAAGTGTTTTCCCCGCCGGTTCTACTTCTACTACGCGTGCACAAGTTTTCACGAGCTTTATTCATTTGGCGGACGCTTTTATCCAAAGCGACTTGCAATTGCTATATATGTCAGAGGTCGCACGCCTCTGGAGCAATAAGGGGTTAAGTGTCTTGCTCAGGGACACAATGGTGGATGGGTCACAGTGGGGGATTGAACCCGGGTCTCATCTCTTCTGAGAAAACTTCCTCTTATAACACCTCTAACTCCTGATCTCTAACGTGCACTTCCTGTGCTCTTCTTCTTCTATCCACCTACAATTATCTTGTATTGATTGCACTTTTTGTTAACTCTTACTTCCTTCCCTAGGTATTTACCCCATTGATGTGATTGCTGCTCTGACTAGTATGTGTTGTCAGTTGTAGATCTGTATGTGATGCTTTGTTGTTGCTTGTATGTTGTTCCTCAAATTTTAAGTCGCATCATGCGGTGCATCTGATCTGGTCACACAGCTGCTCCTCGCTGCCACCACAACATCTGAAACTGTCGCAAACCTAAACTTTGCACTTACGTCAGGTGGAGTCATACAAGTGGCTGAATTTGTTTCCTGGCTCGGCTGTTAAAAGGCAGACGATCGGCTTTCTTGCAGCCGCCATATATGATGTTACAGGCTTTCCACATATAATTATATTCAGGATTATTTAAGTGGCGTGTCTTAAATCACACAAACACTTTTTGTACTGTTATTTGAAAAGCCATAAACACACAGTGACAGTGTGAGCTGTCTCGCCTTAAAACAGGTGTGTCTTCTTCACCAGCTTCTTCGCAAAACTATCCACCACCTCGTTAAAATCCAGAGCTCTGACCAGATCACTAGATGCTAACCATTAGTTTTCACTCTGAGCTTTCCTTTCTCGGGTTTGAGGAGTTTAAACACAAAACAACTCTTAATCTTTATCTCCCCATAAGCTCACAGTTATGTGTGCAACCCACAAAGACATCGCTTGGAAACCCATCTCTATTACAAGTAGTACAAATCTGACCCCTCAGCTATTGCACTTTATCTTTCATCTATATTTTCTTGTCCCTGTTTTATTGTGAAGCACTTCAGAACACTGTCTTCAAAAAGGTGAGTCATACATAAAGTCATTATCATTATTGTTCCAGTACAAGTAGAAAATGTTCCAGTGTTAGAATTAATAGTACTTGCAGCAGCAGTATTTCTAGCAGGGGTGATTACAGTAGTGCCAGCAGTTCTTGTGTTAGTACTGTTTTCTGCCTGAATGGATCAGTGCATACAGAACAGTAATCAGTCCTCCTGTTGATACTGGCCATTAAGAGATCCCTTACCAACAAGTTTTGGTAAGTGGTAGAGATGGGGGACAAAATCCACTATCCTCGTTCTGTCCAAAGTTCAGCTAAAGCTAATACAACTTCAGCAGTCTAAAAGGTAAACAAATCAACTAAATCTCTTCCAAAGTTTTTGTCTTTTCAGTAGAAAATTCCCCCTTTTGTTTCTACAATAAATTTCTCCCTTGCTAAGCCACTCATCAAGAGTAGCAGGTGCTGGAAACAGATGTTGCTGTTGAGTGTTTTTAAATTTACTTTCTATTCTATGAGCACGACTCATTAAACCCCTCCACTGTATTGTGATGGCGACAGATATCTCAAAACATGGACGCATAAAACCTGACCTATCATCTGCATGGCCAGACAGACCTCACTGAAGATGAGTGAGAAAATGTTTTTGTAATTTGGGTGAACTGATCCTTTAACATTATCTTTGAATTAGGCACTTTCTTTGTCATTCATTTCAAGGGACTGCTTTTCCCTTTAGATGTTAAACCCTTCAGTACCTTAAAATGCACCATATATCTGGAACAAGCTCCCAGAAAACTGCAGATCTACTAAATCAGAAGGGTTTTCTTTTTGGAGCTGCATTTTATTATATCAAATTAAAGCTTTTGGCTAATATCTTACACTGCACTGTGACTTTTACTGTCCTGTTTTTATTTTGTATTTAAATGTTGTTTTTGTTTTTCACAATATTGCTCTTCTGCTTTATGTAAAACACTCTGAATTTTCTTGTTTTTCAAATGTGCTTTACAAATAAAGTTCCCTTGCCTTAAGTGCTAGTAGTCAGTTTCACAACTTAGATGCTAATGAGGTTGCGCTTGACAAATTTGTTGACATAATGTTTTTACATATACACACATATATATTAAACTACGTTTTACCCTGAGAGCAGCTTTGTTCAACTTCTTTTAACGTGAAAGAACTGGTGCAACCTTTTTTGATGACACTTCATTCAAACATGCGCAAGCAAACACACAAAGTACCGATAGCGTCTATCTGAACCTTTACCCTACTACATTTTGAACAGCTATCTGTTACCAGTGAGACCTCATTTCTTCTCTTTTCAGGGCCCTTAGGAAGAAGCGAGGGGGCACACATTCAGTGAAAATGATTTTTGGATTTAGCATACATACCTTAAAGACAAATTGAAAAGATGTGACATCAAACATATACAAAGATCTGCAGTACCTTGTGTACATTCCTGGGATTCTCCAGCCACGCATAGTACATCTCCTCCACATAGTTAGAGCTGGTGCCATTAAGAAAGGGCTCAGCAGCCACAGGTGTGTTCAGGCGCCTCACAGGCTGAAACGTCCTTAAGCCCCTTTCGGTCATCAATAGTCTTGGCTGTGATAGGCTCTGTGCAGCCGTTAAAGGCCGAAGCCTTGCAACTGTAGTCCGTAAGCGGTGCATGGCTGCAGGTCAGCCACAGCTCCTCCTCCCCCTTCCCTTCTTGTCGACGCACTGTCCTGGACAAGGACACCTGTCTGGCTGAACTGGTTCGCTTCTCCACAGCTCCCGCTTGCCTCTCTTCCGCTGACGGTACACTGGGTCCTGGTTAGTGTAAATGTAAATTGTGTATATCAGAAACACACCACATAACAATGACACTGTTCTATATGCTTTGTATATTGTAGTTAAAGGACAAACCTTGTGTTTTTTCTTATTCTCAACATTTCCCACGAAAAGACCCCAAACCAACAATGTGTTGGTCACTCAATACTTCCTGAAGTACCTGTCTGTGGTACTCAGTCAAATCCCATTGGTTCCTATACTTGAAGGCATGAATGTTTAAAAATAAATATTTACTTCATTTTTTTTTTAAAAAGGCTCAGTCATTTCCTGGAACAGCTGGTCACTTAAGTTTTAATCAAATGTTAGAAAATACTGCTTTTTGTTTAGTGATAGTTCATCCATATTTGGTTCTCTAGAGTGTTCGCAACAGCAGGAAGGTGTTGAGCCAAAAATAAATAAATAAACAGTACCTGTGTTTACTGTAATGAAGGAAAATGTCACCCTGTGCAACAAATGGAGCTCTATGGCGCAGGGGAAGAAACTAGCTTAGGCTATACAGACAATACTTGTTAGCAGGATGAATTACTTGTTGTTTTTTGGTCTTTTCGTGGGATTTGTTGACAAATAAAAATATAGAATATCACCAGCCTTATTCTTTTGTGATGAAAAAAGACCCTCAGTGCTGTAGCTTTATTTTAGCTCTTTGTATCTGGATCAGATGATATATCACAGTACATCCTTAATATAGCTAGACCATCACTGGGGAGCTCTTAACCATAAAATCAGGGTGACCCAACATAAAGTTGTTTCCATCACTTCAGGGGACATTTGACATGTCTAAGACCTTAAACTCACCCTAAACAAAATCTTAAGTAATGTGCTGGTCCTGAATGAAAAATAAATGCATGACAATAAACAAATTATAACTTTAAACAGAGAAAACGTATTTTATGTTTCATATTATATCATGTCAAATTATATTGTTTATGAAATAGGAATTTGTAATTGGAATAATGGGAATGTAGGTTACTGTGTGTGTTTTTGACATCCCACTTTTTAATCAACAATATGACTAATTATATATTTCTTGCAAACAAATAACAGTGTGACTCAGGCAGTAAGCAGAAGTGGTAACTTAGTGTGTACTAAATGAAAAGCCAGTTAAATACCGGCTCCCGGAAAGAAACTGAGCCCGAAAGATCCGGTTCCCTTCAAAACAGCAGTAACTCACATCACTATTAACTTCAACTTAGACCATGTCTTAAACTTAAACCGTAAAGTTTTGCTCGTGACATTGAATTATTTCCGGTGTGGAAGCTTGCATTTTGTCCCAACAACGTGACGATCTAAACAAACTTATTTGGTTCACGCACAAACAAACACCGATTGTAGCGTCGCGTGCAGGACTTCACCGCAGGGTCAGTTAACGTAAAACTAAAAGTTCCTTACCTGTTCCCCGCAGCCTCACGTGTACCAAACGCAGCGCTTGTCTGTCTGTCCTGAGCGCGAGCAGGATGCGGGGTGTGTGCGTGAGCTCCTTCTCCGACTGCAGCTGGAGAGCTGAGTGAGTCGCGCGCTCGGGTACTGTCTACAAACCAGTGCTGATCTGCGTCACGCAAGCGCTGACGTCAGCACCAAACATGGTGCGGTTGCATCAGCAAACACAGTTTATTTAAAAAAAATAATAATTCAGCAAACACTGAAAGTAAGACGAACAGTGCGTTACTGTAAAAGTTAACTATGTAAAAGTTAAATATGCTTTATTTTACCCCATCCCTCTATTATTAAGCATAATTAAGCATAAAGTGTTATTTTTGAAGTATTTGTTAACTGGTGTTTAAACACTTAATGATGAATTGAGTTGTAAAAAACGATTACATAATATTTTGACTGTATTCGTATATGTATATGACTATAAAATATTGTCTAGTACTTAAAAATAATAATAATATAAATTGTACTTATATTGCACATTTCATACACAAAATGCAGATAGAGATGTTTCACAAAATTAAAAATAAAGAGGAGCAAAGTAAAGATAATCAACAGTTTAAAGCAGTGTATTAAATGTTCATTGTTAAGCAGTATATAAACAATTAATGAATGTGTTATAACATTATATTGAAGTTGTAAGCAGTTAATTTTTAAGTATTAGTCAATGGCATTTAAACAGTTCATGAACGACTGACAATGTAACAGTTTAACAGTGTAACAGTGTAAAAATTACATAATATTTGATATTGTATTTATATTTTTGATATGAAGATTATTTTCTAATACTTATTTATTATATGTATAATGATAATAATGATAATAACAATGATAGAAATTGTATTTATATTGCACTTTACATACACAAAATGTAGATTAAGATGTTTTACAATGTTTAAAAAATGAAAAGCGAGAGGAAAGTAAAATAATAAACTGTTTAATACATTATATTCATTGTTCATTATAAATGTAATCACATTTTGCGTATTTTTTATTAAGTATTTATTCACTGATAAACTGTTATTCTTCAGTCTCCAAGACAACTCTATCTACTGATGAGGACCATGATGCGTATGAAAGCTCCAGAAGTAAACGTTAGGTGAAAGTTGCATAATGTTTTCCACTGAAATAGCCTAAAAGTATCATTAGTTACTATGTGGAATATACTCAACTAAAATACTTCAAAATTGTATGTTTAAATCAAATGTCTCCCAATGCCTTTGGATATCTCGGGTGCATAGCTGTTATTTTAAAGAATTTGTTCCCAGAGAGGCCACTGTATCTCTATATCCTGCTGTCTCTTACTTTTATGTTAATGTGTGTTAATGTAAAGTGTTTCTGGCAACACAACTCTACTTGTGATGCTAATGAGCTTATTGTGATACTAAAGACAGACAGACCGAGAGATACATTAACAAACACTTCAGGTGCCCACTCATATTCATATTTACCTCTTTGATCTGTCAAACCTGTTAGTTTACATCTCTGAGCAGCAGCTGCACTACTCAGATCCCTAACTTAGCAATTTCACACCGTAAAAACTCTTATAAATAAAAATCCTGCATTTCAAATAAGTTACTGCTATTTACTATCAGTACCTAGAATAGAGCAATAAATGTCAACCCTTGTCCTACCACTGATTATGTAAAAAGCAAGTTAAAGACTTCTTTAAGTGATTACTGCCAGCGGTGGAAGAACAATGTAAAAATTCTCCATTACAAGTAATTAAGTCCGGCATTGAAAATCTTATGTACAAAAATATTATCAGCAGCATTTAGCTGTTAGTGCTATTAACTGCTAGTTTGAACTAAGTAGCTAGTTTTACCAACTTTACAGTCAGCTAGTAAACTACTTTGTCTAGAGTTAGCTAGTTTTAACTACTTTATTTGCTAGTTTGAACTAACTTTTACTTCTGCTTTATTTCCAGTTAGCTATATTGAACTGCTTTATACACAGTTCACTTGTTTGAACCACTTTATTTGCTAGTTTGAACTTCTTTAGTTAGCTAGTTTGAACTTCTTTAGTTAGCTAGTTTGAACTGCTTTAAACAGGTGAACTAATTTGAACTAATTTAAGGCCTAGTTTGAACTGCTTTATATGCAGTTAGCTAGTTTGAACTGCTTTATATGCAGTTAGCTAGTTTGAACTTCTTTAGTTAGCTAGTTTGAACTGCTTTAAACAGGTAGCTACTTTGAGCTAATTTAAGGCCTAGTTTGAACTGCTTTATATGCAGTTAGCTAGTTTGAACTGCTTTATATGCAGTTAGCTAGTTTGAACTTCTTTAGTTAGCTAGTTTGATCTGCTTTATATACAGTTAGCTAGTTTGAACTAATTTATGGCCTAGTTTGAACTGATTTAAACAGGTAGCTACTTTGAACTAATTTAAGGCCTAGTTTGAACTGCTTTATATGCAGTTAGCTAGTTTGAACTAATTTATGGCCTAGTTTGAACTGCTTTAAACAGGTAGCTACTTTGAACTAATTTAAGGCCTAGTTTGATCTGCTTTATATGCAGTTAGCTAGTTTGAACTTCTTTAGTTAGCTAGTTTGATCTGCTTTATATGCAGTTAGCTACTTTGAACTAATTTATGGCCTAGTTTGAACTGCTTTATATGCAGTTAGCTACTTTGAACTAATTTATGGCCTAGTTTGAACTGCTTTATATGCAGTTAGCTACTTTGAAGTTCTTTAGTTAGCTAGTTTGAACTGCTTTAAACAGGTAGCTACTTTGAACTAATTTATGGCCTAGTTTGAACTGCTTTATATGCAGTTAGCTAGTTTGAACTGCTTTATACAGTTAGCTAATTTGAACTAATTTATGGCCTAGTTTGAACTGCTTTATATGCAGTTAGCTAGTTTGAACTGCTTTATACAGTTAGCTAGTTTGAACTAATTTATGGCCTAGTTTGAACTGCTTTATATGCAGTTAGCTAGTTTGAACTTCTTCAGTTAGCTCGTTTGAACTGCTTTAAACAGTTAGCTATGAAAGAAATGCAATGGTGGAAAGGAACTAAGCACTTTTACTCCAAAAACTGAACTGTAGGCTTCTCAGGTACAATTCTGAGGTACTCTACCTGAGTATTTACATTGTATGATACTTTATACTTCTACTCCGCTACAATGTCATTGGCAAATATTGTACTTTTTACTCCATTACATTTGTCTCACTGCTTTAGTTACTAATCATTTTACTGTTTCAAATTAATAATGCAAATAAATTACAGTAGTATTGTTAAAGATTAACACAAGACTTTATTGATACCCAGCAGTATAAAAAGTCATTAAATCAGCTCCATCTTTACCAGCTGTAACATTAAGTGATACTCACTATGTATTTCAAATCTATTGTGATGCTATAATATTTGTACTTTTGTACATTTTGAATGCAGGACTTTTACTCGTATCAGAGTATTTCTACATTTCTACTATTACTTATGTAAAAGATCTCAGCACTTAATCCAACACTGCTGAAACATATTGGAGACACAAGTTACTTTCCTCCTATGTGCTGTGTCCTCTATTGAATCAATCTCTTTACAAGTTCTGGTATCAGCACCCACTGATTTTCTTTATTGATCCCTGATTCTCCCTTTTGTCCCTAAGCTGTTTGGACTGTTTCTACTCACTCAGGTTAAACTCTGCCCTCTGGGTGATACTTACAGCCATACAGCCTGACTAGATTACTATAAATAACCAGTCAAGTCACACCACAGATGAAAGCACATGCGAACAAACAACTAACTTCTTGTGTTCTGTGGCCGTGAGTCAAGATAAGAGAGAGTAACAAGGTGCTCTCTGCATTGTCATTTTATTGGTTCACACACTGATTACATCTGATCACATTTTAATATTGATAAGACTTGGAATGCACACCAGAGGAATTGTCATCATCATTATTAGTATGAGTATAATAAATTTAAAAAAGAAACCAGAAAAGCTATTTTTTATATACAGTAGCGTTCTGTTACTGTTATTCATTCATCTCCTGACCATTCACCTGAACTGAGGAAAATAAATCATCATCATCAATCAAGCTCTTATAAAGCAATTCAAATAACAAATTTGAGTTGTAGCCAAAACATTACACTCAGGCCAGATACTAATTAATGGAATAAGGACTGGTTGCCAAATGGGACAATGACTCTAAGTGAGCAGTAATCCTATTAAAGCACTGATGCCGTCAGGATTTGGACTGGACAGAAAGAAGGACGGTTGGTTTTGGCTTCATGTTCTATATGGGAGTGTCAGCGGTACAAATGGTAAAATTAAATTACACCTCACAGGAGCTGCAGAGTGTCTGTCTGATAATGTTTGTTGATTTGACTAAAACACATGCTCAACTGTGAACAACAGTTGTCATTTAAGCTTGCAGTATTTTATAAGTGCTTTGGCTCACTTTCAGTGTGCAAAAGAGCCAAACTGACTTGCTAAATTCTTACTTAAAACACAAAATGCTGTCTGTACATAAAGTGCAAAACACTTATATACTCATATTACCCTATGTTTTAATAATTATATTATCTTTTTTTCACTTCTCAAAACATGCCTTTTAAAAAAGCTTTATTAATATTAGACAAAAGTTAATTTTTTTGACCAGTTCTAATCTATTTTAGTTGCTTATTTTGTAATTATATATATTTTCTATTTAATTATATGTGCTCTTATTTGCCAGCTTTTGTTTACTGTTATTGTAGTGCTGAATTGTTTTGATGTGTTTTTTTTCTCCTGTAAAGCACTTTATAATTAAATGCGCTATATAAATAAAGTTTACAGTATAATGACTTAAGCATACTGATCACTGAGTCAGTGTTTTCCAGCATTACCATATCTTACTCTATTTTACATAATTAAACTTGAGTGAAGAGATTGATATGATGTCTGAAATAATAAATGTGGTTGAAACAGAACAGAAACAGATGCGATGACACACAGTTACAATTATCATTTTACCTTGTGTAAATGTAGGATTTAATGCAGTGTAAAGTCAGACTATGTGATCTTTATTTAGCATATTCAATAAATAAAAATAAAGTTTTCAAAAGTCATTCTTCACCATGATCATTTTTAAACAATCACTTCTGAGTAAGTCGCACTGTTTTTTCTGGCTGTATAAAATCCTGATAAAATGGCCATGACTGACTCTGTTTTATAATAAGACTTAGTTTCAGTTTATTATATTTTAGATGAAACAATGATTAAAATTAAGTGAGTGACATTTACAATTTTATAACACTCTGTTAAACCTGACGCATGATGCATTACCTAATTTAATACAGAATATGGATACAAGTAAAGAATAATTTTATCATTATTAATGTGCTGATAGTTTTGCCTTTACAGAAAGTTCCCAAAGATATTCAGTTTACAATGATAGAACATACATACATGTATCTAATCCTCATATTCGAGAAACTGGGACTAGAGGAGTTTGGTATTTTTGTTTGAAAAGTCACATAAATGATTAATCGATTATAGAAAATGTTGCAGATTCATTTTTTGACCATCGATCCATGATGAATCCACAAATTGGTTCAGTTCTAACGTTTAAATTTTCTGTGCTATGGGAGATTTTGAGGCCAGATTGAGACATTATAGCATTTTGGGCTCAAATTTTCTGTTGTGAAAATGGAGCCAAAGCAATCTTAAAATACTGTAATGTTTGAAATTAAGTAACTGAAGGCATGTGAGGCCTGTATAAGAACCCTGTAGCTGACTCAGATGTACATTAATTCTCTGTTATTAGATGGGGTGCCCTCTTCAGGCGAGGTTGGTGCATTGTCACGGAGCTGAAAAATAGGCTGCACAGAGACCTCTATGTTCACAATATAACAGAACCATTAACTGAATAAATAAAATGTTTTTTAAACTATTTTGAGAATTTATGTTTGGTGCTGGATCAAATTGTTCAGTATTGCTAAAATCCTGGCTACATGTCCCTGATACCAAGACATTGTTAATCTTTTTAAAATACTTAAACAGTATTTTCTTTAAAAGTGCAAAAGTAAAAAGCTGCACTTTAAAAAGCAGAAAAGATTCTAATTTAAGACCCTGATTTAAATTCTGACTGACATTTTCTACAATCTGGTCTTAAAAATAAAAGATTAATAAGGATCTTGGGTCCTGTCTTTAATACAGTAAAGAGCCATTTTTAAACTGATCTGGATGCAACAATTTCTTTAAAAGGCATTTTCGTCTTGATCCTCACCAGTATCCTCTTCTACTACACCATCATATTAACACAAAAGTAGATTATGCACTTACAAAGCCCAGAAAATAGAGGCAACAGAATATAGCTCACCAACAGTTCAGTCCAAAAAGAGAAAAATCAATAAAAAGCATGATAACACCCAACTTACCAATGTTATTAACTTGGAATATCATGCAATTCAATACCAATCTACAGCGTAATTGTATTCACCACGATGAAACTTGAAATTTACATTAACAGCGTGATACTATAATGTCAACCATTGTCATAATTTCAGTAGGTAACTTGCAAAGTTCAGTACATACAGAATCAATTAAGAACGACAGTAATATCTTAGCATGCTGCAGGGTTTTCACTGTCTCACAGAGCGGCTGAGAGGGGTCTGGAGGACACACGGAGGCGCCGGTTCAGGGTCAACTACACTCCAGAGAAAGAGGAAAAAATAAAAAATAAAAAAGGCTCTATTGAATAACAAAACAAAACGGATAATTAAATACACCCACTGGTCTCTCTCTTTCTCTGTGAGACACATGGGACTGTTTCACACAGGCAGCCTTAGTCGTGCAGAAAAACAGCCACTGGAACGCAGGTAGGAGTCATGCTTGTCATAAAAAAAGAAGAAGAAGAGACCAGAATGAAAGGTTTAAAATGACTAATAAATATACTGTACAGCTGAAAGAGCACAACAACAGACTGCAGCCATAATAATACTAGAAGTAACAACAATAAATGTTTGAGGAGAAGTAAAAGGGTAAATCTTTAACAGGAGGTGCCATGCTGGAGGCTTTGTGGCACAGAATAAAAGGGAGGAGGACAGGTGTTGTCCAGGTATGTTGGGCTGGTACAGCGTCGCAGCCGTCCTGAAGACACGCTGCTGGCTAAAGAGTTTCCTTTTTTGGGGAGGGGCGGGGTGGAGATGCCCTCTGCTGTAGTTTTGGCGATGGGAGCGTCGGTGTTAACTGTCTGTGAGGTCGTAGGGAGACAGAGAGAGAAGAGCGAGATGGGTGTGCAGAGTGCAGGAAGACGATCATGATCCCAAAATCAGACTCTTCAGACTCCTTTAAACCACCCTCCATCCACCCGCACCTCTCTCTCAGTGCAGATGCGCTCTCTCAGATTATCCACTTATTCCTTTTCTACTCATCTCTGCCTCCTCATCGCTCAGTACCTGGAAAGAAAGAAGATGAATAACTCATTTGTTTTGGCCACATGAGAGCACCGTAAACAAGTTGTAAACACAACACTTACATATTCTTACCTTATAAAGCTGCTATTTCCACATCCAGTTGATATGAGGCAATATTAACATTCATTTGTCACCATCTGATTTATGTAAGTCCAACATTCACTCTCCTTTTAGATCAATATCTGGCTCTGGCTGTCTTATTTCACAGTGCTGACGTACCGCAATTTTTCAGAAAAGCAGCAGTTTTATCACATTCGCTCCCCAGTCTGCACTGACGACCCGAGAGGTCCTTTCAATCAATCATTCAAACAAACAGAGGAATAAATAGCTAAAGACATACTGGAGATACAAGTTAATTCACTGGATGAAATAGTCACAAAAACAAGGATCAGAGTAAAATAAAAAAAAATTATAATGTTTTATTGTTACATGAATTAGCAGAAAAAGCAGAAATTTGATTGGAGGAGAGAAACCGTAGAATGATAAACCACCAGATGAGCGCTTTTTCAAAGGAGGACATGAGAAAATAGGTTTATGTTATGCAAATTTCCACTGCTGATGCTCAGTTGTTGTGTTGCTCATTACTTCTACGGCCTGTTTCTGTCTGACTAAATACTGAGACATAAATAAAGTCCTTTCTTTTAAAGAAACAGTTGATCCCACTATCATTTCTGTACAGTTAATATGAACGTAAAGCTAAAGCTCAGGAAGTCACTGCACACTGCCAAGAAATAGTCCAGCACATAACCTCCATAAAGCCACAACTTTGTCGTTTTTACACTTGTAAAGATTTAAAATAATAAGATATAACTTGTTAATCAGTGAGCTTTAGAGGTGCTGGTAAGGTATATATTTAGAAACTTTTGAACAGAGCCAGGCTAGCCGTTTCCCCCTGTCTTTATGCTAAATATGATTCTAGGTTCATATTTAGCAGACAGACATGAAAGTAGTGTCAATATTCTCGCCTAACTTTTGGCCAAAACAAATTAGCAATCAGCAAACTCTCACTTACAGTATTTCTACTTATTAAAAGTTGTCTCTAGTCTTAATTATTGGAGCTTATTCATTGTTGATCAGTTTATATTTTATCTTATGTGTGTGTATAAATGTTGTTTTTGTACCTCATCACTGCAGCGGGGCAGCAGGAGCTCCTGAGCAGTGGAAGTGGACGTTTTGCCACCGGCTCTCCCTGCGGTGCCATACTCTGGTCTCTTCTGATTGGCTGGAGCGTGGACGGCCCTGCACGTCGACAAACTGCGTCAGGCGGATGTAAGCGATGCAGGCGGCGTCGTCACCGATCATGTGCACGTGAGGGTTGAGGATGGTGGTGTGGATGGGTTTGCTGTTCTTGGAGAGGACTAACGGGAGAGAGGGATCCAACCTTAGAACACAGCTTTTAAAATGTACCATCTGTCCATAAAAACAGCAATAGTAGTTTTAACTGTCATCTTACGATTGTCAAAATAAAATCTATGGAAGTCCATTCCCTCCACCAGATTACCCAGCCCTTCAGGCTCAAACGAGGTCAGACCAGGGTCACAGATCTTCCTGTAAAAACATGCAGGATAAAGTGAGAACACCACCCTCAAATATCATGTTTTAAATTCTAAATCATATTTTCAAAGTGGCAAATGTTCCTGTATAGTGAAATAATAATAACGCATGCCATTATTTAGCAATTCTGTAACAATATTATACAGCTGAAAAGCAGAAAAGAATATTTGCTTCAGCCTCTGTCCTAGTTTAATGACATCACAGTACCAATTTGAGGTATTGTGATATTTATGGATGCCCATTTCTGCCGTGAAAGATATTGATGAAAAGTTTTACATGATGAAAATAGAAATATTCATGATAAATCACTTAGTTTCAATCCTATCAACTTTGAGTTAGTATCTCATTTCCTGTTGCAATATTCTCTGTCTGTGTTTAGACTTAATGTGCAATATTCTCTACTCTCTGTCTAATACTGCAAATTTAAAGGATTTTTAATACATTCTACTTCAACACTTTCTGCACTCATTATTATTACTATTATTTATTATTTATCACTATATTTCTGTCATATACTGTAAAATAATGTACTTTTCCACACTCTTAATTATATTTTTATATTTATTTTATATTCTATACTTCTTTATATTCTATTTACCAACTTTCTATTATTCTTTGTTATTATTTCTACTCCTTTATACTTTGATGTGCAATGTGAAAAACTGTGACACAAGAATTTCCCCTTGGCGATCAATAAAGTGTTTCTGATTTTATTTTGATTTAGTATCTCTTGTAGTTTAGTAACTCAAATGTTTGACTTAATATCTCATAATTCTGCCTTAGTAGCTCAAAGTAATTTGATTTCTAATACCTTAAATAATAAAAAATTTACTATCTTATCATTTTATAACTTAAAAGTCCGACTTAATTTCTCGTTGACTTAGGATCTTATGATATTGACCTCATGAGACAAATCTTCTTAATTTTAATTAAGTTAACTAAAACGTTTTGCTGAGAATCTCATGTTTTTGACTCAGTGCTCAGCTTTCTGACTTAGTAACTCAAAGTTTTGACTTGGTATCTCATCATTTTCACATAGTATCTCATAATTCTGCCTTAGTAGCTCACAGTTGTTTGATTTATAACTAAAACAATAAATAATAAAAATAAATAAATAAATAAAACTCATAAGTCTCGTCTCTCATAATAGTGACCTAGTAGCTCAAACTTGATGTATAATCTCATAACCCTCGACTTAATCTCTTGTAATTTTTACTTTACATAACTTAATTTGACTTATTAACTGGAAAGTTTGATTTAGCAACTAAAACATTTTGCTCAGAATCTCATGTTTTGGCTCAGTGACCCAAACCTTTGGCTCACTATTAACATAATTTTATCTAACCATGAGTATTTTCATTTTTAGCGTGCATGCCTTTTCATGTACGGTCCTTTTTTTAATAGCGGAAATGAGCTTCCGTCTCCCCTCCTCTCTCTCACTCAATCTGCAAAGTATTATTCTTAACTGTGTGTGTTAGGTAGAGAGAGAGAGAGAGAGAGGATAAAACAATGACTGTAATTACAGTTTAATCTTTCCAAGCACATTTGTATGTCAATCAGATTAATGGTTCTCTGTGGCTTTAATGTTCATTTTACAGGATAAAATCACACTTTTCACACAAGCTGATGAGAGGCTCCGTTTTTTTTTCCCGGAGATTTTCACGGAACAAGTAGGAATGAGAGGTGGACTCACGCATAGGCCTCAAAGTCTCCATTGTTGACAGCTTCTATGAGCTGCTCTGTGAGCTTTATGATCTCCTGTTTGCGAGCTGCAGAGAAGAAACGAATGTGACTTTATATCCCCTGTGACAATGCAAGCTCACACAAAGCCACAGTGCTCTGGTGCTCTCCTCAACAACTAAAGAACTCATTCACAAATGTTAACACACAGCTCAGTTCAGACTCACCTGAGAGCTTGTTACTCATTGCAAATCTTATCAGTCACCTCTCTTTCATCTGTGTCTCTGAGGAAAATCTCCTCCATGCTGCTGCACACATTAAAACTACTTCCATGCAATTAGTTGTGTTGTTTCCCTCTCCGTGAGCGCTCAAAGGATCCTCGCCTACATATCCAACTTTAATCAAAAGTGAAATATCCCCTCCTGCGCCGTCTAGCCGCTGTGTTGCTCTCTACCTCCGTCCATCATCCATCATATCGCTTGTTTGCATGCGAGGCTGCTTGAGCTCATCACGCTATTCTTGTCCCAGCCCTTTAGATGAGATTTACTGTGTCCTCCTCCCCTCGTTTCCTCCCGACACTGAGAGGAAGGCTTAGCTCGCTCTGATTGACTCCCTCTCTCTCTCTGTCTCTCTGCAGTGGTGGAGGAAGTATTCAGATCACTTACTTAAGTAAAAGTACTAATATCTCTCTGTAAAAGAGCCCAAAGTGACACCTTCCCAACGCTTGTAGTGTCCAACCAGCAGTCCAAGCATTATTAACAAACATTACAATTATTACAAGGAAAAGCAGCAAATCTTCACATGTGAGAAACTGAAACTGCAAAATGTTTTAAATGAAAAATTCTCTGTCAATGGACTAATTGATAAATGATGTATAAATTGTTTGGTAGTTTATTTTATAACTTATCATCATGTTTTATAAGCTCTTTGTGTGTGTTTTTTTTAATACAAAACTCTTTGTAAAGTAATGAAAGCTGTGAGATAAATGTAGTGTAAAAAGTCCAATATTTCCCTCTGAGATGTGGAGTGGCATGAAAAGATTCAAGTAGAGTACAAGTACTTCTAATTTGTACTAAAGTACAGTACTTAATGTACTCTGTGTTTTTGTAGGTTATTTTCTTTTGTGCCTGTATCTACCAAGAGCTTTCACCTTCACATCGCTGTTTCCTCTCCACTGTTTTTACCCTCAGTGCAACACAATAAGCTAAACAAAGCTCCATTTCACTTTACTTCAGTACAAGCAGCAACATCGCAGTACCACTTGTGTCAGAGCATTTGATTTATTGATTGCAATCAGGATGTAAAAATCAAATAGATAAAAACATGCTCCTGAAATAAATGGCCAACCGCAGCTTAAAAATGTTTTTATCCTGGTTCAACCATGTAAAGTGCTTTGTAACTCTAAGAACTGTATAAATCAAGATTAATTTAAATTTAAATTATTATTAATTTTTTATAATTGTAACAACTTCATTTCTGTACAGTTAATATGAATGTAAAGCTAAAGCTAAAGCTCAGGAAGTCACTGCACACTGCCAAGAAATAGTCCAGCACATGACCTCCAAAAAGCCACAACTTCGTCGTTTTTACACTTGTAAAGATTTAAAATAATAAGATATAACTTGTTAATCAGTGAGCTTTAGAGGTGCTGGTAAGGTATATATTTAGAAACTTGACTTACGACCCGAGAGGTCCTTTCAATCAATCATTCAAACAAACAGAGGAATAAATAGCTAAAGACATACTGGAGATACAAGTTAATTCACTGGATGAAATAGTCACAAAAACAAGGATCAGAGTAAAATAAAAAAAATTATAATGTTTTATTGTTACATGAATTAGCAGAAAAAGCAGAAATTTGATTGGAGGAGAGAAACCGTAGAATGATAAACCACCAGATGAGCGCTTTTTCAAAGGAGGACATGAGAAAATAGGTTTATGTTATGCAAATTTCCACTGCTGATGCTCAAAATTGTCTACATCAGTTGTTGTGTTGCTCATTACTTCTACGGCCTGTTTCTATCTGACTAAATACTGAGACATAAATAAATTCCTTGCTTTTAAAGAAACAGTTGATCCCACTATCATTTCTGTACAGTTAATATGAACGTAAAGCTAAAGCTCAGGAAGTCACTGCACACTGCCAAGAAATAGTCCAGCACATAACCTCCAAAAAGCCACAACTTCGTCGTTTTTACACTTGTAAAGATTTAAAATAATAAGATATATCTTGTTAATCAGTGAGCTTGAGGTGCAGAGGTGCTGGTAAGGTATATATTTAGAAACTTTTGAACAGAGCCAGGCTAGCCGTTTCCCCCTGCTTCCAGTCTTTATGCTAAATATGATTCTAGGTTCATATTTAGCAGACAGACATGAAAGTAGTGTAACTTTTGGCCAAAACAAATTAGCAATCAGCAAACTCTCACTTACAGTATTTCTACTTATTAGCCTGAAGATTTCACTTAAAGCCACTGAGGGTTGCATAGACAGGCATGTAATTGACGTGCTTGCCCTGCTGCCTTAGTCTACTAGTCTAGTCTAATGAAATACTTGTCTGTTCTTGGCTTTTTTGTTCAGATTTCTTGTTCAGGCACATGCAATAATCCATAACAGAGTCCATAAACATCCACTGAATCAAACATTTTCTCATCAAACACCGTACAGCTCGCCCAGTGTAGCGTGACCGGCAGCAACACCCGTCACCAGTGTTGGGAAGGTCACTTTAGAAATGTACAAGTTACCCTATGCAAAATGTAATAGTAGTGTATATATTTCAATTTCTTTTTCATAGTAATGTAACTTATTACATTTAAGTACTTTTTGATTACTTTTCTAAATTTCTAATGAATGTATTCAACAGGTAACCATTTTCTAAAGACAGCTTGAGAGGCGGTTTAACCGGCAGACGGGCGACGCTGCAAATTTACCAATCAAAAGCATCAGAACAGCATCAAACTTTACTAAGCAAAGGTAACCTGGAAAACCTGGAAAAGGTTCATGAAGACATTGTGCAAATGAAAAACATTCAAAGCCACTAAATGAATATTATTCAACACGTAGCTGAGCTTTGTGCAGAAAATATTCAGATGTAACGCCCAATGTCACCACGAACATTTTCAAGTAACTGTGATTTAATTACACATATTTCCAAGTAACTGTCACGGATTACAGTTACATTTATGGTGTAATTAAATTTAGTAACTATATTAGATGTAAGTAGTTACTCCCTGCCTGTCACCGGAGTAAAGGTTCCTACTTATATTGCCTTTAACCAATATTGCAAAAACTCATTTGTGGCTCTTACAATAATTATTGTTATTCCTCCGATGTGTGTGAATCCTCACAGATGATGAAAAGAGGCATTAAAACAGTCTTACAGGTAAAACGTGAGACTCGTGTAGGTCTTTATCAGAGGTGATCTGCTGGGGATCTGGCATGAATATCACAGAGAGAGACCCAGGTTCAACTCTACACTGTGACACGTCGACCAATGTGTCCCTGAGCAAGACACTTAACCCCTTGTTGCTCCAGAAGCGTGCGACCTCTGACATATATAGCAATTTTAAGTTGTTTGGATAAAAGCGCCAGGTAAATGAATAAATGTAAATGTAGGTACAGCCCTTACAGTTTCCACCTCTGCCTGTGATTAACCACGCGTGTGTGTGTGTGTGTGTGTGTGTGTGTGTGTGTAACCTACCTTTCACATCCTCATCCTCAATAGTGGTGTTGCTGCTGTCAGATGATTCCTGCAAAGTGACAGAAATGTGAACTACCAAAAAGAAGGATAACATGCCCACAAACGCTCATATGCACGCACACACACACACACAAATGCATGCACACGCGCAAGTTTCCGCCATCAAATCTACAACATGATGCGACCGCAACACATGATTTTGTCCAAAATACAGAACAAACAGCTGCAGGTGTGACTCAGCAGCACACCCGCACGACCCCATCTATGCTGTGGGTTGGTTCTGTGTTGACGGACACATACGACTGTACAGCACATGAAGTTTAGCCGCTGTTACACACATTATCTGCTCAGCCAGCAGAAAGAAGCACTAAGCTTCATTAATCTGAACACAGAGGGGCAGTATAAGACAACATAACACCTCACGGGGAACTCCAGCATCTCACACTCTCTCTGTCTCTCTCATGCATGAATGTACAAATAGATGCACACAGAGATACGTAAATATATTCAACGAAAAACACAAATCCTGCAAAAACACAGGCTTTTCCAAATACAGCTTCACTCGCACAGAAAGAGAAACTGAGTGAAGACGAAGGTGAGACATGAAAAATGGAACAGGAAATAAAGAGATGGAGGGAGGAGGGGAGGAGGAGGAGGAGGATGTACCTTGGTCCCATCTACTGGATTATGGATGACAGTAGTCTGAGGCTCCTGGAGGAATGGAGAAAGAAGAAGAAAGAAAGAAAGGAGGGAAGGAGAGAAAAGAGAAAATAGGAGGGGAAATGAGTGAAGATATAGAGAAGCAATAGAAGGGAAATGTTTTATGAGGACAAAATGAGAGTTTGATAGACACAAGAGGAAGATCAGTAGAGAGTAGGATGTGAGTCAGACATGGGAAGAGGGAGAAATGAATCATTTATTAATCTTGAAGAGAGAAAAAGTTCTGAATGGGAGGTTTAGAAAGAGTTAATGATGGAGGATGAAGCTCCCAAATGATACGAGCAATGCAAATGATTGATTTGTACCAATGCAGCATTAAACTCTCTCTCTCCCATATCAATCACATTTTGTCCCATTTCATAAAAATCTAATCATTAAGAATCAAATATGCACTACCGGTCAAAAGTTTCAGAACAGCCACATTTTTCTAGTTTGTATGTAAATATAAAAAGTTCAAGTCCAGTGAAAAATCTTAAATGGTACAAAAGTAAGCAGCAAACTCCTAAAGTTTAATTAACAATTAAACTTTCGGAGTTTTCCACTGCTGCATAATAACTTGTTAACTCATAACTTGATCTCTGAAATTTACATTTTTTCTCAGTTTTGCTGACCTAAACTTTGTCTTTACCTTCTTTGGTTATTCCAAATAGTAGTCCGCAGTAGTGGAAGGAAATGAAGCATTGAAACACATTCCTACACGCTCAGAAGCTTCATTTATACAATATTATATATTATGTATTATATTAATGAAGGCAGTCAGACCAGTTTGTCATCAGTTGATCCTACAGTGAAATAATGAACAAAATGTCTTCATTTTAATATCTGAAAATGTCTGTTTTGGCGACGTAAATGTTGTTTTTAACTTTAGCAGTTTGCTTGAACTACATAGATTTCAATACAAACTAGATAATTGGGGGTGTTTAAAAACCTTTGACCGGTAATGTATATTACTACATATAATTTTCTTCAATGACACTTTACTACATGTGTATGACAAATACTGCGTGCTACAGTACACAGATACAGTAAGTACTGTACATAGTTTTTCAAGGATAAGTCTGGTGATATTCTGTATTTTTCTTCTTGTCAACAAATGCCATGAAAACATCAAACCAGCCGTGAGTACTTTATGTGTACCACAGCCTGATATATCAGTCCTACATACACACTCACTAGAGCACCACATGTGGATTCATCCGCTGCTGAAAATAGTCCCCAACAAATGCACCATTTCCTTCTGTGTGCTTTATAAAAACTACAGTAAGCAGCGTTTTTTAAACTATATATTAGTGAGGCATTTTTAAAGATCAGCAGAAACCAATGGGCTCGGAGCTGCAGAGCCACAGACAGGAAGTCAGACAGTGTTGAGAGATGGACTGACATGTCGTTGGTTAGGGTGTTTTCATGGCATGTGTTGACAATAAGGAAAATATAGAAGAGCACAAATAACACAAGGTGTTTCTTTTAACTGTTGCAAATCATATAACCCTAACCCTAGCTGTTTTCCCATGCTTTCACTCTTTATGCTATGCTAAGCTAATTGCTTACTGGCTGTAGCTCCACACTTAAGGCAAGACACTACAGTCAAATAGAGTTTTTGAAACTTTACAAGTGTTTTTGAATTAATTATTTTTTTATATGCAAAAGAGGTATTTCCTAATTAAATATGTGCTGATTTGCATACCACACAAATCCATTTTCCAGCACATTGATAAGAGTCAGATTGATTTTATTCAGATAATACACCAGAACGGTTTATCAAAATCTTCTTAATTCATTGTTTTTTCATGGAATTATTCAAAACATACCACTCATATGTGTTACGGACCCCCCCCCCACACACATATTTAGAGACAAAATGCCACATTAAATGAGAATGATAAAAGATTTTTTTTGAAACTCTTGCTATAAGGCTTGAGAAACAGTGTGTAAAATCACGATGATTACTGCCTTGAACTGCGAGGAAAATTACTAGGCATACAGGAAATTAACTTAGATTACTGTTTGTTACATGTCTAATAGACCAACGAAGGTTAAAATCAAGGGCAACTGGACTTGGTTGAAGATACTGGAAACTGGATACTGGATACTTTCCAGTATCTTCAACCAAGTCCAGTTGCCCTTGATTTTAACCTTTGGATAACTATGACCTGGATGACTGAGAATCTTCATAGACATGTCTAATAGACATATGATATATGTGGACTAGCTAACATTGTGCTCTAGAAAACAAGCTTTCAAACAATTTATGATTCAGTGTGGAGAGTTTTAAAAAGACTGGTTGAACTTTTACATCTAAAAAGCTAACAAAGATTAAATTTATGCAATCTGCAGTTAACCGACTTGGTATAAAATGAACAAATAATAATTTTATATGTATTATTTAATATTGTTTTTTTTTTTTTTTTATTAAAGTACAGTAATAATAGGTGCAAAATAACTTGAAATCTGAAAACTGACAGATTTTAGTAAATCATAATTTTGGACTGCGGTGTCTCGCCTTAACATACAGACATGAGAGTGCATTGCCCCAAATTGTCAAACTGTTCCTTGAAAAGCTGCAAACCTTGAATTTATACTAAAATTACTAGGATCTCATGTGTAAAACTTCACTTAGCTTTCTCCCCTCTCTCTTTCATACACAAACACCTGCATTTTGAAAGTGTAACGGACAGACGGACGGACACAGAGCTGCGTACCAGTGCAGCAGAGGGGCTGTTGCCTTTGGGACTGGTGACTATGCTGTTTCTCGTGCTGTTTGTCTGGGGCTGTGCAGGAAACACAAAGTGCTATATTAGTGCTCGGCAACACTGGTGAGAGATGCCGTCCGCTGGTTGTAAAGTGGGTGGTTACTGTGTAAAAAGAAAACAGTGCAGTACAGGTAAAAATAGCAGATAGAAGCAGAGCACTCCAGAGACAAAAATAGTGGGCAGAGAGAACAAGAGTGCAGCCGTCCAACTTCCACGGTTTGAGAGCGCACTTAGTCAAACCGCAGACACATATATAGATCCAGAAAGGTTTCCCCACATTTATGGCTACAGTATTAATTAGATAAAAAGGTTTTACACTATTCATCATGTTAATTTCTATCTGCCGTAAAATCCAAATCAATCCCATACAGAGCTGGGATACGCCAGCCTGGGCTTTTTTTTTTATTTTCATTGACGTTCACTGGCTGTGGATGCTATTTGGCAGATGGCAAATTAAACCAATGACAGCTGTGCACCTCTGCAACATCTGTCAGATATAAAGAAACAAGCATCACATCTATGTTGTCAAACTACACGAGTTCCTCCTACAGACATTAGTATCTCTTAATGTGTCCCTCCCGAGTAAACAACACTCAACTGCCTCATTTGAGCGGAGGAGGAGGTCAAAAAGACAGAAACACTGCGCTTATGAAAGACTTAACAGGCCATTCTCACACACACACACACACACACGACACTATAAACAACCAAAATGCTAAATATACAGACACCCTGTTTTATAAGGACTCACATAGACGTAACCAACAATGCCTCTTCTTCTACGGCAGCATGCACAAATGCTAAAATGCAGCGACTTCATGCTTGAAATCAGTCGACTAACTGCATTTTCTGCTCATTATTGTCCTCACCAGGGTTTCCTGTAATTGATAACTGTGTTGGACTGAAGACAGAGACAGAAACTAACCTCTGGTCATTATATAGGTGAAGATGTAAATAACAGAGATATCTTTAAAGACGATTTAAAGAATATTTTCACATATGCATGAGTCTCATTTAACCACACATTTGCAGTATATTGATGGTTTTTTTATAATTTAGTATCTTTGAGGGGCAGAGAGTCATCAAACTGACACCTCTGATCATACAAAACACCTCCAAAGAGAGCCCAGGCCTGTTGTCAACACAGATGACAAATGTGCTCAACGCTGCCACTCAGCCTTCACACTCAGGTATGAAAACTACTAAACTATTTAAAGGGCTCCTCTGATTTTGAATGCAGCAGATCACTAAGCACATGCAAGTTGAATGTTACGGCACGACGGCCCACGGGCCACTTCAGGAACAAATATCTATCCAGGCACAAACACATCTACTCAGACATTCAGCTTAATTACATAAAACAGATATCTGACTTTTGAGAGCCGAGCGCTTTAAAGAGGCCCTGCTCTGCAACAGATTCTCAGTCCCAACTCGTCACATATGGATGCTTGGTCAAGACCCCTTGGCGTCGCTTTTTAACGCCTTGGGTCCCAGTTTAGCATTGGAGGAAAACATCATGGTCTGAGTTCAAATACAATGTTATTTATCTCACTTAACTTACATGAGTTAAGTGAAGTGACGTGCGTTAAATGTAACTAAATAAAAATATTCAATGCAGACTTTATGATTCACACGGGAAACGAACAACGGCCTCTTGGGTGAAAGTCCAGTTTCTGGCCCTCCCATCCACACCAACCCCTCAGACTATTCTGTTAAATATCCTACACCTTCCTTCAGCGTTGAACTATGACACTAAGGGCACTCCAGTGCGTTACAAACTGACGGCAGCGAGTCTTGACCATGTGTCCATATGTGACGACATGGTAGAGCAGTTGTGCTCCGAGGTAATACTTTGTCTGACTTGTTTTAGCCTGCAACTAATGATTATTTCCATCATCAACTAATCTTTTTGATTGACATTTAGTAGATCGTTTCGCTGGTGAAAATCCAAAAGTTTACAGCTGCAAATGCTGTTTTGTGTATTTGAGAACCAGTTACTTTTTGATATTTCTGCTCGTTAAACGCTTTAATTTATCATTTTAGCCACTTGGAGGCAGCGGAATTATTATTTGAATTATTAAAGGAGACCTAATATAATACATTTCCAGTCCTATATTGCAGTTTTGTGACTCCGGTATGGCTCAACTCAAAGTTTTGAATAAAAAATAAAATTCTATCTTATACAGGGACTTCATGCAGGTCCTCATTTCAGCCTCTGACTGCACCAAGCTGTAGATGCTCCTGTGTCTTTAAGGTCCTTCCCCTAAAAGTCCACTGTCTTCTGATTGGCCAAGACCCTGAACCAGGCTGTTGTTGGCCCGAAAAAAGAAACCATATCCAGTCTTGTTTGGCGCTTTCTTCTTTAGAAAAACCAGATAAGCTTAATTTTCCTTTTCAACTAAAAAAGCACTTTCTTGGCAACATATTTAACAACTTCAAAAGACCAGAGTGTCGTCCTGCGCTGAGTAGTATAAAATTCCTGATAGGCAAGTCTTGCCACTTGGAAGTCATCTCGGTAACTCCTCCAGAAGGTTTTTTTTAGACTAACAAGATCAGGCCCCGATCTAAATGAATGGGGAACCAAAACAAAAGAGCTGAACTCAGACGCTCACTTAAAGCCGATCATTTCACTTACATCCTTGTCATTTGTTATTACTTTCTGTCAACTGAATAATTGATTAATTAACTAATAATTTCACCACAAGACATGGTTACCATTTAAATAAAAGTAATAACCAGATTTGGTTTGATATGTACAGCTATACTCTCAACCCAGTACCAATTATCACTTAACACAGATTACTTGCACTTCAGGTAAAGTATGATCCTTCAAGAAAAACTATTTTTAATAACATCTGTGCTCCTACAATGCTGTTACACATCTAATGTAAGCGACCATCTAAGAGGCATTCCCGAGCAAAGCAGGAAGCCAATGAGGTGATCCCATCCGTGGCATTACGCTGGAATTAGGGTCACCCGAGAGTGTCACTGAAAATCAAAGGGCAAACATCAGCCAGCAATTTTAAAGCATCGGATCTCCCCTTTGAAGATATTTGCTGTGATGTTTATCCTGCTGGCAATCTAGCCATAGGGATAAACACCCATTCAGCTGGAAAGACAAATTTTAAAACCATCATCTGTGCAGTCTTCTTCTGTGGTGTCCTTATTTTCTGACTCAGACCTTCATGTGAACTCTGCAAGCCGCTATCTGATAACTGTAACACTTTGGTTACTCGTTCACTTAACCTGGCTGCTTAGAAAAAGCCTGTCCGGGTATTTAGACCGTCACATTCACGGGGCTATTTCTCCCTTCTGGATCAAACTGTTAAATATACTGTGTGTAGCTGTGTGTTCTTTACATTTGTGAGGAAAATCCTTGTGTTGCATTTGCAATTTGCCAGTTAGTGCCACAGTTTATAAAGATAAAGCACTAAAACACACTGACTTTTGTAAATACAGTTGGAAATAAGGCCCAGTAGGAAGTTAGCCAGCGTTACCTAACTAACATAACATTAGGAACAATCCACAGCCGACATATTTCTGGATTTGTTTCAGGTTTTGGAAAGAGAATAAATCTCCTTTCAGCCTCTCTGGGTAGCAACTGTAATTATTACAAGTGACCCAGGAACAGCTTTGACCATATCTTGGGAAAATACAACTCCTTTTGTATTAGTGTCAATAGAGCGCAACCACGAAAGTGGCGGACCTCAGTTAGAGCGAGTCCTATACTGTGCTGTGATTGGCCAGGTGCGTATTCAGGGCGTGGCTTAGCGAAGGGTCAATTGACTGTAAGTTAGAAACTTTATATATTTGTTCTTAATGAGTGCAATTGAGTCCGATTTCGTCCACAGACATGCAGATTAGCTGATTTGAAAGCTCTACTTTGGCCACAGATGCATGAATGTGTGAGTTTGGATCAAGCAGCAACCTCAGGGTCTAAAAAGTGAAACCAGGGAAGATTGGTGGTTCGATCTCCGGTTCTCCCAAGTCAGCATGTCAAAGTGGACAACTGAACCCCAAATTGCTGAGTGTGAATGGTAAGTTTTTATCTGTTGAGCACCTTGATTGGTGGTGTATGTGTGTGTGAATGGGGTGTGTAGTGTAGTTATCTTTGAGAGGTTGGAAGACTACAAAGTCTAATTTGATCAATAACCAAATGGCTTCAGAACTAATGAGTCTCCCATGAGCCTCAGCTGTACTTTAGTTTAGTGTTTAGTGCTAATTAGCAAATGTGAATCAATTGAAACACTCTTGTTTTGTAACTATGTGATAAGGAGGAAGAACTAAGAAAGAGAAAGCAGCAAATCACATCGTATTTGTTTAACACAGTCTGTCATTAAGGAGGAGCCGAGAGTCTCAGATACACCAAAGGAGGAGCAAGTCACGGAGAGAGATGTGGCCGAAATGTTTCTCCAGAAAGCGTACAGTAATTGACATCAGTTCCCCGAGAAACACAAACCACCCAAAGAGAGGAAATCATGACAATGTGCTGCACCACATGGGTATTTATCTCAAACGAGAGTTTCTGGTCGGACAAGGACGTGAGTTATACTCCTACTAAATTAATTATCTTTGTCTTACAGGAGTGCAAAAGACTAAAATACAGTCCCTGCAGTTAGAAAACGACTGCTCAGGAAATTAATAATGATGTTTAATTTAGCAGGAAATGGAAGAAAGTGGTTTGCACATCAATTACAAACTCCGTTTGGGAAGCAGTGATGCCCTGTGAGTCTGCCATTAATCACAGTCTGATTCAACAAACATTCTCCTTTTGCTCTTAACACTAGTGTTAAAAACGCGATGGTAGATCAACTGATTTTTTCACCACCGCAGCAGAACAACGTGAAACACCACACTGGCATATTCATTTTTAATAAGGTTTTTATAGCTAAAGTGTTAGCAAACAATTTACTATTTACACATCCAGCAGAAACTAAGAAACACTAGCTTTGTTTGGGAGACGTGTTTCTGGCAACAGATATTATTATAATTTTCACTTTCCTTTTAGCTTGAAGTTAGAGAGGGACGCCGCTGCTCTGACGGCATGTTGTAGCTCGTTCCACCATCGTGGTGTCACAGATGAGAACAGGGACTGAGATTGCTTTGTGTGAAGGGATGGCAGAGCCAGGCGGCGTTCGTTGGAGGAGCGGAGCGGCCAAGAAGGAACGTAAGCTTGTATTATGGAGTTTAGGTAGATGGGTGCAGACCCAGTAGTCACTCTGTATGCAGCTTTAGGGACTGAGGTTAACTGAGTAGTGGAGTGACATGAGTCCTTTTTGGGCTGATCAGAAACCAGCTGCTCTGCTGCGTTCTGAACCATCTGTAGAGGTTTCACTGCACAAGCTAGAAGACCAGCTAGGAGAGCATTGCAGCAGTCAAGGCGAGAAATAACCACGGGATGTACCAGAATCATTATCAGAGCTTATTAGCTGAAAACAGTTGGGTGCTGCTGCTGGACATGACGCTGATGAGAGCTGTGACACTGAACCAAAACAGTGAGTTCAAAGATGCTAAAAAGCTGCTTGGAGCAGAGGGGAACTGCACAATCAACTGCTAATTCTCCGTGGCCTATGTGCCAGTTTTGCGTAGTGCTAGAAAAAAGATCAACGGGTCAGTAAAAAATTTGATGACATCCTGTACGACCACATTTCATTTGGTAATCTGATGAACAGCTGTTAAGATCTTGCTCCGGACCAAAGTGTCCGATAGATGAGAAGAACAAAATCTCTTTCATCCCGCTTTTATCAAAGCAAAGGCTTGGCTGCATGGGCTGCTTCAGAATAAATGGACTGAAACACAGATTAGTACGCTCAGCGTCCAGTTAGAACTGATTTTGGAAGACATCTAGATGCCCAGGTTGAATCCAAGCTAATATATAATATATAACATGCAGTTAGGACCTGCTTTAAATTCAAATATAATCCTGCAACTCATCAAATCAGTGCTCACTGTGTAGTTCAGTGTGTGCAGACTCACTTTTGTTCCTCAGAATCAGGAAATAAGAGAGCAGTAACCTAAAATAACATCGCACGGTGTTAATTTGTGTGCAAAAGCTCAAGAAAAGAGTCTATTTACTTGTCATGACTTCCATAATAGAGCCATCAGTCCTCAGTTAGAGCTGTCACTCCCCTCTAAGTGTTAAAGTAGTCCCCCACGTCCATTACATAACAACTGATTTAACTCTCTGTGATTGCCCTTAGCTGTTGCACCTGCTTGAAAAGAGAAAAAAAAGAGCATATTCCCAGGAAATTAAACAGAGATGAGTGAGAAAGCCAAAGAGAGAGAGCGAGCCTGTGCTAATGCAGGAATACTGAAATAGCTCCAGGGTCGTGTGTATTGGAGTGACGTCAGGCTGCAGCAAAGGAGAAGCTGTGATTATGTAATGATAGATTAATCATCTGGTGGGAAATAATCTGAGATTAGCATCAGGCCACCCGAGGAGAGAGGGGAGGGGGGTAGTGTGCAGAGGAAGAAAGAGGAGGAGGAGAGGCTGAAGAAGGAAAAGGAGATGCAGGTTAGCGAAAGAGATTGACACAGAGTGAGAGAGGAGAGCGATCAGATTATTCACTATTAGACATCATTCAACACCAAAAGGTACACTGCTCTCAAAAAGGTTTATAGTTTGTCTTATGATCCATATCTTTTGCAAACAAGTTATTAGTTTATTCGAACAAGAGCAATATCTTAAATACACACAAAATATTATCTTGCGTTAAGAAGATTGGTATCTTGTGCATAAAAAAGTCTTGTACACAATAAGTTGCTATCTTGTGAGAACCAGATCCATATCTTGTGTGCATACGGTAATTATTGTGCGAGAGCTTAGCACTTCTTCTGTTTCAAAATATAGCTCCATATCTTACGTGCACAAGTTTCTACATACATACAACATCTTGTATGGCCACGATAAGAATTTTTGTGTACAAGAGATGGATGTTGTCAATACAAGATAAGCTTTGTTGTGCACACAACACAATAGCTTGATCCTACAAAATAAAGTAAATATCATCCTTCAGGACTTCGAGAGCTCTGTAAAAAGGTCTGTACGTAACATTCTGCATTCAAACCTGGGCCCTATTTTCACATATGTTGGTGTTGAATTGACCAGTAGGTGCAAAAGGTTTTGGAATCTGCGCAGTAGATGTTCAACCAGTAGCCCAAAAAACTCCAGCACACAGACAGTACTTATGCTCCAAATGCTGCTCACATCGCTCACATTGTTCAAGTCGTGGGTGAAAAGAAGCCTGTAGACTGGCTTCTGTTTCAAACCAGGTGTCGCACCATATTCTTTGGCTGCAGGGGGCGCCGTTGCATGAATGTAACTTCATATAAATGGTTATTGCTATTAAAGGACAACTTCATTATTTTTAAACCTGGGCCCTATTTTCACACATCTTGGTGTTAAAATGACTAGTAGGTACAAAAAGTTCTGAATCCTTGCGGTAGATATTTCAGCCGGCAGCTGGACCGGTGTTCTGACGAGATATGCTACCTTGTTGAAAAATGCTACCATAGCGCAAATCAATAGCAGAGTCGCTCTGCACACATCGAAAAATGCTACCTTATGTGTTCCCTTTTCCAAACCCGTAAAGGTACAACTCTCTAAGTATTATGACGTCTTCTGTTTTTTGAACATCATTTCAGGGGTAGCGTATTCTGATAGACTGCCACTGTCTCGACGGCATGCCCAACAGCAAGGTTGCACAGATTTATGGGCGTGGAAACAGACCACGCTTGTGGGTCATACGCATGCGCAGAACCGCTAAGTAGCACATCTCGATAGGTAGCATAAATCGACAGAACACCGTCTGCAGTTTCCTCCGGAGCAACTTCGTCAGTCAAAATAACGTCCACAAAAAGTGCTTATTTTTGCCACCAGGTGTCTGACAACATCATGGAAGGATCCCTATGAGGGACACTTTGTGACCCCCTTTGATTTAAACAGCAAACTGAGGTCTCACTCAAGGGCAGTTCTTCGCTCTCATGAGAGGAGAGTTGTTGGAGGAGGACAACGGTGGAAACGAGGGAGAGGAGTTTGTTTTGTATGTAGAGGAGCTGCTAGCAAGACTTTATTTCCTAACGTTACTCCAACCCAACAAACTCCTCTCACCAGCTCTGACTCACGTTTCCACAATAGTCGACAGAATTGTTCTTGAGCGAGACTTTAGTTTCCTGTTAAAAACAAAGTGTGTCACCGGGACTCCCTCGTAGGGATCATTATTAGATCTTTATTATTATAATCTTACATTGAACAGCTCATCCAGAGTTTACACAGAGGCTTCACACTGACTCATGCAAGGATACATGCATGACAACACAGCAGATCCACCACACACATAGGACCACACATATGCGACAGTGCAGAGTGCGTTGCAAACTGTACACAGACACTGAAGAGGAGAAACAGAGGTGCACCGGTAACGTCAGTCTTGTCCGAGTCACTGCAGATTCAGCGTCCAAGTATTTACTTCAGGAAATGAAACCGTGCAGAGACTCACTACTTAAATGAGCTTAGCGTTGGCACAGGGACATATTTTTGGGGTGAAAAATGTCTGCAGTGGAGTGATGCAAAGTGCCGGCTGTGCCAAACTGAGGTGTCTGAGGGTGGCGAGGCGGTAACAGCCCTCTGAAAACAGCCAGTCAGAGAGAAGTTACCATCAACCTTCAAAATAAAAGCCTAAAATATCCACATTTGTTCCCTTTTGTTAAAGATCAAAGTTAGAAAGTGTCTTTCCTTAAGTTTGATTTTGTGTTTTATACTGTTTGTTTTAACATACTTTAAAATTACAGGATATTTGTGACTTTTGTGATATCGTTCCCGCTTCGCTTATTTTGTTTTTTAGTCTCAGATATGTTTATTTGATGATGGTTAAATAAGTGTTGATACACAGTTTGTAAACAGGATGTCCTGGCGAGATTATATAACATCATTACATGTATTTTAACTTATTATCTAGTACTAAAAGTGTTGTCTGACTTGTCTATCTCTGGCCATATTATTGTTCTGTGAAGTTGTAATCTTTATTATTATTGATAATAGTATTATTATTTTTGTTGTTGTACTGTTTTAAAACTACAACACATATTACCTACATTATGCAAACATTTAATGTTTTGCAACAGACTATTTCTACAAAGATGGATGTCAACTGTGGCACGTTGAGCTAAATACAAATTAATACTCCAGTTCTTCAGCAAAGTCTATTTTTATCAGGGTTTCTATATTACCCTTAAAAAAGCTACCGTTTCTGGGATCCACAAAATATATATATCACATAAATATCACATTACCTGGCAATCATAAGACAAAAGTATCGATGCATCTCTGAGATATAACATGAAAGAGCAACAGAAAATGACACGCTGTGCCTTTAAGGCCCAAAAGAATCTCTTGAAATATTAAAGCCAACACTACAGCACTTGACAAAGTCAAATGGTAGTGCATCTGCCTTTGAACAAAATATTTAAGGAATAATAAAAGTAGTTCTGAGCGGAAAAGGCATCCGAACACAAAAAGGGCAGCCAAGGATATAAAAGAGGAAATGAGGCAAGCTAGCTTACCTTGACATCAGCCTTCTTGTTGAGGAGACTCTTGGCTGCTGCAGAGAGGCAGAACGACACACCCTCAGATGGAAGAGTACACATCATACACCTTCAGATGCCACAGCTCTCTAAATCTGCTCACACAAACACGGCTGCAGACGCACGGTGATGCATGCATGCATGGGCTGAAAATTCACCTGCTCATCAAAACGCTGGAAATCTCACAAAAAAAGAACATGCAGACCTCAAACAGACAGTGACAACGCTTGTCTCTCCACATGTCCTCCCCTTCTCCACCCTTAAGGACACTGGACAGAATTCATCCCTCCCTCTAAAAAACAACCCCGCCCTCCCTCCGGTAAAAAGACATTAAAAAAAAACACTGAATAAACTCACACTCACACACAAACACACACACACAAAAAATCTCCATCCAACTGGCACCTCCTAACCCTGATCCTCTGCCCAGAGCATTAGATAAGCAGAGGGCATCAGGCATGAAGGGGGGGAAAAAAGTCAAACTAATTCTCCATATAATCCAAATACACTCACACACAGACAGCGGTGGGATTAGGAGTGAAAGCAAGTGGAATGGAGATGCAGGTATGTGATAATGGGTTTGTTAATCTCAAGAGTAGGCTGGATTAGTTGGAATCACTATAGAGTTCATTGATGGTCAGGAATCGTAAGCGACACTTTGGTGTAGCAGAGCAGGAGCAAAAATAAACACCCAGAAGCCGGAAAAGCAAGCGTTCTGGTGATGAGAAGGCTGTTCATTAACGATAAAGGAGGAAGAAACAGTCCTGCCGACGTTGACTCTTCATCAGGGAAACACTGAAGCTCAGAGTTGGAGAGCGATCCTCAACTGGAAAGCTACACTGCCCTGTCTGCTAGCACATCTGACATCTAAGCCACTGCATACACACCAAACTGAATGCAATTTGTCCCCTAATTCCCCAGAGGGCACGTGACCGTATGTGTTGCACAAGAGAGAAGCTCTAACCCATGGCAGGCAAAGATATCTGAACAGTAATACTCTTACCTTGGCAAACATTTCAGAAGCATTAGAGAGAGGGGGGGGAAAGATTTAGGGGGAGAGATTAAAACAAGCTGAGGGATATTTGGGAGTGTGTGATGTTGTGACTCTGGGGGATTTCCATTTAATCACGTCCGTCCCGAGTTCAGTGACGGGAACGGATGTAAAGTTTTAAGAGAGGAGAGGTCAGAGATGTGAAAAAAATAAAATAAAAGCAGAGAGAAGATGTTAAAGTGTGAGTACCAGTACAACTGAGATCAGTTTACCTTGCTCCACAAGGCCGGCGGTGGTTCCAGCCACAGCGCTGACGGAGGCGGGGGCTGTGGTCTGCCGACCCACTGAAACACAGAAATGAGATGGTGAGGAAGATACTTCAGGCTGGTGGAGTAGTAACTTTACTCATCAAGGATTAGGCTGGCAATAATTTATATATTTCTGTGTATCGTCAACAAATCTCATTAAAAAACACTAAAACCAAAAATGTGTAAGTGAGAATACTTTCTCACTTCCTGTCTGTGGCTCTCAGCTCCGAGCAGAAGTTGTAAAAACAGCTCACAAATATAGAGCAAAATGTTTTTCTTAAAACATTACAAAACTGTGGTTTTTAACAAACGTGACTCAGAAAGGAGGAAATAGTGCATTTATTGGGTACTATTTTCAGCAGCGGATTAATCTACATTGCTTGCTCTAGTTGTGTGATCAGGGTAATGACGGAACTTGTTAGTTAAGATAATAATAAAAATAATAATAATAATAATAATAATGCTCTACGTAGCGCCTTTCTAGTCTTTGCGACCACTCAAGGCGCTTTTACACTCCATGTCATTCACCATTCACACATATTCATACACTGGTGGAACAGCCACCAGGGGCAGTTTGGGGTTCAGTATCTTTCCCTAGGTCACTTCGACATGCAGCCTGGAGGAGGCAGGGATTGATCTTACGATTAACAGGCAACCCGCTCTACCTCCTGAGCCACAGCCGCCTCGCTATATATTTATTTATTTGTTTATTTACATAGCATTTTTCTAAATCTATGTTACAAAGCGCACATAAAACTCATAAAACAGATAAAACAAGAAAAACAATACAGTTAAAAGAAAAGAAAAATAAAGTCAACTTAAATCAGGAGAGGCTCTCCTATAAAAGTTTTAAAAAGGGACTTAATCCAGATTTCCCCAGACAGGCTGATCCAGAGCCTCGGGGCCCTGACTGCAAACTGTCCCCTTTAGTTTTCAGTCGAGACTCTGGAACAGACAGCAGACCTCTGCCCGAGGATTTTAAGGTACGTGCTGGTGTGTATGGGACTAAAAGGTTAAATATATAGCAAGGTGAGAGGCCATGAAGAGCTTTAAATAGTGATAAGTAACATTTTAAAGTCTATTCTGAAACATACCGGAAGCCACAGTGTAAAGAGGCCTAAACAGGAGTGATGTGCTCACGTTTCTTTGTTCTGGTTAAAAGCCTGGCAGCTGAGTTCTGGACTCAAGCTCAAGCTAGTAAAAAGGATGTTGCAGTAATCCAGGCATGATGAGATGATTGCATGTAAAATGGTCTCAATGTCTTTTTTTCAAGATGGTAAAAACACGATTGCCCACAGGCCTTGTGGTGCGCTGCTCGAAATTTAAATTACTGCCGAACCAGACGCCAAGATTTTTAGCAACAGGCTTGATGTGAAATGTCACCCAGGCCGCTCACTGATGTGTTTTTAATGGTTTTTCAACAACAATGGAGCTCAATGGCACAGAGGAAGAAACTACATCAGGCTGTGATACACACACAGAGTACTTGTTTATAGGATCATTATAAAGAAGTAAAACCTCTTTGAAAAATGCTGCATTGCATGAAAATCTGACAAAAGACAGATATTTATAACATAAAACAGATGCTTCTTTTACACAGTGATTAGAGGTTTGAATGCGTATTTATAGAGGAAGACCAACATCTTTTTCAAACAGGCCTAGTTGCTCTGTAAAGAAAATGTGAAATGAATCCACATTTGAAGCTAATAAAAGCACAAATATGGAAGTAGGTAACTTTTTAGCTTATTGTATACCAGCTTAAACATCTCAGAATCAGAAACAGCTTTATAGCCAAGTAGTTGTTTTAAACTAAAGAAAATTCCTCGTATGTGTACAATTTGCTTTGGTGACCAGGTGTGTAACAATAGACATAAGCCTATATAAATATTAAATTATTTTCAACAAAGCCTCACTTCCCACCCCCCTCTTTCACTCCCTTTATAATACTGTAAATGTGCACATGTAAATACGACGGAATTACTGCCATAATGCACATATTCCTTATTATTCATTTTGAATTTTAGATTTTGTCAGTTTTGTATTTGTATATTTATACAAATCCTCTCCCGCTTTTAATGTGATCAGACAACAGAAATGTAACAGTAATACACATTGTTTTGTTTATCTTTTACACAAAATTCTTTTATAACTTGCATCTGTTTATTACATATTTATATATTTTTAAATCTATGTCTAGCACCTAATCACGTGTAAAATACAACTTGGCAATAAAGCTCTTTCTGATTGTGATTCCGATCTGAAATTGACAAAATATTTTACTATTGGCATTTAATTATTTACATGTGCAAACAAAGTCAGATATGTTGTGGAAACATTATTAGTGTTTTTTGAAAGAGGAGGCAGGTTTGGCGTGGTACTTCTCTTTACTCTATTACATTTATTTGACAACATCTGAGTTACTTTGCACAAAATTTAGACTAATAAATTGTGATAAAGTAACCCAGCAATACATAAAGTAGTTAAAATTAGCTCCACCGTTATTAGCTGCCACATTAGAAATTGAACACTTTAATGCAGTATCACCAAAATGAAACTCAGGCTGATTTAAGAATCAGGCAAACGAGATATCCTGGACGAAATGATGGCTAAGACGGCACAAAAACCAAGCTGCATTTCCCGCTTACTGTAACACTGACGCCCATCAACCTGCTGTCTGTTCGTGCGTGTGTGTATGTGTGTGTGCGAGTGTGAAGAGATGGCAGAAGACAGATGGCATGTCATCCTGCCCTCTCCTCTCCCGCTCAGAGCGCTGACTTGTTCCCTTGACTCTTGTCTTTTCAGCGAGCTGCACTCACCAGAGAAGTTCCTGGAGACGAGCATGGTGGTCAAAATGGCCCCCTGCGGAGAAGAAGGAAAAGAGATGGGTGAAAAGGGTGAAAGAGCCTCTTTCAGACCCCGTGTTCAAATGTTTATTTTGTACTATAACATCAATAGTGCTCAATATTCCCCCCCTGATAAACATAATACAACATAAAACAGAGGTGTGGACGCGAGTCACGTGACTTGGACTTGAGACATGGTCGAGTCACAAATATGATGACTTTAGACTCGACTTGACAAAATCAAAAAAGACTAGCAACTCGACTTTGACTTTAACACCTATAACTCTTGACTTCACTTTGAATTCCCCTATAATATAAATGATGATATAAAAGAAACTGAGCGCAGCACATCAACACTTGCTATAGCTCATGAAATTATACGACATTTGTTGTGTGAAACTGTGCTGCCTTTTTTCTGTACAGGTTAACATTTTATTAAATAACGTTTATTTCATTTTTAACTTAATGAAGAGCACAATATGACATGTTTACTTGAGCGTTGGTCCCACCTCTGATTACACATACATGAAAAGGTATTAAAGGAGACCTATTAAACTGCTTTCCCAGTCCTATATTGTAGTTCTGTGACTCCTGTATGGCAGTTTTGCATGATTCAAAGTTAAAAAAATATTTTATTTTCTTATACTGGCTCTTCATGTAGGCCTTCATTTCAGCCTCTGTCTGAAACAAGCTGTAGACGCTCCTGTCTCTTTAAGGCCCATCTCTCAAAGCCCACTGTCTTCTGATTGGACAAGACCTGAAGCTACCAGGCTGTTGTTGTCGCTGGGCAGAAAAGGCAGACTGAGTGTTGCCGTTTGTGTGGGAGCAAATGACCATATATGGAAATATGTAGAACGGAGCAGTTGGTAGAAAAAGCCGTTCAAAAGATTTTTTCAAAAGAGGAAATCTGAGGTTTTTGCTCACAGTGATTTCTTATAAATGCTTTAACCTCGTTTTTTTAAGCTTTGGCCATGTTTAACATGAACATCCAAAATTATAACACTGTAGATTAGTCATAAAATGTGGAAAAGCATAATACGTCTCCTTTAAATCTGCCTGTCCAAATTGGGGCCAGTTTTGGAAAAGACCAAACAGTGTGACTGGTTGGGTCTCGACCGCACCTGATACAGGTTGGGTCCAAACCAGCTTCCTCGCTCTTTCAGATCCCTTTACTTAAATCTGATGGCAATTTCACATGTCGGTCTTACGTCTAAAACATCACCCTGATCGAGCCTGTAACCTTTCTGTATCACTAAAGTCAGATTAACACAAAGGCAGCAGCAGAAGGTGAAACATGCATGTGTCTCGTACCGCCTTTAAAGATCACTGTAATAAATGTTTTATCTCCATCTTTCCCTCTGATCGCATTAGCCCTTTAAAAATGATTTCCCCTTGCAGTGTGACCGGGGCAGAAGAACCCTTCATACAACCATATATAACTCCATCTTTCATTCATGCCAACAGCATGGATGGGTGAATGAATATCCAGCAAAACGCTTGGCATACTGTAAAACTTTGATTAAGAGCCTGGGCTTTTATTTGCAGAAATTACTGAATTGACCCTGCCTATATTTGGGACAGGCCTTTAATTCATCTTGCTCAAAACTGAAATAGGCTACTATGAAACTGTTTATTTCTTTCAAACATTTATTTTGTAGGTAGCAACGTAATAAAAACAAACACAGGGGAGACCGGGTGTGGTTGTAGCATGGGGAGAGTTGTAACAACACCAATTCCACCAATTAGAAATACGTAAGATAGGATGTATGTGATCATATCAGTATCTTCCTACTTCCTCCCCGATCAGGCAGTGTGCTTGTCAAAGCTGGAAACAGTTACATTCAGAATATATAGAGAAAAAACTGATTTTTAAGGTGAGAAAGTAAATTTGACCACTATATTTTGTGTAGTATCGATACTTTTGCAGATAAAATGTAGTTTCTTAGGCAACATGTGAATCGTTTTTACCCTGAATACCCAAGAATATACACACATTGACACACACATACAGATGTTTGTTTTAGTTAGATCTAAGGATGTAGAAAGATTTTCTTTAATTAGGTACATTGTAGTAGAGTTTATTAAGTATGCTGTTAAGGAAGTTTGTTCTAGTAGACAAATCTACACACACACACACACACACACACACATGCAAGTCAATTAGCCATACCAACCTAGTTGATATGGTCTGGCATCCATTTTTGCTTCTTTTGTCTTATTGTTAACAACTTACCCCAGCATGTGTTACAATCTACCCCGGTAGTGGGGTAGCAGCGGAACACCATGGATTTGACATCAGCTCACAAGGTCTGTGATATTCTTGTAGAGGATTGAATGGGGGCCATTTGTAGGGAACAAGTGTGGGTACTTTTTATAAAAATTTGAGAACTCTAGCAAAAAAAATTCAGCGAGTTATAGTTGCTGAAGCAAAAAGTGTTACAACTATGCCCGGTCTCCCCTACCCAACAACACGGTGCAGGATGAGAGACGTGTAGCAGAATTTCCCTCGAGATAAATAAAGTATCTATCTCTCAGAAGTTTGCAGACAGAGAGCAACGGACTTCACATGACAGGATTCACAACTTGGATAAATTTTTATGAAAAGCTGTTTTTTGATCGGTGAACCCTTACAGACTAAAGGAATATAAATAATCAAGGAACAAACACATTCGGGCTTAACGAGCGCTTCAAAGGTAACGGGAGTCGGCACCTTTTTTTTCTTTTCATCTCTTGTACCATGCAGGTTACACCAGTAAATTAGAGTTACACTTTGGGGTTTGTTGTTTCCTTTAAATGAACTGAACTCTTGAATTGTGGAGAACCCAACCGATCTAACGATGTGCAGCATGTCCATACTGACATATTGATCACAAGTTTAAACAATATTTGTATTAACAATCTAAGCAACTTAGAAGCAGCTAAAGCGGGCGACCCGGCGGGATTTAAGAGGTTTTATACATCTAAATAACTTCTATAAAAATCAGACCAGGCGCTTATTCAAGGTCTGCATTTATTTGTCAAAATGGGTTCCCGCACCAGGCCAGTAAAGGAGGCAGGCGGCTATTAATTGAAGTTTCACAGTAGGTTAAAGAATGTGAGCTGACACAAATTAAATCAGAGTCCGAACTTAATGTCCTGTCATTCAACGCTTGTGCACCGGCAGATTAATGAAACAAGCAGCAGAATTTGCTCTCTAATTACTTTAAATGATGAAACCGATGAGAAAACGAATCCGTGGATTCACTACGACTGGCGGTGGAGAGCATCCCTCGCACTCACGGTGGTCGTTTAGTCTTCAACGACAAAATTAGTGAAGCAGCCTGAGAGACAACAGTCCTCTTCCCTGCTATTATAACTGCTCTCTCTCTCTCTCTCTTTAGTTTTATTGTCATGACTATTAAAGTTACATTATCACAAAAGCTAAATTACAAAGAGAGAATCACAAGATGACTCTCTGAGATCTCTCTCTCCCCCCTTTCTGTCGCGCATGAGGTGCCAAACATCGCACGAGCTTTCTGTAAACGTGCCATCATGACTGAATGAAGCTGTAAGGGAACATGAATGTAAAAGTGAGCTATGTCTGAATGACAAGAAGCCATCGCTTTAACACATAGAAGAAGCCAGCAATGCTACATATTGCATGTCTGAAAGGGGGTTTTAAACGGATAAGAGGAGAGGGAAATCTGGGTAAAGATGAGACCTTGCAGCGTGAGATACGAGAAGGGATGGATGAAGATGCAGATACTGCGGAGGAGCTCATTTTCTTTCTTTGAATCAGAGACAACATGAAGCGTTTTCACACCTTGAGTTTCCTCCTGGCGTTAAACTTCTTCAGGCACTCGACTGTCTCCTGTCTGTGCATCATAGAGGCCACTGTTGAGCGTTGCTGTGGGGAGACAGAGAAAGAGATGCTGAAAATAAAACACTGGAGGAGCAGCGCTGACAGTGACAGGTTTATGTGGGCAGGAGCTGTCGGAGATACTCGCTTCGCTGGAAACGTGTTGATTCTGAGGATCTTTAAGTGACGACCACACTGGAGCAAGATGCATTCATCTTGGCTTTACTGTGTCCTGACAATCATCAGCCTTATATGTATCATGATTCTGTTTTATACAGTATATGGAAATACTCCATTTTAAGTAAAATACCTGCAATGAAAATGTTACTTAAAGTAAAAATACGTAACTATTATTAAAATGAACGAGGTAGCTTTATTTGTCATTTTACAACCCATGGTTCATGTTTAAATAACATTTTACTGTTTTTGTATATTACTGTACTAGTTTGTCAAGGTGCAGCTAGTTTAAACTATTTTATATACTGTTGGGTTTAATGTAACACCAAACAATATTTTTTTTTTGTCAATCGGCGACTCTTCTGTTTGCAAAAGGAAGTCCAGTTCCATTAGAAATAATGGTAAAATGTTTCTACTTGTCAGCTGATTTATTCCCTCAGTAAACACTTTCCTGATGAGTTTATGGTCTCAGTCGTTAGTTTCAAGTCTTCTTCAACACAGCATGATGTTCATTTAGTAAATTATGGTCCCATTTAGAGGAAAATAGACCATAAAGCAGAGTATGTTTCAGGGCGGGATTATCTATGATTGACAAGTTGTTGTCAATCAGGCTAGAGTGACTCGTACCCTCGGCACTGTGTAAATTTAACCAGCGCCGCTAAAAAAAAGCTTATTAGGAGTCGGCTGTTCACTTTCTCTGGTGAGCACATTTAGCTTTAAGCCTGTTGTTCACTAGCCAAAATTATCAGCCCTGTTAAAATGACAGTTAACCTGAATTACAGATGCACCTAGCTAAGCAAGCTAGCTAGCAAGCTAGCTAGGGCCACACCAGGCCGTTAGCGCCAGCGTCTCGTCCAAATGTGGTCACTTCCGGGCACTTCCTGATTGCAAAAAATCAACATGGCGGCGCCCTAGCGGCCAAAGTCGAGGCTTCAGAACGGCATGTGACGTCACAATGACTCCGCCCACTTCTTATATACAGTCTATTGTTGGGGCAGGGGGTATCAGATCTTAGAGCGCCACCTAAACTAAAGCTGGCGTTTATATGAAGACCTGCTGTAGGAATGAAAATCGTTTTTGGAAAATGTGCGTGGCCTTTTAATCAACTTTGGCTGTTAAATAAATGTCAGAAAAAGTGTCTTTGCTTGAAATAATTCCACTTTCCCCCATTTTTATATGCCACAAACCGTCTCAGATAAACTAATTCTCACTTTAAAAGCACATATGACACAGCTTCCTGGGGGTGCTTGTAAGCTTGTGATCCTGATATTTTTTGTGGATGAAGAGCACACAGAGGTGCTTATCCCAGAGAGAGGTTGCTCTTTTGCAGTCCTGTGGGACAAATCGCTCCAGATAAGCTGGCCCAGTATCTGCACACATCAGAGATTGCATGTTTGGAAACAGATGGTGCTGATATTTGGCAGCTTTGGACAGATGTTCGCAAACTTGCTGTCAGAGGAATTACAAATTACAAATTGTTGGAGTATCACACAGTGGCAATGAAATATTGATTCCCGTCCAGTAACAGGGTGCTGGATTTGTATATATGTGTACTTACGCAGACCCATGGGTGCTTCAGTGCCTCCTGGGCAGTGATTCTCTTGGCTGGGTTGATCGTCAGCATCTGGTTGATCAGATTTTTAGCCTCCGGGGTCACCGTGTCCCACTCTGGGGAGGGAAACTAAAGCGCACACACACCCATGCATGCTCACGTACATATTAAACATACCAGCAACATAATGTCTGAAATAAAGTGGGCAGAACAGATATAACAGTGACAGAGGCGGGCTCACATCGTACGCCCCGGCTTTGATCTGCTGGTAAAGTTTGTGCTGGTCCTCGTCCCAGAACGGAGGGTATCCAACCAAGAGGATGTAGAGGATCACACCTACACACAAAAACACAACCTTTGTCGGAGTGACAAGACGGAGAGAGAGGAGGCGGCGGTGAGAAATACGCAGACAAAGAGCTTACCACATGCCCAGATGTCTACAGGTTTACCATACGCCTCCTTCCTCAGCACCTCTGGAGACAAGTAGCCGGGGGTCCCTGCAAAGCCTGCACACAGCAGATAAACACACATCAGGGTCCAGCTTCTCGTAAGCAATGTTTTGTAAGTATGTTTTAACACGAGAAAGTTCATTTAGTCAAGTACTGTACAAATTTGAGTTTCTTGTACTTTACATGAGTATTTTCTTTTCGAGCCACATTCTGCTTCTACAGAACAACATCTCAGAGGGAAATAATGTACTTTTTACTGTAATTTAATACAATAACTATGCAATAAAATCTACCGTTGTGTCGCACATAATGTCCACTTTTTGATGGCATTGTGGGAAATGTGTAAAATGGATTATATGCTAATCACTAAGGTCATAGTTAAAGGTGCTGTTCTACTGGAATACATTATATTAAGAGGCGTTTCGAATGTTCTGTCCTCCCTCTTAACAAACACAAGGGTTTCAGAATATAAACAGTTCTGAACAGTTCTGTGCAACACCACCACCACTAACAATGACCTCAACGCTAAAACACATAATTCAATTAACACCTCTATGACAGGGTCGATAAAACCTGAACATTACAGACATCAGAGAAGTCGACTCTGTTTCTATTAAGATGAAGTGGACATGGTCCATTCATGCTGCATTCTGATTGGTTGGTTTGTAGCTGTAGTTTGTAGCAGCAGTCACATTGGGAGGATTTTGTCCTACATTTCTGACAGAATTTTGATGCTGGCTGTCTTCAGTTGTCAAAAGTCCAAACCGGACGTTGCTTCTGTCTCACTTTGGTCCGGGAAAGCGCAAAATCACAATGCGAGGCTTCGATCGCTCCCGTTCTTGAGCCGTGTTTGAGGGAAAACATGGAGTAACAGGTCTGCTTAGAAGGATGCACACGACTTCAATTGATCAGCAATATATGCTGGAGCTGGCCTGTGAGTTCAATATCTTAATTTTGATCTATCCCAAGGTTTGAGTCCCTGAAGGTCGTGGTTTTTGAGGCAGCATTTTAGAATCACAGCACTTTAAGTGCATTTTGAAAACAGTCTAATTTAAAGCCAACGCTTTTAGCTTTCCGCAGCCTCTTTATATTAGATCTTCATAATGACTCTGGGTCAAAGTAAGTATAACAAAGTTGTTTCATGTTCTTAGCTGGATATTAGTTGTTGCTGTTCAGCTATTCTAAAAATCCAGTAGTCACTATCCTTTTTAGATCCCTGAGAATATATACATACTAGAATAAAAAAAAAAGCATAGATATAGAAACTAAAAACAAAAAGTTCAACAAAAGTTTCCTTCTGATGATATAAAAGTCTAATATTAGAGGAAGACGGGGGGGGGGGATCCCTTCTTGTTTGCTCAACTCAAGGCCACACGACAAAAAAGGATAAAATTACAGCATGGATGAACAGTCCTGTGGAAGCCTCAATACTTTTCCTCATCAAAGACATGGTTTGCAGTCTACAGCGTGACAGCTCTGCTGCACATCACGGCTGACAGGCAGCAGAACCCTTTATGATCAAGAGGAGGAAGAGAAGGAGGATGATGGCAACAGATGGACGGGTTTTATTACAGATTTCCTTTAAAGAAAATACTGGACTCGCTAAAATTCTCTTAGTCTACCATATGCAGGTAGTGGTAGAAGGCGATATACAGGGGATGCCACCCCCCTTGTTAGATAAATTAACAATATGAGTTAACCCGCTGCCTCCCATCATATATTCGTCCAGTATGCCTGACTCACTGACCTTTTATCTGAATGAGGTGTGTGCAAATACGACTCTATGGCCTCGACCACGGCTCTGAAACATCAGCAGCTAACTGTGTATTGATAAATCCATGCCGCTGTCCGTGGTGCTGAACTACCAGACAGATTTCTGATTGCTCCTTTTTCTCTCAGTCCCAGCTCAGTGAACAGAATTGAAAAAATATTACAGTAGTTATAATGTAAGGAGAAAAAAATGACATTAGCATAGAGCCTCAATGTGTGTGATTTGGTTAAAGAGATAGTAGTTTGGGGGAATTTCCCACTTTCCCAGAGTCAGAAACGAATAAATGCCTTCAGGCAGATCTTTGTTCTCTCTCTGGTGTAGTCCTAAGTTGTGTCAAACACCATTTTTAGGCTATATTGGCTCAGTTTTTGACTGTCTACGGGGTCAGTTAACATATTCATGATCCTATATGCATAGAGGAACTGAGTAAAACTAAAATAACGGGATGTGAGGGGGCAGCTTTTTCCAAGTCGTAGGGAGGCCCACAGTTTCAGACTTTGAAAACTCTTTGAGTACTCAGCAGTGTCATCTTCATGATCAAAGTCACAACCGTGTGGTTGTGGGGTGCTCTCATTGGGCCATCCCCCCAAATCTCTGACTGGGTAGCGGGTATTTGTTAGTACAGAAATAATTAGGATGGATTTCAAAACAGAGATGTGTTTCATGATCATGTTTTACTCTTGCCTTTGGTGTCAGTGCCTTTTTCTTGAGTCTTAAGCCAGACAGACGTTAGATCTGGAGATTTGCAGTACAATGCCTGCTGCAGCTGCTGGTGTGAATCATATTGTTAACTGGCCTGATAAAAAGCTCAATTGTGCTACACTTTTTGTTAATCTGTCCAAGATTTAGAATACCACTGATCACAACATCTTTAGCACTTACTTGGTCAAAATATAAATGATCATAAAGTTAACCAGCTGGGGACCAATTGCCGTCATCACATTTGGACCCACAAAAGAGAGACAGCTAACACTAGCTAGACCCTCTCTTTTCTATAATGTAAGACAAACACAACAGTGAGTGTGGAGGAGCGGCCGATGACTCAGCAGGTGTTGAAATAACATGAACAAAAGCAGCTAGTTGGAATCAGTTCTGGAAACATTGAAAAGCCGGAGAAGGAGTTTTCAACTAATGTTAGCTTACCTAGCTTGCTAGCAACAATTATTATTTCAGCTAGCAGAATTGACAGTTGTTGGCTAGCAGCAAAAAGCTGCTTTTGTCTCCCTTTGTCTGAAATCATGGAAACATTATTTTAAAAAATCCAAATTACACAGCTACAGCCAGAGGTGTCATTTACACTGGGGACACTGGGGGACACTTTTTGAATTGGCTGATTTTGTCCCCATCACTTTTTAAAAGCATTTGTTAAAAATGTTCTTAAAAAAAGAAAGAAATGTTAAATAACAAATGAAATTGCTTTGAAATTTTTTATTTGCATATTAAAAAAATGCAATGCAATTTAAATCTAGAAGAAACATATGCGCATTGTCCAAGAAAGTAACTTAAGCAACCAAAAAAAGCTGCTGAATCCTGCATTATATTCCATTATATTTTTATATTTTGAATTGTCACCTGCCATCTGAATTTTGAGTTTCCCTTCATATAAATAAAGACATTTAGACTATAAATTGGAGCAGAAAATGTCTCCAGAATGCAGGAAATTAAGAGTTTAATGCTCAAAACCTTCAGGGGGAGGACCCACTGACCCCCCCCCCCCCCCTCATATATTTCAGCATCAAATATTTAATCTAAATAGTGCTGAAAACCTACTTGTCTTGTTCTCGTGCATCGTCACGTCTCATGACCCAAATGTACAATCACACCCTTAATCTGAGCCCTTCTGTCCCCACCATTCAACACAAAGTGACGCCCTTGCCTACAGCACTGTAAACTGTGCATGCGCAGTGCTGAAATGGAAAGCTCAACAGGCGTAGTTAAATAATGGGGGTGGGGCTTAGTGAATGGTCACATGTCTTTTTGTGATGTTATATTTATATAATTTGTTCTCGGCCTCAGTGAGACGTCCTGAATAAAGTAACCAACAAACGTAGTCCACGTGTGCACACTGCAGATGTGTGTGTTGTGGGTGTAACATACCAAACCAAGCCTGCTGTTCTCCTTGAACCTCAATAGCCAGTCCAAAGTCAGCCAGCTTCACGGCTGCGTTCTTACACTTGCTGGCCAGCAACAGGTTCTCTGGCTGCATGTATAACACAAACACCAAACACGTCATCACGTTACATTTCTTAAACACATCTCTCGATCTGTGACGATGTTAACATCCTCAGTGTGCCAGAAAAGAGCAGCAAGCTAAAGAAGCTTGCTGCTCTTTTCTAATGTTTTCATTTAGTGGACTTGGTGGAAAAAGTTGCCATTTAAGCAGAAAGTTCTGGAAAATTACTAAAAATGTGAGTCACATTTAAAACCCTGGTTCTTGGCAACAAACTGAATTATTATAAAATGCTACATTGTTTATTCAGTGTAATGAATACCAAATAAATATTAAAAGTTAAATATTCTATTAAATGAAATAAGTAAACAGCTGTTATTTGTATCTCCAAATAGCCTAAGCCATGTTGCCAAAAATTGGGTCTTTGTCTCTTTGTGGTCGTTTTGTGAGTTTGTAGTAGTTTTGCCGGTATGTCGTCGTTTTGTGTGTCGTCATAGTCGTTTTGTCTCTTTGTGATCATTTTGTGTCTCTTTGTAGTTGTTTTGTCTCTGTGTGGTAGTTTTGTGTCTCTGGTCTTTTTTTGTCTCCCATGTGGTCATTTTGAGCCTCTTTGTAGTTGTTTTGTCTCTGTGTGGTAGATTTGTGTCTCTGGTCTTTTTTTGTCTCCCATGTGGTCATTTTGAGCCTCTTTGTAGTTGTTTTGTCTCTGTGTGGTAGATTTGTGTCTCTGGTCTTTTTTTGTCTCCCATGTGGTCATTTTGTGTCTCTTTGTGGTTGGTTATTGTGTCTTTGTAGTTGTTTTGTGTCTCTTTGTGGTCATTTTGTGTCTATTTGTAGTGGTTTGCAACTCTTTGTGTTTCTTTTATGGTCGTTTTGGGTCTCTTTGTAGTCATTTTGTCTCTGTGTGGGCGTTTTGGGTCTCTTTCTCATCATTTTGTGTCTATTTGTAATGGTTTTGTCTCTTTGTAGTTGTTTTGTTTCCTTGTGGTTGTTTCATGTGTCTTTGTGGTCATTTTGGGTCTCTTTGTGGTAGATTCCCACCCCTCTGGCCTGCCCCTGCATTAAGGAGAAAAAGTTACCTTCCCTTGCTTATGTTAAAGAAGGTGTGACGGACCACCGAGATGCAACCAGTTAAACCCAGATCAGAGGACTAAGAATAGCTACAGATTCAGCACACACACATTCATAGCAACACTCATACATATTCCAATACACACACATGAATGCACACACACTCAGAGGCTGAGACAGACAGATGGGACTTATAAAATGTGTATAAGCCTTTTTTGTGCCATTTGTTTACTTGAGAAAGACCAAACACAGCTTGCCTTTCTGCAACAGTCGTGTCTTTCTTGCTCAGACGCCGATGTAACAGCAATCTGACAAACACCTACAGTCCACAATACACACAGGGACATGTTGTATAATGCTGATAGTGATTGATTTGTGCCATCTCACAGAAACAGCTGTGTGTTGTGCTCCAGCTGCAGGAGAGACATCATGTCACCCTCTGCTGGCTGATTTAAAAACTCAATTAAAGAAGGCTCGACTTATGGACAGGAGGTGGGATCTACTTAAAGGGGCTGCCCTCTGCAATGAAATCGTGTATCATGAATAGAAAATCTTAAGCACCTTGCAGCTCCCAATACTCTGTATCTATATATATTATAAATCTATTGTTAAGATTTTACGTTATTATCAGTACCATATCATGCCTGTAACTTGCAGCAACTCAATGACCTTAACACAAGGCTAATAAGCAGTGTTTCGCTTCCCTGCTGCACCTGCGACCACACCCCACAGTAATGTCAGGGTGTACTGACACAGCCTAGCGTGCACATCTACATCACTGCTGGAAGGTGAGAACATCAACCACTGGAAGTAAGCAACAACTATTTTCAGCTGTTGTTAAGTTGCTCTTTCACTTAAAGTTTGAAAACCTCCCACTAATACAATTAATACAGTAGCGACACTTAAATGCATGCAGACATTGGTTTAATGAAACACAACACAAGGCAGATGCTCATGCGTGTATTTATACATCAGGCCAGAGAAAAGCAGTGACATGCTGGGTTTAAATATGTCTTACTGCACTTACCAGCCCTTCAGACGCAGACAAAACAACTTTAAATCCTTCCCAATACACACACACACACCCCTGCAGGTGACTCACCTTGAGGTCTCTGTGTACCACCCCCATCTGATGGCAGTGGAGCACGGCCTCCAGGATCTGCTGGATGCAATGACTGCACGCAAACAGCAGGGGGAGCAGGTTAGTCTGAGCACATTCAACCCCCCAACTGTCACATCCATGCAGAGGCAGCAACATCTCAATAAGGGCCACACACACCCAATATCACAATCACTGCAGTCACACACAAACACCAACAGACACAAGTATCTCTTCCTGCACACTCACGCCACATTTGCACACACACACACACACACACACACACAGGAAAAAGTGTGAAGAGTGAACCTGTCTGTGAACTACGAAAGGGAGAAGGTGTGCAGTTTTCTATTTTCTGTTTCCAAGAAAGGGCCAAACATTAGTCAGGCAGTGTAGGAGTGAGCTGCAGCACCATGTGGGAGGCACTGTGTCTAACCTGCACATTCTCCTGTGTAATTTATTCAGCAGCAACAGCAGCAGCACTGCCTTTGACAAAACATTTTAGCAGCTTTCCAAGCGTCAGAAGTAGACACTGCTCTGTTGTAACTCCACTGAACTCTACTCTGTTTCACTTTCTCTCTCTTTCATGCTTACTCACTCACTTCTTCACTCTCTCTCTCTCTCTCTAGCTCTCCCAGAGTATGGTGCTCTGTCTGTTAGGACCCACAGGAAATCACAATGCTAGTTCAGACCGTCGGAAATAGTGCAGCAAGAGTCCCAAAAGCAAAACCTGAAGACAGGCAGACACGCAAAACTGACAGACAGCAGGCGCAAGCGTTTTTTAGTCACAGGCAAAAATTAAAATAACAACAATAAAACACAAGCATGTAAAGAGTGACCCTTGTGCAGAAGGTGCAGGGCAATGCTACACAATGAGACACACACCTTGAGGTCCCTGTGCACTATGTCATGTTGGTGGGTGTAAGACACACTGTCTAGAATCTGATGGATACAGTGACTGTGGAGACAAAACAACAGGGTGAGGGGCAGATAAAGGAGCGAACACAGGAAGGAAACGAAGCATCAAGACAGTAATACAGAGAAGTACAGGGAGAAGGGGAACATCTGACAGGAGGAGATGGTTTTTAGGGATGGATAAGTGAGAAAGATTATATAGTCAGTTCACCAAAATTACGAACAAAATATATTTACTGAGTTATGTCTTGATTGCTATGCAATGTTCGGTCAAGTTAGTAAGAATATGTAACATACGGTTACACTTTCAAAATAAAACTAGTGGTTAATGTTGTGAAACATCGCAGTTTGATTAGGTTTAGTTAAAGGTCAGGTTTGGGTTAAAATAAAACACCTCCACGCATCAACTTGTTGGGATACATAGGACCCATTTCCCAGCATAGACTTTTAGAAAGGCAGCCATTTTTATTAGACTCAATCTTGGGATCATCACGTCCCAAGCCCCCTTCCGACTGTGTGCGCTATAACCTTCAATTGCGGCTGTACTTTAGGGCACAGAGATGCTTTGAGCCAAATGCTAACATGCTCACAGTGACAATGCTAACATGCTGGTGTTAGCAGGTGTATGATGTTTACCATGTTTACCATCTTAGTTTGGCATGTTAGCAGGCTGACGTCTTCTAATTAGTGCATAACACAAAGTACAGCTGAGGCTGATGCGAATGTCATTAGATTTTTAGTTCTTTTGTCATAAACCAAAGATATTATGATTCATCCCAAGGGAAACAAGATTGTTTGAACCTAATTTCATGGCAATCCATGCAAAAGTTGTTGTGACATTTCACTCAAAACCAAAAATGTCAACCTGCTGGTGGCGTTACAGAAAGAGCCAAGTGATCACTTAAGTCATTATGAAGTATCTTCTTGGGATCATAAATGTTTGTATAAAACATGGGACCAATTCAGCAAGTAGATATCAAGCATACAGTAGATCACAGAATATGTGACTATTTGACCTGCTGGGGGAACTAAAGGAAAAGTCAGGGCATCACCAAAGTCAGGAGAGTTGATCCTCTGGTGACCATAAATGTCTGTATAAGTTTTCAGGCTAATCCATCTCATAGAAGGCATAGATCAGGCTGAACCAAAGGAGTGGACCGACTGACTGACATTGCCATCCCTAGAGCCACACTACTAGCACGGCTAAAAACCCTACAGGAACATAGTTCCTCTGGATAATCCACAGACCTCAACTAACGACAGTTATCACTGGAACTGCTTTATAATGAATTAATAGTCTCTATTAAACAGTTCACAATGTGCTCAGTGGAGTATCCTGAATAATGAGGCACTGTTTGTGGAAAGATACACTGCTGTTTGAATTTGTGTCATGACTCAAAGCTGTGAGCTCCACAAACAAAAGTCCTTTTCCTTCATTGTATTGTGGTGGAAACACAACTGAGAGACGGATATCTCAAAACCTGGATGTATAACACCAAAACTCCCTGCATGGCTGGATACCGAGAGCAGTTAAGTGAAAAATATGTTTTTTTGGTATTTGGGTGAACCTACGGGGATGGTGAAGGAAGGGAGGGATCGAGAGATTCAGTGTACAGATGGAGTACAGAGAGGAAACTGTCAGTGAGATACCGTTGGACAGTAATCAAGCCATGCTAATCACACACCCACACACAAACACACAGAGTGACACACACACACATAATTTCTGCAAAGGAACAAGGGAGAATGAAGGCAGATGAGAGGGCAGGAAAGAAAATAACAGGGAAAGCAAAGCTAAAGAATACAGCAGAAAATTACGCAGATAATCAGAACGCTGAGATTTTTACCAGAGCAGAGTTTGTTTGGAAGGACTGGTGGCACATATTTAGTGCTAGAGCAGCAAAACATGCCACATTAAACATCAATTTTGTTTAATTTCTAACCTAAAATCTGCTTTAATTCATTTAAATAATACCTAAATAATTTTCAAAAATTTATTAATTGATTAAAGGTAAGGTTATTAAAGGTTTTACCCTGAAAATCACCCTCTTGTTGGTGGATATGGGGTAACTTGTGGTCACACCAGTATATGTATTTTCAAAACACATTATCAAAAATATAAACAAATAAAGTGCAAGCTGTGTCCCAATACTAAATACTAGTTCTGTCAGGTTACATCCACACAGGTAAAGTATATTTATGCATACTAGATTGATGGCAGCAGGCACTGAAAATACTGCAGCATATTCTTAGTTTTGTTGTCCTTTAAAACAAACGTATTGTAATGTAGATTTTCAATTATCACATTTAGTCTCATGGTATATAAAAATATATTGTATCATCTGCATAAAAATGTATTTACGATTTGAAATATTTCTGTCGATAGTAAACAGAAGTGGAACCAGAATAGAGCCAAGTGGAACACCTATTTGGACAGAAACTACTGCTTGAGTTCTACCAGAGAGAAAAATTATTTAAGGGTTTAATAAACTGCTAAATTAGTCGTAAAAAGGATAGTTCCCTCCTGCCTGTTTACAGCTGGTTAGCAAATTATTCACCAACTGTAAGAGCTGGTGTTACTGCTATTAGTGCTTTTAGCAGCCATTTCACATTTAATATGTCATTTTAGATGAATACTGTGTGCCGTCAACACTGTTTCTGAAATGTTAGGGCATAAACTATCACTATCGGCTTAAGAGATGCACAACAATTACATACACTGAACAGATAATGCTACAAAACTGCATGTTAGAAAAATATTAAAAATGGTCTTTTTTATAATAAGATAAAAATAAGATAATCTTGTAATCTTGAGAAGTAGCCTAACACGTTATATATATATACAGTATATATCTAAATGCCATAGTCTCATTAATTGCTATTTGCTGGACATTTTCTTGTGATTTAAGTAGTTAAAAGCACTGGACAAAACATCTATTCATGCTTTTTGCCATAAGTGAATCACAAAACAAAAATGTGCTTCCTCTTGGAGGCTGTTGGTTATCATTCAGAAGCTGATAAATAACCCATAACCCAAAGCATCCTGACTCAAAACAAACTGGCATGGGATGTGCACGGCCCAGGACAGGAAGTCTCTGCAGCAGGCGATTAAAACTGCTCCGAAGATCATTGGTACCCATCTCCCGAGCATCAGTGATATCGGTGAGGTGAGGTGGGGTGCCTACGTAGAGCCCAAAGGATACTAAAGAACCCACCCAGCCACAGCCTGTTCACCCTGCTGCCTTCTGGGAAGAGATATAAGTATCTTCTGCCGCAATACCAGACTGCAGAGCAGCTTTTTCTCAACTCAAACTCAAATTCATCCTCAGCCATTGAATATAGGTTATTTCTGTTTTACCATTTTATGATCATTTTTATATTACTATATATTGTCTGCTATGTAGCAGATGGGAGTTACAAACTTAATTTGACTTACAACCTGTTGTAATGTTACAAATAAAACTACCTTCTACTGTCTATGCTCTGACTGCTTTATGTTTACAGAATAAGAGCCAGCATGTATTATAAGCCCTGCATATGACAACAGGTGGGCTGATATCAGAACCAGGAGTCTCCGGCCATTTCTGAGTGAGAGATAAAGATGTTTAAGGAGGAAAAATCCCTGCATCTCTTATTGTACCTCTTTCCCTCCTCTTTTTAATGTTTCACCTTCTTTTCTTCTCTCTCTCGCCCCCGCAAACCGCCTCCTCAGTCAAATTGATTTAAGTCAACCTCCTGAGGGGGTTATAGCTTGGGCGTGTGTGCATTTTGTGCATGTGTACGTTTCCATCTGTCTGTAAATTCTGGAGGGGGGACAACTCCTCAACCATGATCCACTTTGGTTCAGTTCACAGAAAACGCAGTAGTTATCAATCAGAATTAGAGCTTGTAACGCCAAAGAAAATCCAACAATGAGTCAAAATTCAGTCAGTGTGTGCTAATGAGGGGCGCTGAGACTCAGGGGTGCTGGAGGACTGCAGAGGCTGGAGGACTGACACATGGAGGGGGATGAAGAAGAAAAAGGGAGTCCAGAGATCAGAACCATTAGGTGTTTACCTGGCATCTGCTTCACTGTAGTACTCTCTAGCCACAATGTCCTCGAATAGCTCCCCTCCTGTCACCCTGAGAAATGTAAAGGATAAAACGCCAAATTATATACATTAATTCACCCAGGCAGCACACACACACACGCAGAGAAACAGGAGGGGGATGTCCTCATTAGGGGGAAACCCCGGCTGCAGGATTCACTCCGACTGGGTTGCCATGGAGACTGGCTCCAGTGCGGGGGAGTGTATCTGCATCCGCAAGGATGGAGGTAGGGAGGAGGGGAGGACTGTTATGTAATGAGGGGAACTGCCATGCAAGTGAGGAAGGGATAAGGAGAGAAGAAGAAGGAGAAGAAGAAGAGAAAAATAGAAGAGAATGCAGATATAAAGAAAGTAAGGGAGCCTAGAGGAGACAAATGCAACGGGGAAGGAAGTGGTAGAAAATAAGGCTCCAGGGGAGAGGGAGGAGGAAAAGGAGGGAGTGCGACACACAGTATGACAAAGAAAGAGAAGAAGAGCCAGGGAGGAGGGAAGAAGGAAGGCAAGAGGAAGAGGGAGGAGGAGGAAACTCACAGGTCAAAGAGGAGATAGTGGAAGCCCTCCTCTGAGATACTGTCATGGAGACGAACTGCAGGAAAGGCAAAGAGAAAGAGACAAGAGGGAGAAACAGAAACAGATACAGGCATCAAAATAATCAGATCTTTTTCTTTTTATGAACAATCTAAGGTGCATGCTTTATTTATCTTCTTTTCATTTTCATCTAGCATCTGCTGTAATGCACATTAATATTACTAATTAAGTCTAAAAGGACAAGACTGCTGATATTCTTTATGTTTCTTGTTACCAAATTAAGCCCCGTGAAAAGGCCGAAGCCACCAACAAGCTGATCCTAGTATAGTAAGTATTTTTTGTGCAGCCAAAGAAAAAAGGGTTTGCACATTTCACGCTGGGATCAGTTCCACTGACCAACAGCAAATCGTCCTGACAGTGCTGACCGGAGAGTTGGAGAGATCAAACCAACAAAGCTTTACTGCTTTTATTTAACCTTCGCTGTCTGCGTATAAACTGCTTCACAAAAGAGACAGTTACAGACAGGAGTTGATGGTAAATACGTCTTTTGAATAAACTGCATGAACGTATTGTCTTGTGTTAAGCGACCAAGCTAACAATCTTGCTAACTGACAGAAAGCAAGCTAGATGCCACAGAGAGCTTTCCCCCCTCTTTAATAACTCTTAATTTAGGGAAATTGTGTATAATCCTGAGAACCAAAAGCCAGGTGAACAAAACAGCACATAGTACGGAGTAAACAGATTGAAGAGCTATTGTGACTTGTGACCGTTTGTGGCCAGCTGTTTTAGTAAATTACTGAGACGTTTTTATATATATTTGTAAGTAATTGTTAAAGATTTATATCTTCAGGAACCAGCAGGTTGTGGGTTAAGTGCCACAGACAGTGTAGAGCAGCACATTCTCACTCAGGGTGTCAAATACCTGGTACCCCTCTAGTTTCTGCGCACATGGCACCATTTAGCGCTATTACTCAATGCTGAACAGTAAAGTCAGAGTAAAGTCAGAGTAGTTGGGGTGGACAGTATGAAATCCTCCTCAAGCCCTGTACATATTTTACCCACCGCCTTGCTCAAAAATGTGATTGGGACTGTTGGGTCATGTTTGGTCTCTATCATCACTTTATCACTTTATTTCAAACATGCGATAATTCAACCTATTCTTAAAAAAAAAAAACAATCTGGATCCATCCCTGTCCAAATATTACAGGCCTATTTCCAAAGTACCATTCATCTCAAAAATACTAGAGAAAGTTGTTGCCAAACAGCTCACTGACACTCTCACTACCCACAATATACTTGACAAGTTCCAATCTGGTTTCTGTCAGAATTATTCCACAGAAACAGCACTTCTTAGGATCTCAAATGACATAGTGATGTCTTCTGATGCGGAGAAGTGCTCTGTTTTGGCGCTGCTCGATCTTACTGCAGCATTTGATAGGATCGACCACAGCATCCTGATTGATAGGCTTAGGAAGTGGGTGGGTATCTCTGGGAGTGCTTTGGACTGGTTTTCCTCCTACCTATCAGAGAGGAGCTTCTCTGTGTCACTGGGAACATGTCCAAAACTGCTGCTCTATCCTGTGGTGTGCCACAGGGTTCAGTGTTGGGCCCGATTTTATTTATATTGTATATGCTCCCCCAAGGCAACATTATTAGTAATTTCAAGGGCATTTCTTATCACTGTTTCGCTGATGCTATCCAGCAGTCTCTTTTGGGTCAGATGAGTATGACAAACTGACCACACTATGCAACTATCTCACTGCCATTAAAAGCTGGATGGCAAAAAACTTCTTAGAACTCAACACAGACAAGATTGAAGCCCTTATTCATAGTTTTCAGTCACATGACATGCGTGGTGACAGGGAGGGCTAAACAACAGTCCAAGATAGCGGCTCACACTGGACTCCCGTGTAGAGGCGCCACAAAAGCTGTTTTTTTGGACCACCTCAACTCAAGAGAAAGACTAAACTGTAAGTACTGGGCACTTACGATCCATATACAGGACCCGCTGCCGTATTTCTGCCATTAAAAACCGCCAGGTCCCTGCCAGCGCTCGACTGTGGTAATGTGTATGTTTACCTTGTAGGTAATCCGTCACCTAACACAGCCCAGGCTTGTCTCCTCTTAGTGCATCATTGTTAAAACTCTGACCAGGTTGTGTTTCTTTCATTTAAGAAACATTGCCAAGCTCAAATCTGTTGTCTCAAAATCTGAATTTGAGATAATAATCCATGCTTTTATTTCCTCCCGCTTAGATTATTGCAACTCCCTTTTTCCATCTCTTAGCAAGTCGTCTTTTACAAACGGTCCAAAATGCTGCTGCAAGGCTGTTGACCAGGTCCAGCCGGAGACTCAACTCCCCTTCTGTCCTCTTTACATTGGCTCCCTGTTAAATTTAGGATTCAGTTCAAAGTGCCTGTTTTAACATACAGAGTGCTGCATGATCAGGCACCCGGGTACATCTCAGACATGCGTATATTAGGTCTTTAAGATCTTCAGACCAAGGCCTACTAGCTGTACCGCGTACACGTCTAAAAACTAGAGGTGATTCCTTTATAATATTTGATGCTTATATATGACTGTCTGATTGCTCCACTCTTTTATTGTTGCTTTTGTTATTATTATTATTTTTGTTATTTTTTTTGTAAAGCACATTGTGACTTGCTCTGTGAAAGGTGCTATATCAAATAAATTTTACTTACTTACTTACTTACTTACTTATGGGTGGATCAGAAACCAAACTTTCACCCAAGAAATGTTTCCCGTGTGAAACAAAACATCAACATTGATAGTTTTTAGTTAAGTTAGTTTAGTTAGGTAGCTATTTTAACCCAATCTTAATTAGTTTAAAACAAACCAAACTATACGACCGTTTCACAATGTAAACCAAGTGTTAGACATCATAGGACTTAGATCACGTGACTTACGTAACGTACTAAAGGCCTGTCTCTGGATTGGTACTTGCCAACACTCATATATGTTGTTTTGGGACACAACCTATTTTGTTGTTGAGTTATGAGTACGTGTTGCACATTTTAGAAGCTACAAAACTCCCATGAAAGTGGAAAACTGCTCCAAATCAGTTCTTTTAAACTGCCTTTTATAAAATTAAATTTGGGACTACTTATTAATTTCTTGCACTGCACTGTAGCTGCCGTGTACATTTTATTCTCCTGTTTTATCTGTTTACTTTTTATATCTTAACACCTTTAATGTTTCATGTTACACATCTTTATTTGCCTTGTTGTTGAAAGGTGTTTTATTTTCCTTGCTTTACATTATTCAGTTATTTGATTTTCTGTTGATTGACTGATGTTTAATACATACTTTATGAAACCTATGACAAGCTTGGGCTGGGAACCACGGATCTAACCAAAGCCTAATATAAACATTTAAAGAGGCAACACTTAAAAGAGTCTCACCAATGTTGGAGTGCTTGAGCAATCTGCAGATCCTGGCTTCTCTCTCCAGTTTCTGATGGTCTACAAGACAAATGATGGTCAAACTGAGGCTTTACAACAACATCTCAGATTTGAACAAACACATGAAAGAAGAAGAAGAAGACACTAAGGTTATGTGTAAACGCAAACAGGTGGACATTGATAGAGGAAACACCTGCTGTTTTTACAAATATGTCAATAAAATCAAAAGCATCATAATAAAAAAACTCATTTTAGTTTACAAATTCTGAAGAGGTAACTTTTCTCAAGGTGATTGAAAAGGAGTTATTGAAACACACACGACTTCCTTACATCTGTGTGAACGGCCCGAGGGCAACGTTTGTCCCAGATGCCCATTTGACTCCTCATTCCAGAGAGAGAAGAGGAGGAGGAGAAGGAGGAGGAGGAGGGGAGAGGAAATAAGAGGACAGGAAATAAAGGTAGTGGAAAAGAAACAAGGCGACAGGAGAGGAAACAAGGAGACAAACAATGAAGGAGAGGAGGGGAAGAGACAAGAGGAGAGGAGAAAGGATAAGGAGAGGAAACAAGGAGAGTTGAGGGGAAACAAGAGGAGATGAAACAAGGGCAGTAGAGGAAACAAGGAGACAAGAGAGGACATGAGAGGAGGAGAGAGTTGACAGGGAGAGAAGAGAAATTAGTGGTAAGGAGAGAAGAATGGAGAAGAGGAAACGTGTCTTGGAGGGAACAAGAGGAGTATCCAAGGAAGGAGAGGAGTGCAGGACATAAGAGGAGAGGAGAAAAGACAAGGAAAGGAAACAAAGAGAGTGGAAAGGAAACAAGGGGACAAGAGAGGACATGAGAGGAGGAGAGAGTTGACAGGGAGAAGAGAGAAATGAGTGGTAAGGAGAGAAGAAATGACAAGAGCACGGGAGGTAAGAACAAAGTAAATAATATAGGAAAGGAGAGGAAAAAAGAGGAGGAGAGGAAACATGCAGAGGAGGGAAGAGGAGAGGAAAGAAGAGGAGTATACAAGAAACGACAGGAGGGGAGGAAACAAGATGAGAGGAGAAAAGATAGGGAGAGGAAACAAGAGGACAGGAAACAAAGGTAGTGGAAAGGAAACAAGGTGACAGGAGAGAAAACAAGGAGACAAACAATAGGAGAAGAAAGGAAATAAGAGGAGTGTACAAGGAGAGGAGAGGAGGGGAGGAGACAAGAGGAGATGAAACAAAAGGAGAGGAGAAGAGAAAGGGAAGAAATAGAAGAGGAGGGAAAAAAGGAGAAAATTAAGAGAAGAGGAGGAAAAGAAAAGGAGGAGAGGAGATCTAGTTGATCTGATGAGATATATGCTGTTGTTGTCGTCTCTCTGCTCGTTATCTGACAGCTCTACAGAGAGTCGTCACATGATCTGATCTCTATGCTGTAATCATCGTTATTCTGAGATACTTTATCAGCATTATATCGGGAGAAAAAGAGTGAGACATCAAACACAGGACGCTGCCTCATCACAGCTCGGCCGACAGTGACATAATGTCTATAACGCTGCAAATAGCACTTTATAGGGACGCTGTTGGCGTCTTCTGTCACAGCCGTCACAACAATCTGTAGCAGAGTGTGAAAACTGAGTTTAGAGTCTGTCCGCGTGACATCTTGTGCAGGAAAAATGTAGATTTCTGTCGTCCTCGTCGATGCTCGGATCCTCTCTCTGACTGAAACCGTCATCTGCCTCTCTGGGATGAACAGACGTGGAGGCTTCACACATGCTGGAATCAAACACTCGCTGAAATATGCCAACTGAAAACACACATGCAGCCATGTTACAGGGTCTCCGTCCACGTCTGTCTTTCTCTCACCTCTGGCAGACAGCTTTTTGGTGTTGATGATTTTGGCGGCGTACTCTTGGCCCGTGCAGAGTTTGACACAGCGGCGCACCACCGAAAAGGCCCCCCTGGGGAACAAAGGCAGGAGACAGGAAGAGGAGACGGGTCAGCTGCCACATAAGCTTTGTCAGCATAAAAGGGCCATCTCAGCAATCAGACTGACCTCACAGTAGTCCTGGACTCCTCTCTGCTTTCAAACCATCCTGATCTGAATGCCTGATATACACAATTTCAGCTTGTAGGTGGAAGTAGACATAGTAAAATTGTAATGTTTTTAGACCTGGACCTTATTTTCACATATTTTGGTGTCGAAATGACTAATAGGTACAAAAAGAATTAAAAAATGATTCCACAAAAAGTGCTTCTTTTTGCCAACGACCAGCTCAGACTGTTTTACCAGAAATCTATTCAACCTCACTCCCAAGTCGTCACATAACGATGCATGGACCCCTTGGTCGCTAAACGCTTAAGGTAGGTATAGGATTTTTAACAGAAAAGCCTGATTAAGGAGGTGGTTGGGGTGGACAGTGAGCCAGAAACTGAACTTTCAGTCAGGAGACCGGTGTTCGTTCCCCGTGTGAAACAAAAAGTCACCCTTTATTGTTTTTTATTTAAGTTTAAAGGTTCAATGTGTAGGTTTGTAGTTGCATCTAGTCGTGAGAGTTGCGAACTGTAACCAACTGTTCAAGTCGCCGCTCCCCCCCCTCGCTTTCCAAGCGCGCAGGAGAAGCTACGGTGGCCGACACGCTCTGTAAGCTTTGTTCTAAATAATACATGTGGTCCGCTATTTGTCCAAACTTCACTTCTCTTCTTACTTCTAATAAATCAGACAACTACCACTACTTCATCTTCGTACGTAATTATAGTAGTGACGAAACGCGCTTTGTAGAGCAGTTTATCCGTTTTGGGTTACTGTAGAAACATGGCGGAGCAACATGGTTATTCCATGTAAGAGGACCCGTGGTGTTTGTAGATAGAAAAGTCTTATTCTAAGGTATTAAAGCATAATGGGTCATGATGTAAGGGTTTTATACACCACTGAAAACATAGTTATGTACATTATATTGCATTTCTTTTAATAGAACAGAAATATTACACACTGGACCTTAAAGTCACATAAGTAACGTTGTTATTTTAAGGCAAACAGTGATCCTTCTCTAACCCCAACCAAACTGTGACATTTCACAATGTTAACCATTTGTTTTATTTAGACGGACGTTGCATATTTATTATTGCTAAATCCATATGTGACGAGCTAGGAGTGAGAATGTATTGGTCTGACAGAATCATGGAAAGGATCCCTGTGGTGGACTCCCACTGCCACCCTTTGTTTTTAACAGGAAAGTGAAGTCTCACTCAAGGATAGTTCTCGCTCTGAAATCTCGAGAGAGGCGAGTTGTTGCAGGACAGCGACGATGGAAACAAGTGAGAGGAGTTAGTTGTCTACATAGAGGAGCAGCAAGCAAGACTTTATTTCCTAACATTACTCCAACACAACAAACTCCTCTCTCCACCTCTGAATCACCTTTGCACCGTCCTCTCTCTCACGAGATTTCAGAGCGAGACTTGTCCTTAAGCGAGACAAAGGGAGTCACCGGCAGTCTGAGGCAAAAAGAAACACTTTTTGTGGACGTCATTTTGACGTCAATCGCCCTGAAGGAACATGTTGCAGCAACTGCAACTGAAGCCCGCACAGATTAAAATCTGTGAGAATGGGGCCCAGGTTTAAAAATACTTAAATTTTCCTTTAATAGCAACAACCACTTATTTATAGTTACATTCATGCAACAGCGCCCCCTGCAGCCACAGAATATGGTGCAACACCTAATTCATTAATCATGAAACAGAAGCCAGTCTGAAGACGTCTTTTCTCCACGACTTGAACAATGTCAGCGATGAGAGCAGCGTTTGAAGGATAACTACTGTAAGTGTCTGTGTGCTGGAGTTTTTTGGGCCACATTTGCTCATCAAACCCAACAGACACAAACAGAAATAACCACCTCTGTCATTTCTCAGAGCTAATTTTATCTCACCTCAGTATTGTTACGCAATAAAACACTCACACTCCCGTCAGAGCCCCTGCCTCGCTCACAAGCACTCCAACACGCATACATCATGAGGAGATAGGGTGAGTAAGCATGACACTTGGACGAGTGGTAGAAAAGGCAGCAGGCAGCTGGACCCAAAACCTGGATTTTTTAAAACTCAAATTTAATCTTTTATAGTCTCCCTCTTTAATATTTAAGAGTAATAAACAAAACAGTCAGGAAGCCATATAGCCAATAAGCAAATATGCAATATATCTAGAAAAATGAGAGAATATCCTTGACCTTTATTAAGTCCACTTAATAGATTTATGACAACTTTGCAAACTCTTTCTGCTGATGAAGGCCATGACCAGTGGTTAAAAGCTAAAGAAAAAACACTGGAAAGTAGACTGAGTTCAGATGATTAGGTTAAATTTGAATATTAGCTCATATTAAAACAGTTTAATGATCATTCTTTGAGTTTAAATATGTATTATAACGTAATATTTTAAGTCACTTGTAGCTTTTGTTGCTTAAAGTTATATGACATTTAAAAGGATTGGAACTTGAAAAGATTAGTGCTGAAACGCTTAGTTGATTAATTAAATAACAAACTCAATATAAAAATATATAGAGTAATACAATGTTAAAAGTTTTAGGTTTTAAATATACACGTCCAGGAGTTAGAGAGCAACATGATCATTTAATTGGAGTTGTGTTTGTGTCATTTGATGAATTTAAGTCTAATATTCACTCTCTTTTAACTCTGCTTTGGGTCTCTACGAACTGTAAAAACTCTCTGTTTCAGCAGCAACTGGAACTGGGGAACATTTTTTCAGTCCCTCCACGATTTTGCGATGTCGTGATTGCAACTATTAACACATATTCATCAACTCCCCGAGAATTTAGTGTGACGTGCAATTTCGACCAATCAACCCAGCTTTTCTGCAAATTTGACCCATCGTCGCAGTTTCCCGCAAATGTCAGCAAACTAAGGAAAGTTGGTTTAAAAATGCAGGGTTTGGGGTTAGACCTGCGAAATCCTGGAGGGACTGTTAAATGCATCATATCTATCTTTGCAGTTTTCACTTATTCCCACAATTTCATTGCAAAAAAAACGTCCAAGAACATCACAATTTTTTAGAAAAGCTGCAGCAAAATCGGGCATTTTAGGCAAAAACAATCACAAAAAAGGCCCAAGAAATCCTGGAGGGACTGATCTTTGCTCAATAAAGTACAGTAAAACTTCAATTAGACGCCTGTTTACTGGCCTGGTGTAGCTGCACATTTTGACAAATAAACGCAGGTCTCAATTAGAAGCCTGGTCTGTTTTTTATAGAAATTCTTTGGATGTATAAAACCTCTTAAAGCCCACCGGGTGACCTGCTTGAGCTAAGCTGCTTATACGATGCATACCGATATAAATGTTTAATGTCGTACGATCAGTTATGGTGCTTTCAGACCAAAAGCGAACTGAGCGTTCGGGGCAGTGAGTTTACACACAAAGTCATATAAATTTTTACTTTAGTTTTATAAAAACAGGACAAAACTGGACATTGCTGGGAGAAAAGAAAGCGAGGAGGTTGAACTACCTGGTGAGTTCAGAAAACATGTGTCTGTAACTTTATTCCAGCTATCGTTGTACTTTACTGTGAGCAAGTTAGCGTAGCATAGCCCTGATCGATCCGAACTCCATTCAGAAAACAAACATTTTAGAAGTTGTTGTCCTGCTTTCTCGCTGAAAGACCTGACAAAGCATGAATTCATATGTTTAACAAATCTGCATCATGTTGTAGTTATTTCGGCATCAGTTTAATTCGTTTATTGCTATTTAATCACAGCAAAATCTTTACATTGGGTTCATACAGCTGTAGTAGAGGCGAGTTGTGTTTATTTATCGCCTTCTCGCGTTGTGTGTGAACACTTGCAGCGAATGTACTCACGCGAGGAAAGTGTCACGAAAATTTGCGGTTGGTCTGAATGCGGCATTAGATTCTCCACATTTCTGTCGTTCAAAGTGGCCTAGATGTGCTGTCTCTCAGAGCTAGATCAAATGAATAATTTATAATTGATATATTATCCAATATAAGTAACATTCATACTAGTATATGAATTTGATAGCAGCCTATTTCCCATCTTTGCTGAGAAAGAAGTGTGAAAGGAATTAAAGGCAGGGTGAGTTCAGTGATTGAAGCAAATAAAAGCCCAGGCTATTAATTGAAGTTTTATTGTACTTAAAACAGCTGAAATAATGTTTCTGCCAACCGAATTTATTTAATAAACTAACTTTAATTGAAGCCAAATTGTAGAAATTAGGTGGACATATCCTCCTGTCTTTACATCTGCATCACATGCACACACAATAATAAAAACACAAGAACACACCAAAAAGTGACAACACCAGCAAAACAGCAATAAAGCTCGGTTATCAGTGAGGGCAGCTGCTGCCACTCCAGCATCTCTATTGTCTTTCACTTATCACAGCCCACACACAAGCCTGGAGATCCCAGCCAGCACAAAATAAAAAAATAAAAACTCAAAGCAGTCTGTAAAATGAAATATCACCATGATAGAATCCATCCACAGCACTGCTGCACTTCCCCAGTGCTGTGGAATAAATGTTCCTGTGAGGCAAACATTGCAGAGATCCTCTCTCTACCCACGCACAACCTGACAGAGACATTGAGTCCACTTTGCATCTACCCACTGTGGCACCCATAGCCTCTTCAGTCGCTCTCAATGTGTCTGCATGCTGTTAGGGGCCACACATCCCCAATCTCTCTATTTCTTTTTTTTAAACCACAAGACACACCTCATTAAATCAGCAGTAGATCAAGGGCAGCAGCAGCAGCAGCTTTCCCTGACTTCTCTGCTAAGCTGTGCGCCACTGTGATTAAAGCCAGCTGATGATGAGGGAGCTTAATTCCGACACATCAGCTTTTCCCTGATATTAGGCATATTTGTCCCTAATTAGCCTTCAGGCAGAGAGGACGGGAGGGGGTATACCCTGAAGTGCTCCCGGGCTCATGCAGCCCCATCCCCATGCAAAATCTAACTATCTGATGCCTCCTGCATTTAAAGAAGTGTAAAACAAAGCAAATAAGCCATGCACTGACACAATATTTAGGTTTGAGAGAAGCCAAGTTCAGATCCAGGAGAGCTCCAGACCAGCGTGCGTTTTGTTTTGAAGGGATGGAGCTGCATCCATCACCGCAGACCTCCATCCCCGGTGCTCTGTGCGGTGAGGAGGACACAGGGTCAGGCTGCATGCAGGAGTCTCAAAGAAGCGTAATGTAGCTGCGGCTTACTTGCCAAGCTCCTCGTACAGCTGGTATTCATCTGTAAAACGTGTACAAGTAGTCGTTGCCATGTTGTTTCCCTCCCTCGGACGGGTGCTGGTGCCGAGTCCGAAATGCCTGGTTGGGTCGCTGCGGCGTGAGGACCTTCGGCTCAGTCTCCGCCCACCTCAGACCTCCGGACGGCTGAGAGGTTCAGCTGCAGCCCGGCACACACACACACACGCACACGCACGGTCCCGGCTCGGATGGAAATGGGGCTCTCCGCTCTGCAAGGCGAAGAGGACGGACTCTTTAAATACCACGCAAAATGCTAATGTGAGCTCACCACATGACGTGTTCCTCCACTTAAAAAAAAGGAAAAGAAATAAAGACAAAGTGAACTCAGGAGCTGATTGAAGAGTGCGGGGGAGCTTTTGATTACACATGAATCATATAATGGAGAGAAACCGATAATGAAATTACTGCACTTGTAAAGTCTGACTCTATTTATAGGTTTTCATGAGGAAAACCTCAGTGAACCAACTGCAAAGAAACTTTATTGCATCTCTTCTCAGCGTATTTTAGTAACTGCATATGCATGTTTGGCTACTTTTGCATATTTATGTCCATTTTTAACAAACAAAACAAACTTAAAAGTTTAATTTAGGCATGGCCGGATTAACCTGTCAGGGGCCCCAGGGCAAAAATCGTCTGTTGGGCACCCCACCACCACCACCACCATCCTCTCCTGCCCTCTGTGCTCAGCCTGTTCCCACAGCGTCAAAAAGGCCTAGCTAAGCTTTGTCACGTCCTTCAGTGTCTGGTACCAATGCACATGGCATCCTTTGTCACAATTTGACGCAACAGGGAAAGTCATTAGCGTCATAGTTCAACGCTAAAAGTTAGCCTATTATAAAAAAACAGGAAAGTCCAAGTGCACAGTGACGGCTGGCCAGTAGAGGGCGATAGAGCGTCGCCCTCCCTGGTGGTGGAAAATGTTTTGATTTGTCTTTTTAAAGTAAACATTTTTGAAATAAACAGTAGGCCTAATTACTTGTTTTAAGCATATGTGTGTTTACAATGTACAATAATGTGTAATATAGAAAATATAGGCTAAATAATTATGTTTGGGGGGAAATTAGCTTCCTGCTCATCCACTGATCTCTTCTGGGGCGCTTGAAAGAGCAGCGCAGCCAAAAGCAGACACAAGATGCCCATGACAACATAAATTAAACCCATCAGCATCCTAGAATCCGATGCCTGAAGGGCAGAGGAAAAGTGACGTTGTAGACAATGATGAAGGCGGAACTCAAGACACAGGCTTTCAGCCTTGGCTAGCTGGATGCAATCATGTAAATGCCGTATTTTGCATCCCACGCTTGCTTTTTAAAACAGCGGGGAGGGATACACTGTTACAGGAGGAAACAACATGAAACATTTATCTGAGAAGATTAAGAAACATGAGTGTACAAGGATACATATGGATAATACGGTGAAGCTAGCCATGATAGGCAGAGTTAACATCGCTACACAGCTGGACAAAGGCCACAGGATTGGGATGAGGAGACACAACGAGGAGGTGGAAGAGAGCAGGCCCGTTTTATCAAAGATACTTGACTGTGTTAAATTCTGCGCGGCCACAATGACACCCAATCCTTTGACATCCCTGGCGTTTTCAGTAGATCCTGTTGCCTCGCTGGACAGTGTGATTGAGGAGCACCTTAAGACAGCTACTGTTTTCAAAGGCACCTCAAAGACTGCAAAACGAACTTTCGGGCTGCATGCGGTCAGTTCTTAAAGATTACATTCTGGAGGAAGTAAAAAATGCAAAATATCTTGCTATTCAGGCAGATGAGACAACTGACATTTCCACCCACTGCCAGTTGGTGCTTGTGATATGGTCACGTTACATCAACAAGGAGAGCAGCAGCGGTTGGCTACAGAGGTAAGCTGTATAGTTTATAGTGTTAAGATGTGGTTATTTCCAGCGGTGGTACAGACTACCAGTTTTGCAAGAAGTATTCAGATATTTTACTTGGGTAAAAGTTGCAGTATTACAGTGTAAAAATACTCTGTTACATGTAAAAGTCCTGCATTCAAAAAAATCTGAAGTATTAGCACCAAAAATATTTAAAGCACCAAAAGCAAAGTAGGGTGGATTCAGATAAGGCTGGAGTGTCATAGCCCTTTAAAATGTTGCAGCCAAAAACAAAAACCAACAACCAACTCTTGTTGACTTGTAACTAATGTTTTCTTTGCATTGAACAACACATACTCCCTGATGATGTGAACGCACCAAGCATCACAACAGTGAGGGCCGTGCTACCAACATCAACTGAGCTGCCCATTGTAGACTGGGCGTCACATCTCAGGAGGATACGGGAGCTCCTCCTTCCACTCGAAACCTCAAACCATCAGGAGGAGGATGAACAACCTCCGGGCTCTTCTGTGGAGGTCGGCACAAGACCAGTCACCTTCAGTGACCTAATACCCGGTCCAAAACGGGAAAGGAGCCTCCGAACAAGGGTCAAGCCTCCCATCTACCCTTTAACAAGCATAGACCGCATCAATTACATTTCATTATCAAACAGAACAAAAACTAACATAAAGGAAAAGAGCAAAAAGGGAAAAGATACCAAAGCAAGATCAGCAAACCCCCCTGCACAGCCTGCCAGAGAGAGTACGGTGATGTGAATGACCCAAAGGCCACAGAGGATGTGTTGTCAGTGCATCTCATGTAACCAAGAGAGCTGTCGAGAGGATGCAGGCATCTGTGAGGAAGATGGTTACATGTGCAAATAACAGGCGTTTGAAAGGAACGCAGGACAATACCCAACTAGATGAAATGTTAAAGGATCATTTTAGTATTTTTAAACCTGCGAGTTGTTGCAGGAAGACGCCGGTGGAAGCGTGAGTCAGAGTTGCAGAGAGGAGTTTGTTGTGTTGGAGTAACGTTGGGAGCTCCTCTACGCACTCAACAAACTCCTCTCCTTCATTTCGACCGTTGTCTTCCTGCAACAACTCACCTCTCATGAGATTTGTCCTTGAGCGGGACTTCAGTTTCCTGTTAAAAACAAAGGGTGTCACCGGGAGTCTCTTGAAGGGATCCTTGATGTTGTCAGACACCTGGAAGAACAGTCTGTTGCTGATAAAAGGAAGCACTTTCTTTTTACTTATAGGCCTACAACAATGGAGTATTTTGTACATTGTATTCTGTATGACTGTGTGTGTGACAATAAACTTGATTTAATTTTCAGAGTGTGGTGTTACTTTTATTAAAGTAAAGGATCTGAATACTTCTTCCACCGTGCTTTATATATTATCTAACCTTCACTGGGCATTTCTAAATGTCACCTCTGGCCTCCGGCTGAGGAGACATAAGGTTTCAGACAGAGCCTTACTCCACTCTGTCTTTCCATCTTCATGTCTCCTATCATCAGTACATTATCACATTATCATTCTTTCCATTTGGAGAGCGGAACGATGGATTGATGAATTTAATGATGACTGTACAACAGAAGCTATTGTAGCACTTTGTGCAAACGGATGCAGAAGACGTTAAGTGGAGTCGAGACAGCGCAGCAGCTTTGTTTCAGCTTGAACTGAGTGAACACACATTTCCCCCTTTTTGTCTGGCAAAGACTAATGTTCTTAGTTTCCAAAGTAACAAGGGACTAATTTATGCATCAACAAAGTGACTCATCAGGGTCCACGGAAGGAAAAGAAAGATTAATTCTTACACAAAGGAGATTAAAGTACTGCAGTCTGAAGATGAGGTAAGTTATTCAAAATGGATAGAATACCTTGGGTGTGTCACCTGACCTTAGATCTGTGGCCACTTTTTAATAAACATACTCAAGTCTGGGAGGCTTTATTAATGGTTAATCAATTATTTTTAGTGGTTTATATGGTGGCCCTCAAGTGCAAACCACAACAGCAATTCGCCACAACACCACAGCAAATCGCCCAACACAGCATTGGTGAGACTGGAACAGAAAAGGTAGGTACTGCAGTAGATTAGTTACCAGACACAGATGCTTTACAAAATGACAGACAGAGAATTGCTGTCGTGTTGTGACAATTTGCAGTAGTGTTGTGACGATCTGCTGTAGTGTTGTGACGATTTGCAGTCGTGTTGTGACGATTTGCAGTAGTGTTGTGACGATCTGCAGTTGTGTTGTGACGATCTGCAGTGGTGTTGTGACGATCTGCTGTGGTGTTGTGACGATTTGCAGTGGTGTTGTGACGATTTGCAGTAGTGTTGTGACGATTTGCAGTTGTGTTGTGACGATTTGCAGTTGTGTTGTGACGATCTGCTGTAGTGTTGTGACGATCTGCTGTGGTGTTGTGACGATATGCAGTTGTGTTGTGACGATCTGCTGTGGTGTTGTGACGATCTGCTGTAGTGTTGTGACGATTTGCAGTGGTGTTGTGACGATTTGCAGTGGTGTTGTGACGATTTGCAGTGGTGTTGTGACGATCTGCTGTGGTGTTGTGACGATTTGCAGTGGTGTTGTGACGATATGCTGTGGTGTTGTGACGATTTGCAGTGGTGTTGTGACGATATGCTGTGGTGTTGTGACGATATGCAGTTGTGTTGTGACGATCTGCTGTGGTGTTGTGACGATCTGCTGTGGTGTTGTGACGATCTGCTGTGGTGTTGTGACGATCTGCTGTAGTGTTGTGACGATTTGCAGTTGTGTTGTGACGATTTGCAGTGGTGTTGTGACGATATGCTGTGGTGTTGTGACGATATGCTGTGGTGTTGTGACGATCTGCTGTGGTGTTGTGACGATCTGCTGTAGTGTTGTGACGATTTGCAGTTGTGTTGTGACGATTTGCAGTGGTGTTGTGACGATTTGCAGTTGTGTTGTGACGATTTGCAGTGGTGTTGTGACGATTTGCAGTGGTGTTGTGACGATTTGCAGTGGTGTTGTGACGATTTGCAGTGGTGTTGTGACGATTTGCAGTGGTGTTGTGACGATTTGCAGTTGTGTTGTGACGATTTGCAGTGGTGTTGTGACGATTTGCAGTGGTGTTGTGACGATTTGCAGTGGTGTTGTGACGATTTGCAGTCGTGTTGTGACGATTTGCTGTAGTGTTGTGACGATTTGCAGTCGTGTTGTGACGATTTGCAGTCGTGTTGTGACGATTTGCAGTCGTGTTGTGACGATTTGCAGTCGTGTTGTGACGATTTGCAGTCGTGTTGTGACGATTTGCTGTAGTGTTGTGACGATTTGCAGTCGTGTTGTGACGATTTGCTGTAGTGTTGTGACGATCTGCTGTAGTGTTGTGACGATTTGCAGTCGTGTTGTGACGATTTGCTGTAGTGTTGTGACGATTTGCTGTAGTGTTGTGACGATTTGCAGTCGTGTTGTGACGATTTGCTGTAGTGTTGTGACGATTTGCAGTCGTGTTGTGACGATTTGCTGTAGTGTTGTGACGATCTGCTGTAGTGTTGTGACGATTTGCAGTCGTGTTGTGACGATTTGCAGTCGTGTTGTGACGATCTGCTGTAGTGTTGTGACGATTTGCAGTGGTGTTGTGACGATATGCTGTGGTGTTGTGACGATTTGCTGTGGTGTTGTGACGATTTGCAGTCGTGTTGTGACGATTTGTGTTGTGTAAAGTAACAACTTTTGGGTTGTTGTCAGGTTGTGAAAAGTTCCTTTGGCAACAACAAAGTTCAGTGAGACATGATTTATTAACATTATAGAAGCCATTAATTATAAATTCTTTTATAATTAGGAAACTATTCTCTTGAGACACTTTTTATGCCACTTAACTACTCAAACTTTTTACTGTATTTATCTGACACCTTAGTTACTTTTTCTCCATTAAGGGTAAGGGTCATGTTTGCGTTTGAGCCAAAGTTGACATCCTGACTCTTCAAAGTGAGACTCTGTCTGTCGGGTTGACTGTCTGACACAGCTGCCTTCATGATCTATTTCCTAAATAACCCAAGGCTGACATTTATTTATTTATTTATTTAGTTTCAGACTCTTAAGAAAGGGTTGCATGCAACTTGAATGACACATGACTTTAGGTTAACATAGATAACCATCTTGTTTTGAACCAACATCCAGAAGAATCTTCACAAGTGAATTTTTGTATAACCCGGAGGGATAAAAATCCCCATACAGGAAGCATCCTTCAGATTTGGTTTTGGTGCTGAGGTTAACTCTGTATTCGTGCTGCCAGTCTACCCGGCTGGGCTTCAATAAACAATGCTGTGCGAGACATCCTGAGATCTTCCTCTGCAGTAAGAGTTTACCTGCTCTCAAGAATTTCCACAAAACACAACCCAGCAGCGTATAAAGAAATTAAAATGATCTCCACCTTCTCCGGCTGCAATATCAATGCTCTGAACACATGGGTGCTGGTTAGCTCACCTGCAAGAGCACATGCACCGTGTACAAGGCTAAAATCCAGCAGTCCAGGTTCAATTCCAGCCTGTAGTCCTTTGAATCCTGCACAGAACATTGCCGAAGGTGCCTCCGAGAAACACCCTGAACTGACCCCCAAGCTTCTGCTCCTAATTAGCACGGGTTAAATGCAGAGGGAGAAAACAAAAACAAATTTCCACTCAGGGATAAATAATAATTTTACTTAAGTAAAAGATCTGAGTACTTCGCCCACTGCTGGCATTAAGCGGAAGGAGTTCATTATCTCAAACTTTTACTTCCATGGTCAAGAATGAACTTTAATGTTTGATATTTCTTTTATTTATTTAACAATTGAGGGTTTTTTTTGGTTTGTGAGGCAGATGAAGCTCAGACTGTCCTTTTTGATGTTGTTATATTGTCCATCTGCTAAGTTTTATTATGATAGATGACAAAAGAAGAACCCAAGAGCACAAGTTCGTGGCCTCGGACGACCAAAGGAGGAGTCCGAAGCTGCAAAAACCTTGAAGAGCAGACGAAGAAGATTTCTCTTTGCCGAGGTCGTCAGTTTGAAGGTGACCGATTCACCCAGTAACAACAAGTGTGTTTCCATCCACCTGTTTTTATGTGCATTTTCATTTTGCTTAGGCTGAAGAGTTGGTGTATTGATAAAGGCAAAGCTGCAATGGAAACAGACTTAGTTAGTAGATGATGACTTAAACTTCCAGTTAAGAGCTGGAAACACCAGAGCTGCGATGAGGAGGCTGGAACCTTCCTCACATTAACACATGAAACTAACAGAAATGTCTGACGTCCATCGTGTTTTCCACCGTTTGAGACATCGACGTATTGAAGGAAATGGAACTCGCATGAATGAGAATTGCTCGCTGAGCTCCCGGGTTTAGTTACGCACCAGCTGTTTGTCTCAGTGAACAAACACCTAATGGTCGCATAGTGGATGGAAACACATTCATTTGCATCTCCTTTTGCCTATTTGTGGGATATTTGGTTAAAATTTGCGCTACATTTCGATGGAAACCTGGGTACTGAGAGACGACTAAATGTTCAACATTTTAGGGGGATTGGTGTGAGAATGAAAAATAAAAATAATAACAGAATCACTCAGTAGGACAAACAAACATAGAGGCACTGCAGAGTTATTAAATTAAGAGCATAAGAGTTAACAACACATATTTATCAGATTTTAAACTGCCAAAACATCAAAGAAATGTTTGATATTATGACTTATCCTCGTCACAATCTGGATTCCCACAAAATAATTCTGCTCTTACAGTTAAAGACAAACTTCCAACACCACAGACCGGCAGGTAAAAGCTGAATTTACTGTAACCAGTTCTGTAAGTAAACAAGGATTCAGTTCATTTTTGGCAGAGTTTTTTTAAGATGTGGCTCAGAACTGCACCGCGCTGGGCGGGATGTCAAACAAGGAGGGGTCGAACTGCTGCCCTTTGAACGGAGACCCTTCAGCATCCCAGCCCTTCTTCAGCATGTCGTGCACCTTCTGTGGAGAGACCCGGAGGAAGACGAGTTAAACAGGTACCGTTCACGCTAGTAAAGACAACAGTGCCATCTAGGCGTGAGTCCACTTGCTGTAATTGACCACCAGTGCAAATCATGCAACATAAATTAAAACAGGCTGCAGAATTTGCTATCAAATGTTAAATTATAAAAAATATATCAGTGGATTGATAAATTTCCTTAAGTCAAGTTTTAAATCCTCCACCTCCTGCATGCAGCCTGTGAGAAAACCTTGATGATATCATTCCTTTTTAGCTCACTTTGGGATATTGCACAAGCGTTTGCATCACATTAATGTCCTGTCACGTCTGAATGAAGTGTGTGGAACATTTATTTAAAGTCACCACTGTCTGAATGACTAACCAGGAGACAGTCAGCTGATGTCTTCAATGTCACTTAAAGGAGGAACCCGGTTTCCCCAATCAGGACGGAGGATTAAAGTGAAAGTGAAACTTGAATTCCCCATGTAGGTTTTGTCAGCTTCTTGGCCGTGTATGTGCGTAACCAGCAAGGTTATTATTGTTAAATAACAAAAACATTTTCGTTAACTGGAATAGAATAAAAACGAGGCTTTACAAAAAACTAAACTAACTAAATCCGTCTGTTAGCAAATCTAACTAAAATAAATTTAAATTGTAAAGTCTTCAGTCTGTTTTCCAATTTCTTAGCTATGCCAGTTTTTAGTCCACGCCCCTTGCCTGGCATCATGGCTGTGAAAGTTGGGAGAAAGCGGCAGGGTCCCAAAGACTTAGGCCACATCTACACTACTCCTTTTTTTGTTTAAAAACAGAGTCCTAAAACGAATACGATCTCCGTCCACAGCAGCGTTTTAGCTGCGTATCAGAGTTGATCTCCCTCTATATTAAAACGCACATCCAGTTCAGGTACACATGGCATGCACGTACCGGTGTAAACATGAAGCAAATGGTCTAATCTCTAGTTACAGAAGATTTGGCGAAAGAATAAAGTTATGCAGACGAAGAATCGCACCACATACTTTTTTCATGGACCAATAACGAGCTGGGACTGTTAGGGAACGTAACACGGGAGTGTGGTAGCGGAAAACAGACTGGGAGTCGTTGCAAAGTAAATACGGCGGCATGCACAGTACAAGTGTCTGCTATAAGTGTTGTTTGCATGGTACAAAAGCATTGACTGTATATAAGAAGTGGTCGAAGTCATCGTGACGTCACACGTTGGTTTGTGGCCGTTTTGAAGCCTCGAGTTTGGCTGATAGGGCGCCGCCATCTTGAGTTTTTACAACCAGCGCCACCAGACGTGACCATATTTGGACGTGACGGTTGAGCTAACGGCCGTGTGTGGAGCTAGCTAGCTTGCTTAGCTAGGTGCATCTGTAATTCACCTTAACTGTCATTTTAACAGGGCTAATAAATTTTGTCTAGCGAACAACAGGCTTAAAACTAAATGTACTCATCAGGGAAAGTGAACAGCCGACTCCCAATAAGGGTACGAGTCACTCTAGCCTGATTGACAGGTCGCCATGGTAACGAGTTGTCAATCACAGATAATCCTGCCTTGAAGCGTGTGAGCGTCTGCATCGTCGTTTTTAAAGTCTTCCGTTTTTGCCCGTCTAAACTAAAACGCTACCCGGAATTTTAAAACGAAAACGGGGTCGCCAGCGTTTTCGGTCTTTGTTTTCGCCGTTTCAGTCTGGACGGGAAGTGCAAACGTAGCAAAAGGTCTCTGTTTTAAAACAAAAACGCAGTAGTGTGGACAGGGTCTAAAACTTAACACTGAAACTAATACATACTAAACTAAAACTAAGCACTTCCCTAAAATAAAAACTAACCTACACTAGCAAACATGCTTTAACAACTAATTAAAACTAAACTGAAGCTTTTTACAAGAACACATCGGGCATTTTGAAAGACAGCAGAAAAGTAATATGCTGAGCAGCTGCATGAAAGTACAGATCAGATGACAGAACGCTGCATCCTTACTAAGACAAAGCAGTTAAAATAACAGATCCATGTTTCCAAACTAAGGTCGGCTGTTGTTGTTGGTTTACTTGAGTAACCTGGTTCCTCGTAGTGTTATGAGCCGATTTGCATCCTCACCATTTCATGACTCTGTGGTTTGCCCTGCAGCTTCTGATGGTAGTCGAAGGTGAGTCTGTCCAGGACGGCGTGCTCCTCCTCGTCAACTGTTGCCATGGAGCGCTCGCGGTTAATTTGGTTTATGTCAATCTCCTGTTCTCCTTTCAGCACCGCGTTCCACCAAACCTCCGAGGCCTTACTGAGTGACAGCTGGAAGTCAAACGCAGCGAGTTAAAATAAAAAAAGGCGTTGATTTAAAAGTTATTCATATGGAGAAAATCATATTTGTGCACTCACGACCACACAGCTTCCAGGCTCCAGACTCCACAGAGAGTTTTCCGTGTTGATCTTATGAGTGAATTCTCCCTCCATCAGTGTTTTCTCTTCGGCTCCCTCCCTCACACACACTTGAATGCTGCTGGCCTGCAGACTAACTCTGACCTGAGGACCACAACAAGCATGAGACACAGCTGACATGAGAACAGAGCTCCCAAGATGTCAGGTGATGGGAGTGGACTGCGTTTACCTGTCGGCCTTTAACAACCGTCTTGGGCACAAACACGCGAATCTCCACGTCAGTGTAGTCCTGAGACCAGCTGTAGTTTTCCCTCACCGCCCCGTTGTAACAGTCGGGGTCGGACTGATTCTTGCCCTGATCCCTGAAACACAACACGCACACAGCCAGGCGCCAACATTATGTACAGATGATGGATTCGCCTGCAAACATCCAGCTTACATTCTAGTTCCCCAAGATGTGCTGTTGCTGTGATGTTAAGGCTGTAGCAGCAGGAGAGTTGTGAGTATCGCTGTCTGGAGCTGCTGTTAGCTTCATGTTAGCCTTACTGCAGCAACTGTAGCCACAATTTGCTAACCCACAACTTAGCTAATATTAGCAACGTTGCTTGCTGTTTCGTCGTTTGCTCTGTATCAAGTTTTTTTTTTTTTCCCTGGTACTGGATTTCTCCAGAATAACATACCCACGATGTGTCAAATGTTTCACGCCTCACTCATAACAGATTACAGGAACTTAAGTAAAATATCAAAGAAACTATTATCCAATTAGACAGTTTTAGGGCTGGACAATGAATCTACTCTCAAGCTCTCTAACAGACACAAACTTCGCGTTTTCCCCCCTGATTTTTTGCCTTTTCCGCACAAATGTCGCTGCATATAAAGAGAACAAGTTGCTGGTTGTCGTCCAGGTTTGTTTTGGTACAAGTACACGTTGGCGTTCTTGCGGGATTGGCGGGTAGTCTACCTCCACAGCTCCAGTGTTTACTGACCTGTGGTTCAGCGTGTTGTGCGGTGTTTTTACTCACTCGACAGGTTTATGCTCCTTCCTGACTGTCAGCGTAGTGCTGGGCGATATTGCCAAAACAATAAAATATTTCATATCATTTGGCATCAATAATTATCAGGATAAATGTCAATCTGTTATTTGTTTTATGTTTTAAAGGCTGATTTTTGCTCCTGAGTGAAAGTTGAAGAAACCAGATGGTTAATTCTGGTTTTAAACTTTTCTTTATGGTCAGAACAAACATTTGATGCCAAACAAGTGGATCACTCAACAAATCTGAGGAAGAACATGCAAAACAATTATAATAAAATCTTTTTTCAGCAAATACGCATGAATAAATTTAAATAAAGTCTATTTTTAGTTCCTTTTGCTTAACAAAATACTGTAAATATCTTAATAGAAAAATTAAGTGCCAATTCATTCATGGTACAAATAAATTAAATCAAAGATTTATTGAATATTTGTTATTGAGGAACATTATATGGCAATAATCATTACTATTGCCCGGCCCTACGTCAGAGACTAAAAAGATCTGCGGAAGTTGATGGAAACAATCTTAATGTGTGGTTTGTCCAGTGTCTAAAGGTTTCTTTTCATTATCGTTTAATCCGCCAATATTTTGCTCGATAAATGGTTTAGTCCATAAAATCATGGAAAATGGTTAAAAATGCCCACGACAATTTACGTACATTCATTAAGTTTTGTCAAACCAACAGTCCGAATCCCAAAGATGTTCAGTTTAAAATCACATAAGACAAAGAAAACCAGCAAATCATCACGACTGAGAAGCTGAAACTGGAGAATCTTTCGGCATTGTTGCTTGACATTGTTTATTAATCGTTACTGGAGGTAAACGTGAGAATTAATGGTGTTATTGATTTAAGGAGATGTCGCTGAACCCTATACTATCCCAAATCCTAGTTACTATTAGTGTCGTTATTCACACTCATGTCCCATCTCTACGCTCACCTGTGTGGAGCTAATACATCAAAGATTGTACTAATATGTAACGTCATTTTCAATAGACAATAAAACTCACTTTTCTGCTGAGCTTGTGCCGGCTGCAGCTGCCTGGCCTCCCTGAGCTGACTGGCCCGGGCCGCCGCCGCCGCCGCCACTACTGCTGCTGTCGGGGCTGAGGGCTGATGGTCGCCTCCGAGGGAGAGCTCGCAGTCTGTGCCGCCTCTGTGCTGCACTCTTCTGCCCCCTCTGGAGGCTCGGCGGCGATCTCCAGCTCCTGGACTGCCGGGGGAACACACCGACTCTCCTCTCTCTTTTGCAGCTCGCTCAGCTGTCTCTCTCTGTCGTGATCTGCCACCTTCTCAAACAGCTTAAATGTCTGAAGAGAGAGAAAAAAAAACAGATTATCCCAGATCAAGGCAGGAATTTTACTAAAACTCATGTCCTTTTTCCCCCCAGAGAGAGCAGGAACTTAACAGATTATCTGCTGCTGTTCAGTTATTGACTCTCTGCTCACTGTAGCACAGGATCTGACCTCACCTGGAGGAGCACATATAGAGTAACTTCACACTGAACCTCTTGTTTTTGCTGACCTCCAGTAGTTTCACTTGTCACCTTGCTGCAGTGATGTACATGTGTACTCTAGGACCTTGGACGTCACTTTTGGGTGTGGTTACAGGTGCAACAAATGTGAGGAAAAAGTACAAGGACTGAAGAAGCGAGGAAACATTTTAAAAGACGTGAGTTGTCCGTTCCCGTTCAGTTCCTGATGACGGCGGCACAGCTGGACCGGCTGTCAGTCTGCAGGTGTTCACGGCTCGGTCTGCCTTGCAGTGAATGTGAAATTTCTCCACATGTTTATCTTAAGTAAACAGTTTGACAAGCATCTGCATTTCCATTAAAAACCTGTTTTTGTATTGTGAACAGATCCGTCAAATCACGAGTTACTTCTCCGACGCTGACAGCACATCAGCGTTGTTTTTATTCTGTTTGTTAAATTCATTATGTAATTTTCCAAGTGAAAGATGTTTTAGGGAAAGTGGACGTAATATAAATGCATCCCACTTCAAACTTTCTGCCTAATGCAGAGGGACATTCATAAAAATAAAATCTAAATGTGGTCGTGAGATTACATGAGAGTTGAATCTGTAATTTGTCCCGGTGTAAACCTGCAGTCCGATCAGTTGATTTCCTATAAAAGGCTGCGCTGTCTGAGAAAAGACTCGCAGGATAGTCTCCTGTATCCTCTCGCTCCTTTGAACAGAAATAAGGGAAGTTAGACATCCTTCATCGCTGCTTGTGTTACAATAAATGTGCCTTCAGAATCACTGGCACTGGTTTCAGGTATATCACTTCCGAGCCTGTAAATGCATTAAGTGAAGCTATTTCTCTTTTCACACAACGATCACACACAAAACATTGAAAAACAAATAACGGAAAATGTTTTGCAGATTTTGTTGATTCAACTGTGCAGTCATTTTGGAGTTTTCCTGTTATACAGTGTCTAACCTTATTGTTGTAACCGGGGTGGACAGAATAATAGAAACACCTCTCTATCTATCTATTTGTAAATATCACAATAAACTTTGAGTGTTAAACGACCACAAAAACGTGTCTAATAAGCCGGTAGCCTTAGTAAGATTTTAATGTTTACTGGCAAACAATATCAGTACAGGTGCACAGACTGTAACTTTACTTAAGAAGTCGCTTTTTTTACCGCGTTGCCATGTTATTGAAAATAATTCAACATGTTGACAGACTTCACCTTCAGCACCATCTTCTCCGCCACACCGGGGGGGAAGCCCATCTTGTCGTTGGGACTTGACAGCAGGCGATAAAAGTCCGTCTTGCGGTACAAAAACCCAAAATAGACCTGCAGAAAGTCCTGAATGTTCCCAACGTGCTGCAGGATGCCCAGCAGCGCGTTGTCGTACATCTCCGTCATCTCCAGCGGCGACGCCATCGCGGCCTCTAACGTTTCTCCGTGTTCACCGACCTTTAAAGCAGCCGACAACCCGCGAGCCTGCACAAACAGCCTCTGTCAACAGATATAAAGTTGTAAATAAGTGGGGCTCGATGGGGAACAATTCTTCACGCCTGTGTTCCTCCTTCCAGAACAATAATAAAGCGTCCGGTCCCCCGTTTTTCAAAATAAGAGCACAATAAGACGAATGCGGAAGATTGCACAAAATTAACGGGCGCAAATAAACAAACACATGATTACAAAGATACAATAATGAGTTATGTATATTTAAACAGCACTAATACTTACTAAAATCAATATATTCTAAGCTACCATTTCTATCAACTATTTTATTTTATTGCATCCGGTTAGTCCAGGTTAACGGTCGTCCGGTGGAAACAGATGCCGGAGTGTCGCATAAACAGTACCCGAGCACGCGTTCAATTTCCCGGAGAAATAACATTATTTAACATTTTGACTCGAGTTAAAATCATTGCAGTGTTACGGTTTTGATTATAAATTAAAATTATAACGATACTGGATTAAAAAGGAATAATTTAAGCTCCCAGCAGTGTGTTATTCATAACAACATGGCGGCGTCCTTGAGCAGCACAGGCAGCGTGAGGCTGCTGGTGAGTAAATTAATATATTATCGTCAGATAAACTCGTCTTACAATGGTATATAATTTTGTTTTCTGAGTTTGACAGCGTGTCTGTTTAGAAGAAAACAGTTTATCCTACCGGTAGCTACAGTGTCATGTTATTAACGTTAATAGTGTCTCCTTTTCAACACCATCTAACAGATCAATACTTCTTTTATCAGCTGCGTCACACATATTGAATTTCTGAGCAGTTAGTTTGATAACTAACTAACACTGTATCTGTATCTCTGATTTTGGGACAATATGGATTTTATGAACTATAAATAAAAACATGTAAAAATACAGAAAGTGTTTTTCATTACCAAAATGTTTTTATCTACTTTTTTATGTATTCAAATATTTTTATCTGCATTTATTTATTATACTTGTGTCACTCTTTAACACCACAAAATGACACAAATGACAACATATAGTGTGTTAAGTGTACAGTATTGACATTGGCGTAAATAAGGGTGGACCACCAGTTTGGCCTCAAGAAGACTTGAGATGAACAAATGTGGTAATTAGTTTGTGGCAATTTAATATATTGAATCTGTAAATAGGACAAAGCCAAATTGTAGAGGGGTTCTCTGTTAAATGTTTGAAGTTACATTGTGCACACATGTGTGCATTTTACTAAATAAACGTGTGCTTAATCACCCACAAAGTGATACAGTAGGTATTAAATATGGGCCCACATCTCATTTTGCACCTTATTGGGTTAATTGGACTCTGGACATAACTTTACACCAATTGCTCATAAGAGTATCCAGTTATCCAATACAGCAACAGCCCTGTCATAATTTCTACGAAGATTATTAATCAGTTTTTGTTGATGGTGATGAAATGGTTATTTATGTTAAAGCCCTCTGTCCTCAGCACTAGTCGTAATAACCTCACGGTGTTCTCTCTGCAGAAAGCCTTGGCTTGGTCCGGCTCATTGTGCAGCTCCTCTGGAAGCAGAGCCCTCCACGTCACTGCAGCGTGCTGCAAGGTAAATACCGCGCTCCAGACATCATCACAGTGAACCATCTGGCTGTTGTAATGTGTTTCCTTTTAAGACTGCTGTATAAAGTAACTTAAAAGGATAGGCTGTCTTAAAAGTCAGATGCCCGTATGAACATTAATAACCCTGTCCTGCTGTGTTTTCAGTGCCAGAGATGGGGGGGATAAAATCCAAGCGCCTCATCCTGTGCAAAAATACATTCTCAAGTTTAGCTCAGGCGAAAATAGGAAGCTTTATCAGACTGAGTTTGATAATTCAAGTTGGTATCTCCCAGAGTTACAGAATATTTGGGATGAATGAATGACATTTTTTATAATGTGTCATGCATATAACTGTGCCCAGCTTGGATTACAAGTCAAAATAAATTCAGGAGCAGCGGGCAAAGGTCCAAACTCCAGATCGTCAATATCAACAATGAAATCCATAAATCACTTTACAAAAACAGTATACAGTACTGGAAAAATCAGAATAAACACTAAATTAATTAATCTGTCTTGCCTTAACACAATTAAAATGTTTAATTTGGCGGCCACTAGGGATGAACAATTTATCGAAATCTTATAGAAATCGCAGTGTAGCCTACTGCGATGTTCAAATCGCATGAGGTGCAATATTTGTTAAAGGTGATATGTGTGTCAAAATACCATTTTAAATTAAATATTGTCGTGCTGCTGAGATGTCCCTGCCTACGAATCATATTCTACACACTTATTATTATTATTATTATTATTATTACTTAAGCAAACATCTTTGTTTGGTGCAGATCTTCTCAACAATCTCACCACAACCATTTATGTTTTTGGATGAGAAAATGACGTAGATATAATAATTCCCTCCAATATCGCAATTTGAGTCAGTATTTTTTTCTAAATCGTTCAGCCCTATTTTCCAAATGTGTTTGTGTTTTGAAGCTGTATGTTAGAAGTGAAAAGTCTCCTGATTTGGATTAAAGCAAGTACAGACTGAAGTTTGGGTTTTTTGCACGAGGGCAGATTTAAACACGAGTGAGCTCTCCTGCTTTCGAAGTTAGGCTCATTGTCTACTTATCAGTTTTCTTTACGAGAGACTTTCTAAACAAAGACCTCAAAGATAATTATTTCTTGACGTTCATTCTTTCTTTCTCTCTTTTTAATTTTCCAGAATCGGGCAGCTCGTGCTCGAGTGGGGAAAGGAGACAGACCTTTGACCTATGAGGAAGCACTTCCACCTCATCACATTGGCCACCGCAAAGGATGGCTGTCGCAGCATACGAGTGAGTGTGACCGAGCGCGTTAAAGCACAACTCGGCAGCTTCGATACGCCCCGCGTTACATATTTCACCCCGACTTTCTGAGGTTTGTAACAGGGTGGTGTTGTCGGAAATAGATTACAGATGTGGCGCACTTACTGCAAATGACGATCCCAACATTTTGATCACAGCTTCTTCTTTTTAAGGGTTGTGTAACCGGGCGAATCATTCTCATCGTTTGACCGCTCACTAAAAAGTGTGTTTTTGCATCAACTTTTAAGGCTTCATTTGCTTCCACTGCTGCAGAATAACTTGAAGTTGTTAACTCATTAATTGATGCATTAAAAATCTATGAAATTTACATTATTTCTCAGTTTTGCTGACCTAAACTTTGTCTTGAATGAAGCCTTGAAACACATTTCTACACTAAACACCTTGGAACAGCCTCGTAATGCACCCTCAGAAGCTTTATTTGTACAATATTATATATATTTTATATATTATTAATGAAGGAAGACAGAGCAGCTGGTCATCGGTTGATCCTACAGTGAAATAATTGATAAAACTCTTTAATTGTTCATTTTAAATCTGAAAATGTCTGTTTTGGTGACGTAAACATTTTTAACTTGGGCAGTTTGCTGCTTACTTTTATTTTTAAAAGTAAAAGTTAATTTAAGGTTTTTCCACTGGACTTGAGCTACTTACATTTACATACAAACTACAAAAATAGGGATTTCTAAAACTTTTTACTAGTAGTGGATACGCCGGCTTGTTTGCTCACATGAGTTCGACTGAATCAAAACAAACGCACTTCTACTTTAATGATCGTGCAGCTTATGAGTGCACCTTCCGGGTACTCTCTGTACTCAAGGTGCACGGATCAGTGAGCACGTACTCATGCACTTAAAACAGTTAAGTGTAAAGATTGACATTCAGTAACTTTATGAATCCTTTCACCTTGGATGAGAACGTCAACGTTAGAGGCTGATAGTACTGTACGTCTCTGGACTACTCTCTGCTTCCTGTTTCTGCCAGGTAACCTCAAAGGAGAAGAGGGAGCAGCTGAACGCACCATAGAGGACGTGTTCATAAGGCGCTTCATGTTCGGGACCTTCCACAGCTGCCTGGCCAATGAGATTGTGATCAAAAGGCGCGGCAACATGCTCGTAGTGTGTGCTTTAATGTTGCAGAAATTACCACCGCAGAAGTTTTACTTTTTAATAGGCTATTCAGAGTCGTTGCTGTCGCACTTCTACAAATGCCCTGTGAAGTTAGAGATTCAGACCCTGCAGGACAAAGCTGTGTACAAGTACCTCTGATGGAAATGTGCGGCGCTGATGCTGAATGTTTCGTCTAGAGAAAGGATACCACAATTTGGATTTTTGTTCTTGTATGAAACACTGACTTCAGGTCACAGTGATGACGTCTTCTGTTTTAAATGTTCACAAAATGGATTCAAATGTTTTCAGTCGCAGTGCGTTTGTGAAATGAACTCTCAAAATTAAAAATAATACAATTGTGTGTGTGTGTGTGTGGTTTCAACCGACTCTGATTTGAAGATGTCCGTCTTTTATCATCTTGGTTTTTAGGTCAGTGGAAAGGTTAAAGTTTGTGTAATCATTTTAAAGAAATCTAAAAATTCAATTCAGTAAATCAGGAAATTCAGTTTAATAAAGAAGGTTTAAATAGGTCTGATCTAAATCACCATGGAAATGAACCAGTGCCTGGTACATAGTTTGCAATGCCCGCACCTAGATCCTCCTCAGGCTGGACGAGCGTTATCGTCAGTCTGCCAGACTGAAACACTTCCTGAGGTTTCCTTGTTACTTCTGAGCTGTGAACATGACTCTATTTGCAGAAGATGACATGTGCTGAAGTTATTGCATTAGTGTGTAAAGCATCTGCACAGTAGTCCAGTCAACGTGTTTTTAAATGCACTGAAGTCGAGGCTAATCAAAGCGCCCCAGTAGCTCAATAGTTACAGTGAAAACTCAATCTGACCTTACGTCATGTTTTATATACAGTAAAAACTCGGTCAATAGCCCCAGCATTTATTTGCTTCAGTCACTGAACTCGCTGTGCCTGTATCTGGGACAGGCCTTTAAATCCTTTCACACAAAACTCTTTTTCAGCAAAGATGGAAAATATGCGGCTAATTCTTTATTTCAACCAATATGAATATTACTATAATAATAAATCAATTATGGATCATTTATTTGATCTGGCTCTGAGAGACTAGTGTAAGGTAAGGCAAGGCAAGTTTTCAGTAAAAGTAAAAGTAAGTAAAAGTTACAGTGCAGTGTAAATTATCAGTAAAAAGAAAAGTCTTCAGTCTTAATTTAATAAAGAACTGATAGTTTCAGCAGACCTGCAGTTATCTGGGAGTTTGTTCCAGATATACGGAAGCAGAAGATCAGAAATGTATTTTGACCCTAAACCATTTAGTGCTTTATAAACTAACAGCAGGATTTTGAAATCAATTCTTTGACATACAAGAAGCCAATGTAAAGACCTCAGAACTGGAGTGATGTGATCCACTTTTTTGGTCTTAGTGAGGACTCGAGCAGCAGCGTTCTGAATCAGCTGCAGCTGTCTGATGGATTTCTTAGGGAGCCTGTTGCAGTGTGTTGCACTGTTACAGTAGTTGAGTCGACTGAAGATAAATGCATGGATAAGTTTTTCCAGGTCCTGCTGAGAAATAAGTCCTTTAATCCTTGATATATTGTTCAGGTGATAGTAGGCTGACTTTGTAATTGTCTTAATGTGGCTCCTCAAATTCAGGTCTGAGTCCATGACTACACCAAGATTTCTGGATTGATTTGTGGTTCTTAACATTACTGATTGAAGTCGAGCACTGACTTTCAATCGTTCCTCCCTGGCTCCAAAAACAATAACTTCAGTTTTATCCTTGCTTAATTGAAGAAAATTCTGGCACATCCAAGCGTTGACCTGCTCAATACAGTTACTCAGCGCCTGTATGGGATCATAGTCCCCTGGTGAAATGGTTATGTAAATCTGTGTGTCATCTGCATAATTATGGTAACATTTTGTTGTTTTTCATAATCTGAGCCAGTGGAAGCATGTAAATGTTAAACAAAAGAGGTCCCAGAATGGAGCCTTGGGGAACTCCACGTTATTTTTGTCAGCTCAGATGTGTGATTACCTATAGACACAAAGTAGTCCCTGTCCTTTAAGTAGGATTCAAACCAGTTTGGTACTGTGCCAGAAAGGCCAACCCAGTTTTCAAGTCTGTCTAGTAATATGTTGTGGTCAACCGTGTCGAATGCAGCACTGAGATCCAAGAATACTAAGACTGAAATTTTGTCACTGTCAGTGTTTAAATGTCATTGAAGACCTTAACAAGAGCCGTCTCAGTGCTGTGGTGTGGTCAAAAACCTGACTGGAAGACATCAAAACAGTTATTTAGTGCCAAGAAAGCACCAAGCTGTTGAAAAACAGCCTTTTCAATGATTTTACTTAAAAATGGGAGATTTGATATGGGCCTATAATTGCTCATTAGTGACCTGTCTAGATTGCTCTGTGGCTTAATGACTGCAGTTTTCAGGGCCTGTGGGAAAAACCCAAGAGACATGTTGACAATTTTCAGTAAATCTGAGGCCATGCATTTAGAAACTTTTTAGAAAGAAGTTAGAAGGATAGAAGTTCAGAGGCTACAGACAGAGGAGGGTTGGTTATCCTGTCGACAGCAGCAAACAGGGCACGTTCATTATTAGTGTTTTTGGTGATGTCAGAAGAAGGACCGCCTTGCATTTCTCAGCTCTAAATTATAAATGCAAAGTCTCTCTTTATAGATGTCATAATGAACCTGGAGATTTGTTTTCCGCCACCTGAGTTCAGCTTTTCGACACTCTCTTTTTTGAGTTCTAACCAGCGTGGTATTTCTCCACGGAGATCTTCTCTTACCAGAGACCACCTTCACCTTGGCTGGTGCAATGGCATCAATAACATTTGTAATTTTAGAACTGAAATTATCTACAAGCTCATTGACTGAGACCCGTGAGAGGGCGGGTGTTGAAGAGAAAGCCTCAATAAATTTTTCACTAGTGTTTTCAGTGATATGCCGTTTTGTGATTACCGCTGATTGTGTGCACGCAGAGAGCAACATCAGTCACCACAACCTTGGAAATGTTCAGACCCTTGGAGATGACAGAGTCCAAAGTGTGCCCGTTATTGTGTTTCGGCCTCGTCACATGTTGGTTCAGTCCATAATTATCAAGAACACAACACAGTTCTTTAGTCGCTCTGTCCTGGGGGTCGTCAACATGGATGTTAAAATCACCAACAATAACCCACAGTCAAAGTCAACAGAGATTATAGACAGCAGTTCAAAGTCATCAAAAAAGTTTGCACAGTATTTAGGGGGCCTGTAGATATTTGGAAAAATAGCTTGAGAAGAGTAATTCAGCTGAAGAGCCACATATTCAAAAGAAGCAAAAGACATCTTTTTGCATTGGAGGGATTCATTAAACAAAATGGCAACTCCACCTCCTCTCTTGTGCACTCTAGCTTCACTCATAAAACTGAAGTTGGGAGGGGTAGACTCGATAAGGACAGCTGCACTGTTATCTTGGTCCAACCAAATTTCAGTTAAAAACATGCAACGATACTGACAAAAGTTTCAACATCTATATATTTGTATTTGCGATCTAAGCAGCTTCGCTCAAGCAGGCGACCTGGTGGGCTTTAAGAGGTTTTATACATCTGAAGACCTTCTCTAAAAACCAGACTTATAATTGAGACCTGTGTTTATTTGATCAAATGTGTAGGCACACTAGGCCAATAAATGGGGCAGGCGTCTAATGGAGACTCTTTTACAGTATATTATGTCATAAACCCATATTTTATCACCTGTGTCTTTATCACCGATGGAGGTTTAAATTCCAAAAACACAGTTTATTCTCTTGTAGCAGCCAGGCTGAAGATATTTAAACAGCATTTCCACCACACGGAGGCCGTTACATCACTTGTACAAACTAGTTTTCTTGCTATGAAATAATTCACCTTGTTGGAGTCCTTTACAATACTTAAGTTGTTTAAATATCAGGTTTTATCTTGTACATTAACTTTCAACCCTCATGAGAAAAGGAAAATAACACCATTTTAAACCACCATGTTTATAAACATTTAATACACGTGTGTAATTCACTATAATGTAGCTGTAAGCAGAGTAAGTGTTTATTAATGTATTTGTCAATAACTAACTCCTTCTGTGAGGTATCCATACGTGTTGGCTGGTGTGTGAACAGATAATGAATGATAATACAGTAGAATACAGTTGTATAATAATATAACGTATGAAGTTAATGTCACTTAAAATGCGTAGAACTCCATATTATACTGCTGATAAATGCTAAATGTGCTCTGTTGTGTGACACCTCCTAGAAATATCCACGTGACAAGCGCATTGAAAAGCTTCGTTTGACTTTTTTTAAATTTTTATTAATTTCCTCACAGTGCAAATACATTCACGTTTAAAGGCACACGAGCCTCGTCAGTGCAAATACAAGGCATACAGGATTAAAGCGTTCATTTCAAATGTTGCCATGTAAAAATTTCCCTCACAATTAGAAAACACCAACACATCTTAAAAGAACACAGCCCTTCTTCCATCTTCACAAATGTCATCATTAATACACAGTTTCAAATCTTGTAATTACCAAACGTCAGGATTAGAATTTAAAAAAAGCCAGTCCAGGCACAGAGTTGGAGCAATACTTTAACTTTTTATCTTAACTTTCATTTCATTTGAGATAAAAGTGTGAGCTTGAATTCAAAAATATTAAAAAGAACAGAGCCGTATGCTATATAGGTTCACCTTAAAGCAACCGTTTGACATTTTGGGAAATTTTTCTGAGTGTAAGATGAGAAGATTGATACTAATCATGTTAAATATGTAAAAAGAGCCAGCAGCTGGTTTTCTGTCACGCACCCCTTTAAAATGCTGAAAAAAATTCAAGCCCACTGACTCCAGCAAAACAAAAACATTTTGCTAGGAGAGCTGACAGAGTGGATTTTGTTTACTTTGAACAGCACCAGGCCAGCTGTTTCCCCCCCTTTTCCAACTATTATTTCGTGCTAAGCTAAGCTAACAGACTGCTGGTGATGGCTTTTTTAATGGAAGCGACAGACATGAGATTGGTAACAGTCTTATCATCTAAAAGCAAAGAAGCATATTTACTAAAATGTCAAACTATTCCTTTAGAGATGATAAACCTTTGGTTGTGTAACTATTATTCTCCACATCTGACACATACTGGCAACATTTTGTGTTTCTGTGACTGGTAAATTGTTCAGATGGCATTTTTTACCTTCAACATTGTGAAGAACAGAAGTCTATAGTGCAGTTTTTATGCAGAGACACGTGACAGAGTGGTAGAGTAACTCCAATCTGCACAATACGAACTGTTTATCTTAAAAGAAAATAAAGTATGAGATATTTGAGCACAGCTCAGAAGAAAATTTATATTTTTCACAGCAGACATTTTGACTTGTCATAGTAG